TATTGATTTCTTCTTATTATTTTAGAAAATCCAATCATAGTTACAACCACCTGAAATATTGATTATCTTTACATTACAAGACTTCTAATTAGATTTAAATGATCAGTATTATGTTAATTCTACTATACGATTAGATATATAGACCTAATGAATAACATAAAGAATATCCAATTGAAATAAATTTTAAATACAAACAATTTGGTGGAACTTTTATCAATTATCAAATTGTGGTGATACACAAATTTATTGGAAAAAGTTTTTGGTAATCCACTCAATTTATGAGAGGCATTTATATCATTTTAATTCTTATCATATTTGCCTCTTTATTAATTTATGTATTAGAAGAAAAAAGTTTTAGCAAATATTCCTATATTAATAACTTTTATAAATTTGATATTATATATCACTAGTTAATAAAAAAACATTTTAAGATTTTAGGTGCTTTGAAAAGTTTATTAGAAAAAGGCTTGGATTTGCAAGAGAATCATTCTTACCTTGTGAAGAACCTGATTAATCTTTTTCCTCTAGTTTGAAACAATTTTATTGTTCTATTTGAAATAAAAAAATTTTGTTTAAATTGTCATTAGTAATATAATTAATTATAAATGAAATTAAAAGTAAATATTCTAATCTTTTTTTGGATTGAAACTAAAAACTCATTTTTAAGAGTTGATTGAAAATTAATCATTTTTTATTTATTTACTTAATTTTTAATTAGATAGCTTTAATTTCAGTTAAAGTAAAGTCTATTCTATTTTCTATATCATAATCTTTTGATTTCGGAGATTTTTATTAGACAGGGGATAAAAGATTAGAAGATTTGTAAAATTATTGGGTTGACTATGAATATCTAATGACATCTCTAGATTTTTATTCACTATATGAAGTATCCTTGAAAGTAGAATCTTCAGTTAATCCTTAATGAATTTTATTTTAATTTAATTTTCTCTATGATGAACTATATGATTGATTAGAATTTTTAAATAATCCAGAATTCTTATAATTTGAAAAAATGGCAAATTCATTCTTTTATGACATTGTATCCATTTATTCTGCATAGTTTCTATTTTACTTTTGATAAATACGTATTTAATTTTTATAATTCTGAAATCTTGCTTTTAAGTTACTGATTTATGGTTTTCTCTAATTCAATAACTTTATTTTTATTTTGTAATTTTATATTTGCACTCTTTATTAATTCAGATTGTAACTCATTTTATTTTTAAAGCAATTTAACATGATTCAATGCTCCTGAAATTTCTTTAGAAAGTGAATCTATTTTATTCTCTAGTATCTAATCAAAATTAACTAGTAAAAAACTACTTGATTTTTCAGAATCTAATCTGATAACCTTTCTTTCATATTTATCATATGAATATATGTGAAAGTGTTATTATTATCTTCACTTGTCTTTTCTAGTGATATTCTTGATAAGGTGGCTGATTATTCATTTAAGTTTTAACCCAACTTAAATTTTTCATAATACTCTTATTGTAATAAATAAGTATAATCTTAATTATTATCTTAAGAACTATTAGATGGAGAATGCGCTTTATCATCTTCTTTATTCATATTTAATAAAAATAAAAATAATAAAATTTGATAATTATAATAAAAAGAAATAGTAAAATAAAAAGTAATCTGTAATACATGTAAAAATATTTAAATGATTTCTATTATAACTGTTATAAGATAAAACAAGTATTTCCAAAAAAGAGAATTTAAAAAAAGTTTCTATAACACATAAAAAATTTTAAATTTCTAAAATAAAAATTTCTATTTTTAAGATTTTTGATCAACAGCGTGATTACAAATCATCTCATAACTAACAAAAACGAAAAAAAAAGAGTTTAAAAAATAAAAATTATATATTTTATAGGTGTTGATTAAAGGTTTATCACTTAATTTGTGTTTGCACTTTTTCTCAACCCCTTTTTTCTGATTAAATCAGAAATAAGGGGTAATCTCAATCCGAAACAAAATTAGATAGCGACGAACTGAACAATTTTTTGTTCTTATTTAATTGGCAGGTGTTTTAATTTATACTTTAATCAACACTCTTAATTGCAATAATAGTATCATTTTTGCCTTAGAGCAGCAAATCTGAATTTAAATTAAATATATAATTACTTTCTAATTGGAAGCTATTTTCTTATTAGAAAATGGCTGGATGCTCTTCTTACGCTTCCAATCTTTCATTATGCCATCCCCCTTTATTTTTTTTTAAATTTTGCACTTCTATTAACTCATTTTTCATATCATCTATTTTAAGACTATCCTAAGCTAAAATTGATAATGCTATCCCTTAATTAGTGTTACTTTTCAAATTAATCACTTTTTTTATTGATTTTGAGGTCTTTCTACAACTAAACCTAATTTTCTTGATCTCTCTAAAACACAATTAAAACAAATTCTTACTAATCTTTATTAGATTTTTCTTCACGGGCCTCAATACGATAACCTAGTATTTCATAATATTATTCAGAAAAAAACTATTATTCAGTCTCAATTTCACACAATTCTTTTTCTAAGTCATAATTATTTTTGATATTTATCATTTCATTTGTAAAATAAGCATCTTAAATATTTGAAGACATTATGATAATTAGTGATGTTTAGGATAAATTTTTGTTGATAAAATTAATATCATCAGGTATTTAATAATAACTCAAAAACAAAAAATTTTTAAATGCATCATTGAAATACTTTTTAATCTAAATAATTAAAACAATAGTTTTAAGCAACTCGAAAGAATGATTAAATCCCTTGATTTATTATAGTTTTCTAAAAATTGATAATTATCTACTTTAAAAATAAAAAAATTATTTTTTCACTATCTATTTTTAATCTCAAAGTCATGAAAAACTAATGTTTGCTTGAGCAAAATACAATTTTAATTAAATTTCAGATAATTAAAATTAGAATCTATAACCTTTTGGTGTGAATATAATTACTTGTTTTAATAATTCTTTGTTAATAAGTAATCAAGTTTTAATTAAAGAGAGTAATAAATTATTAAACTTAAATTTTTTAATATCAATGAAATTCTCAATATAATAGATCTCAATTTCAATTTTGAAATTATCAACCAAAATTAAATGAATATGATTAAATGTTAAGATATCAAATTTTTTTTTTAAATCTTAATAATAGAATTTTAAAATAATGACAAGAGAAGATATTTTTATGAAAAGAATGATATGATTTGATCATCATAAATATGATTTGATCATCATAAGTATTATAATATTATTGATGACAATTTTAAGTATGGATTAATATAAATACTCATAAAAATCTATTAAAAAAATAATTTAATTTGTTTTATTCTGTCTAGATTTTTAGGTATAAATTATGAGGATATATTAATGATAATTAGGCATTAATTAGCTTTTATTATAAAATTGTAATTTAGTAAGACTATTATGAATGAAAAATTAGAATGAAAAATAGATATTAAGATTGAGGAAGAGAGTTTAATCTTTTGAAATTTATAAGGTGAATTATCGAATTTGGAAGAAGTTAGTTAATATAAATATGAACTAAATTTTTATTAAGATTGATTAATTATTTTTATTTCTAGAATAACAAACAATATCGCTATGCTATTTAGAGGCATAAATAACTACAAAAGCATGAATATCATTATAGATTAAACAGAGAGTTAGGGAGCTTTGTGGTTAGGAGACTACACAGCAGCAATCAATTAATAACTCTTAAAATAAAAGAATATAAAAACTGTATTAACAGTAGCATCTGGATTGAATGTAAAATATCCTCCTAATTCGGATATTGTCCATAAAGTATAAATTCAATTATTAATTGTAGGTTTACAATATTCTAGATATTGAATCATGTAATATAAAGAGAATATGGGGAGATACATACTAATAAATAGATGAAGGACTTCAAAAGGGAAGTGTCTTAGTTCATTGTGCTGCTGGTGTTTCCAGATCAGCTGCTACAGTGATAGCTTATCTTATGAGAAAACAGGGAATGTCATTTTAAGAAGCCTTTTAATTCACAAGATTGAAGAGAAGCGTAGTTTGTCCGAATTTCGGCTTTTAAAGATAACTCAAACAATTTGAAAGAGAATTATAAAATTCTAATTAAAAACTTGATACAGAAAATACTTAATAATTATAAATATCTTAACAATAATAGTAAATTATTAAACCAATCATCCAATAGCAATAATTATCCAATCTAACAATATAACCTCATTCAATTTCAATTACGGAAAAAAAATAAACAATTAGAAGAAATTAGTTAACTCCTGCTTCAAAATTCCCTAAACCTCTTTACCAAAGTAATGTTAAGCAAGCTTAATCTTTAAAAAAATGATTTTAATATATTTATAATAATTATCATCATTCTATCAAATATCTAGGCAAAATTTAATATTTTTCCTTTAACAATATTCAACAACTTAATACTGAAAATTTAATGGAAAATAACAAAAATCAACTAAAAATTTATGATAATAAAAGAATCTTCTGCCGAATATATAGAAAAAAAAAGAACAAAAATAAAATAAATTAATAATATAATTAATACATCCAATCAATATTAAAATCATTTACAAAAAGAAACATTAGAAGAATTTAAGAAAAATTTTGATTTTTATAGACGCACAAAAGTTTAAAGGATAAATTATAATTAATTTTAAATATAAATAAAAGTATTCAAGGTTTGTTATTATTTCGATAATAATAGTTTTTTTTGATAGTAAGTGACTATTATAATTGATATTAAAATTTTTCCATATAATGATTTTGAGTGATAAATTTATAGAAGAAGTACAAGTATTAGATGCAGTGGATTTAAATTAATATGAAAAAATAATAAACTTTGCTATAAGTTATATTGTTAAACATGATACTTAAACAACATTAGCAGGTTAAGATAGAAATTAATTATATTTACAGAGGTGCTAGAAATTGATGAAAATGAAGCAGATAGATTATTTAAATTGGGATTGAAACTTGTGTCTTATTTTGGGAAGTTTAAATTTGGAGATAGATAATTTAGATAAAATGTAGAATTTCTGAAATTTAAGGAAGATAGAAAGGCTATGTTTTTATAAGTAATAAAATATAAAGATATATATAGAAATTAGAGGCAAATTCAACTCAGTTGCATAAAAGATTGGGTTTCATCGAGTCAGATGGTACGCCATATTTTAAGAATTTGGAATGGAGATATGATATCTAAGTGATATTATGATAATATAAAAATAGATAGCATCTAGAGGATATGAAGAGGAATTTAAACCTAGAATATTTATGAAATTTGATTTAGAGTATGATAATGCTAGAGAATGCGGAAAAATAGAGTAAGTTTTATTGGAGACTGATTATGCAAATTTGAAAAATCTTCAATAAGAGATAAATTATTTGGTATCTTAATTGGAATCAGCAAGGTAATAAAAGATAAAGAAGTTAGGATAGATGTTATGAAATTTATTTAAATCTAAATAAAAAAATTAATTTGTTAAAGAATGTCTTCTAACATATATTTAACATAGACATAAATTCATGATTTGTTTTAGCCTTGTGAAACAAAAAAAACTGAGGTTAAAACATTAGAAATACCATCTTTTGGAGATGTTAATTCAAGTGAATAATCGCCAGAATTTCAGTAGGAAGTAAAAGAATTATCATTATAATTGAAGGCATACTATTTTATGTCTAGTTGTAAAAAAGATGAAAACTACACTACTAATCCCACAAATAACACTAACCGACATTTGAGTTAGGATTCTATTATAGAATTGAAAGATGACACAGTTAAAAGTATTTAACAATGTATATTTAATTCAGTATCTAAGTCTGAATATGAAAGTTTGAAGAGAGATGCTTAGAACTATTAGGCTCTGATGAAATTGAATGACAAATTGAAAGCTCATAAATAATTAATAAATCAAGCTCATTCTTATCGATGTACACAAGTTTGTTATTTAAAATTAGCTCAAATATATGTGACATAAGAATGCAATAAAAAGTTATAGGGACACATTTATGAACTACTTCAGAATATAAAAATATTGGAAGCTGAAAATCAATAATTTTCTGAAGATTTATTAATACTAAGATTGTAAATATAAGATTAATTAAAAATTATTCAACAGGGAAAGATTGACATGGAAAGATTAAAAATATTGATGATTGAAAAAGATGAAAATTTGATAAAATTATAAGTAAAGTATAAGAAACTTTTGAATGAGACTGAGAGGACAAAGAATTCGAAAAGTGCTTAACGAAGTACTTATGTTTCTACTCATACTTCAAGTCCTTTATTTAAAGGTCTATCAAGAATATGTCTAAATAATTATTGTAACACAAGTTTTGTGAGTGAAAAAAAGCCATGAAAAGTAATTTATTTTTTCCATGATTATGATTATGATTATAATTATTATCATTAAACAGGTTGCCATTTAACCTAGATGGCTAATTTTAATTTTTGAATTCTATTGGATCTAAAATGGATCATAGTTTCCATTTATCCAGAATCTAATGTTTTTAAAACTTTAGAACTTTTGGTTGAGACAATTAAGCCTTTAGATTGAGTAAGATCAATAAAACAATCAATAGGATAAGTTTAATCATTGATAGCAATAATGGAGAAAATATCAGAATAACGATTATAACATTAGATGACTCTGATACCTTCTCTTTCTGTTTTAATATTTTCAATTTAATGAAATTGATCAGGAAAAGTAGTAGAAAATACATGAACTCTATTATTTAAATCAGTACTAACAGCATCTCTGACAGTAACTGATATTTCAATAGAGGAATGTGCAGTAAATATAAAACTTCTACTTTTAGTGGAATTAAGATATTTATCATAACCTAATTTTTCAAGCCATCTGTATATAGTATCTTTACCAAGCAAATTAATTTAATCAACAAAAAATTCAACAAATCCTGTGAATGTAATACCTTTATCTGTAGAAGTGTATTTAGATAACATCTATTTAAAATATTCTGGATCAAGTTATTTATCTAGAGAGTCATAAATACCTTTGAATTCAATATAACTTAATTCTCTTAATAATAACATATCAAATTTTCTAAAGATATCATTTAATGTTGAATAGAGTAAAGGATGAACAGAGCCATCATTATTTAGTAGATCAAATTATTTATTATTATCTCCATGTAAATATAAACCACTTGTTCTGGGTACTACAATATAAACGCCAGGATTCAAATCATATTCAAGTTAAACTTGTCTATCTTATTTAGTAATAGTTTGTGCTAGTAATTCTAATCCTTTATCAGATTATTTAAATAGAGTTAAACCAATATCTAAATAAGGTCTTAATAATTTAACTCCTCTAATTCTTTCATCTTCTTAATGTATTCCTAAAATAACTTTAGTAGATTTTGTAATAATAAATGAATAATACCATTTGCTAAGTACAACATCTATATTATTATCATTGATATCAGTTACTTTAATAAATTTACCTTTAATTCTAACTTCCTCCCAATTTCTTACTTTACAAATATTTACTCCTTTAAAGTAAGTTAAGAAATCTTTCCAACACATCCAAAATTACCCATCATTGCTATCATTAACAAAATTAACCATATTTTAAATTTCTTATGTCCATAATGGAGATGTATCACTCCAGGCTCCTTTCCATTCAAAATTACCCCAAGGATTACGAATATTTAATAATTTATTTCCCTTAGCTTCTTTAACTTATAATATTGAATATGCATGTCCAGGTATTAAACCTATATTATCTGTTGTAGATTCTTTTCTCTATCCTTCACTTAAAGTATCATTACCTTCTGTAAATGCATTAATTAAATAACCTTCTTAATCAAATTATAATAATTGCTACCACATCTATTATAATTCATTATATCCATAAATAACTGTTGGACAACCTGTTAAATCTACCATAGCTTCTCCAGATAGTCCTTCTCTAAGGGCAAAATAACTTCCATGTAATTTTGCATATGCTTTCTCTAATAATAAAACCCATAATTCATTTCCATGTGCTGCTGAAAATATTGGAGCACCTAAAGGATAACATGGAAATAAATCATCTATTGTTACATATACCCATTCACCATTCTTACATATCTTTATTCTATATATTCCCATTGAATTTGTTGTCATTGTTACAAATAATCTTTTTACTAAAGCTGGTCTCTCTGCCAAAGATGATAATGCTGATAAAAACCAACAATTTCCTAATGCTCCTTGTTTTATATCATTTGGCTCTATTTTATCAAAAAATATTTCCGGTCTCTTATTTGCATCTTTCAATTAAAAAAATGCACTTGGTCTTCTCCATTATATTAGAGTATCTAATTCTGTTTCATCATCTCCAAATATACTTGACTATATACTTTCTTTTAAATACATCCACTGGTAAATATTCAAGATCAACAAATGGAGATTTTAAATATCTAAGAATTTCGGGAATCTCTTTCAATTGATATGGATAATGATATAGTTATTTCATCTGATCTTAAATTTCTAATCTCAATTGCATTTAATCCTCTTTCAAATATTATCCTTATATTGATTTCTCTGCTGTTTTCAAACTAAATTTGAATTTTGTTTTCAATTTCCAGTCTTATTTCATAGTCAATTAAGCTACTTATTTTGTTTCAAATGGATTAATCATAGTAATTGTCTTCATTTTATTTTAACCATCCACCAAAATGTTCTCACTTCCTGTAAAATCAGCTATGAATTCCATACAACTTAATCTATTCAATTAAACCTTAAAGATGTAAATCATTTCTGAACCCATTTGAATATGTTTTAATAATATTATTCCTGGAGCTATTTCTTTTTAAGTTATATTTGCATTCATATTTAAAAAAATAAACAATGTACTAATTATTCATTTTTTATCTTTTTTTTGATTGCATTTACATATGTTAAATAAGTTAATTGCATCTTTAAAGGTAATGTTGTTCATAAGAATTCTCTAAATTTGATTCTTCTAAAACATATCTAAACCATATATCTTATTATTTCTATCTATCCATTGCTTTTATTTGTAAATGATGATTATCTATGTTATTCGTATATGAAGAAGATACCTGTGTAAATTATAGAAGGAGATAATAAGATATAATATCTAGACAGAAATAAGTATTAAGAATAAGAAGAATAATAAAAATAACTCATTTCATCGGAATAATAATATCTTCATCTATAAAAATCAACTATTTATTTTACAAATTAAAATAACTATTGTTAACAACCAACATTAAAAATAGAATATTAGGATATCAAGATATCAAAAATATTTAGATATATTATATATTTTATAATTCAAAAAATTGATTAATAATAATTAATAATGAGAGCTGGATTACTAAAAAACTATGGACCAACTTAAATATTTCCAGAAGAGAAATAATAAAGAGTTTGTTCACTGTATGAAATAACAAATCATTATTTGAAAGCATAGGTTAGTAAGAATGATCAGAAATCAAAATCTGTAAATACTTTTGGAGTAGAATGTAATTTAGAATAATATAATATATTTAGAGAGAGACTTTTATGATTAATTAAGATTGAAAGGAAAAGAAAAGAGAATGTATTGATTAGTAAATATGAATGTAGTTAAAATTAAAATTAGCATAAACCTATTTTTAAGTTAAAGGGTGATAATATTGTAGTAATAAAATCAAAAGATAGAGAATTATATCCAGCAGATATTCAATGGAATAATTGTTAAATAGGTAGGATATAAGGAGAGATAAGTGGAAAGATTGATAAGAATTATGCAAAGGTAAAATATAGTAGAATATAAGATAAGAAGATATTTAGAAGGTTCATCGAGTGTGATAGATTATTCAGAGAGTAAAATGTATGACAAATTTAATTCATATTCGAATATAACAACTTAAGAGAGATTTTCAAAAGATTGTGACATATAGTTCAGAACAAGTAATAATGCTCAACCTGGAAGGTAATAATCAACTGGAGGTATAGTAAGGAGTAAATATGAACCTGATTGGATACAAAGAGGAAAATAGTGAAAATTTGATAATTTAAAGAGCAAAGTGAATATATATGATATTAAATAAAATTTAATTAAATGGGGCCATATCTGAGTTAACCAAAAACAGAGAAAAAAACTACTGTTGGATAAGGAAAGTCTGTGATATTTGCAGCTTCTGAAATGCAAGGTATTATAAGAATTAACATATAAGGTTGGAGAAACTCTATGGAAGATGCCCATATTAATAGACCAGATGTTTTACAAGATGTATCTGTTTTTGGTGTGTTTGATGGACATGGAGGAAGAGAAGTAGCATATTTTGTAGAGAAACATTTTATTGATGAATTACTAAAAAATAAAAACTTTAAAGATTAGAAATTTGAAGATGCTCTTAAAGAGACTTTCTTAAAAATGGATGAATTATTAATGACAGAAGAGGGATAACAAGAAGTGATTACATATTAAGCCAATGAATCTAATGGTAGCATATTTAATATATAGCACTAGATTCTTATGCTGGATGTACGGCTAATGTGGCTTTGATTCATAAGAACACTCTCTATGTTGCTAATGCTGGAGATTCAAGATCAGTCTTATGCAGAAATAATAAGAACTTTGATATGAGTGTTGATCATAAACCAGATAATCCAGAAGAAAAATCAAGAATTGAAAGAGCAGGTGGATTTGTTAGTGACGGTAGAGTTAATGGTAATTTGTATTATTTTTATTCTTTTTTAGGAAATTTAAATTTATCAAGAGCTTTGGGTGATTTGGAATATAAACGTGATAATAAATTCAGACCTAATGAACAACTAATCATAGCATTACCAGATGTTAAAAAAACTGAGTTGGGACCAGAAGACAAGTAAGATTTTATTTTATTTAAGATTTATTTTGATGGGATGTGACGGTGTATTTGAAACTCTTAATCATTAAGAATTGTTATAACATATTAATACTACGTTGGGTAATAACCCAGTTACTTAAGAGTTATTGAGTAAAGCAGCTGAAGATTTGTTGGATAAATTGTTAGCCCCAGATACAAGTTAAGGAACAGGTTGTGATAATATGACAACCCTTATAGTGTATCTGAAAAAATGAATAAGATTCAAACAATAATATTCATGTTATAACATCAAGTATTAATTGCAGCATCAATGAATAGATTCCACTCTAAAGCATTGTATCTTTAGATTTCAATAGATAGTAACCTGATCTTTTACATAATTCTATCTATCTATGTGTTCACTTATTCACAAATATAATTTAGTTCTATTCCTAATAATCTCTTTTCAATTAAATTGTAGTATTCATATTATTTTATGTGTTGATCTCTAAAATTCATAAATTCTTCTTTTAACAATTCAAATTATTAATATAACTTTGATTTCTCATCATCCAACATAGGAAGAAAATACTTGCAAATATTCTTGTCTTCATTTTCAAGATGTTTTAACACAATTAAACAAGGTATTGTAACAAATACATCACTATCCCTGCATTCCAATTATTCTGCAAATTGCATGTGTTTTTCAGCCGTAGTTTCAATTATGTGAGAGAAAAGCATTAATTAAATATATTTTCTTGGTTCTAACAAATAATGTAATCCCTTTTCCCATTAAGTTTCATATTCTATCAATAAATCAACTAATTCATTATTATTCTTCAACTAAGGATCTACCATCTCTACGTTCTCTTCATATTGCCTCATTTACTCTCGGATTTTTTAAAAACTTTTATTTCACTAATCTATACTTCATCTTTATACTATCAGCTAAACTTCGAACTGCCTTTGATTATTCATAAGTAACTCTTCTTGTTATACCCTCTGCTTCCAATAATATATTAACTTCTAAATCATCTCTTCCCTTACCCTCGACATTTGCTACTGAATTTATCTTCGCAATCACTTTACAAAACTACAATAATCTCATTCCCATACTGCTGTTTTCAATTCTAAATAAATCTCACTTTTAACCAATATCTTTCCTCTTAATTTCTCTCTTATTTCTATTGATTACATCTCTCTATCTATCTATATTGCCTACAATATAAATCTTCTAGCTTTCCCCTCTATATCCATCAGTTCTTTTACATATAACTATTTTTTATTCTTATAAATACTTACCATTTCAAATGATACCCATATCTTATCAAAATCTTTTAACAAAAATGATATCTCTTCTTTTAATTTAGACTTTGAGAAATCAGAACTTTCTTAAAGAGTATTTGTATATAAGTGTCTTATTACATGTTATACTTTATAAAATGCATCCACTAACTTTATTCCTGCTTCTAAAACTTCTCGTGTGAATGAATATTTCTCAGAATTTACCCATAAATAAGGAAATCCTAATCTAATTTATTTTTAAAACCTTCTTGTGCACTATCGAGAATTTCAGTCAAATAACATAATTTATCCTATGTATAAAGAATTTTGTAAGCTTTTGAAAAATAATTTCTGTATTCACGAGATTCTACCTTAACCTAATAAACCTATATTATTACAATTTTATTATTACTTCACACATTTTTTCGAGATTTTGTAAAAACTTTTTGCATTATTTCTATCCCTCTGGATTATCTAAATCATATTTATGAAAATCTCTCTAAACAAGTTAACTCGATAATCTATAAGCTTTTTCTAAAAGATCATAATCTAAAGACCTAGACAAAGTTAATAGCCATACCTTTTAAATTCTTCAAGTTCTGTCAAAGGTCTTGCAGGAGCGGTCATACATCGCTTTAAAGGAGATTCATCTAATGAAATATCAGAAACTGGAAGTTATTAGATTATTCATACTTTCATCATCTAAGTCTTGCTCATAGTATTGCATTTAATAATTATTATTTACATCTATATTTTATTGTAATATTCCTTCACTCCTAAATCAATCAAATTCAGAAATCTTTAAAACCATTCTTGTACAATTATTTGCTTACTTCTTTTTAGAATATATTTTCATTAAAACTCCTGTAGTTACTATATTTATATCTTGATATTATTTTTAAATTCTGAATTTATTAAAAATAATAGATATCCCTCAATTGAATTTAAAAATTATACTCTTTCTAACATTTTTGTTTACATTTTAGAATAGAAAGATTATTAATTAAGTCTAATTAGAAATTTCTTCACACTAATTGTTGAGGATAAAATTTTTGATTTTTGATTTTTTATTTAGTCATCTTCTATCTTATAATTTCGATCAAAATGAATAACTATTTGTAATTAAAAATCTGACATTTATTATTTAAAAATCAATTTAAAGACGAAAAAATAAATTCTGCTAGGACTTTTTGAATTTCAAGTAAAAATATATCAAACTTTTTTTATGATTTAACAACTTTCTATATTTATCTTTCAAGATTCTCGAACCCTTTTTTATTTTATAGCTATATTGCTTAAGTTCTTGCATTCATCTTGAGTTCTCCCTCTTATTATATTTAATCAATCATTTCTACAAATGTATCATAAATTTAAGATTTATATCTATGTTATAATCTAGCCTTAAGCCAACCAGAATTTTCCCACTTTTTTTGATCAATTTTATACTTTTAGTTTGCATTTTTAAATATCTCTATTACAACATAATTATTACCCAATATTTTTATTTAAAATATCTCTCAATTAGCATGCAATCAATTTAACAAACCTTTTTGCAACCATATGTTGTTTAGTTAGTTAAGAATTCATTATGTATTCTATTTTCTTACTATATTCTATTTGCTAAACCATTTTATACTCCATGCATCATCAAATAATTAGTTTAATCAACATATTCATTCTTTATTTCACCTAAATTAAGATTCAAGAAACACCTATAATTGGAAATATTGGGGTAGAAGGATAAAACATGTAAGGATAAATAGGATATTGGATATTTGTCTATTTTAACTCAAATGAATCAGATTCACTCTTAACTTACAATTCATCTGATGGATTTCCGTATCTTTAATATGAGCATTCGAACTCTAGTATTTATAGAATCCTTATCAATTACTTTTTAGACTTGGAATATTTGAGTTCGCATTATTATTAAAATCCATTATTTATTATATAATGTAATCTATAAACATATTCCGTCTATTGATTATTAGTGTTATAGAATTAGGAGTAGAAATTTTATAGATTAAAATCATATTCAATCACTTTTTTGATTGTATTAACATAGGATAGCTATTGGAAAAAGGTTATAATTAAGAATATAAAATAGTATGAATTCAAGACTTTAGAAAAAATAATATAAATATTTTAACTAAACTTATTTTTTTAAGAAAAAAATCATTATGTATTTTTAAAGGATTTGAATTAAATCTTGTTATATTTTAAATATCAATATTGTATAAGGAGCAATATCAACAATTAAAAAAATTGAAAATAAATGTTTAAAATCAAAATATTTTCAAATATGATATTTAATCTTTACAAAATTATAGTTTTTTAATTTAAATGAAAAACGAAAGCATACAGGATCAGCTAAACTCAAAATTATGATCAATATAAATAAATTAGCAAATCAATAATGTATAATTAAATTAAAAAAAAGTTGAATTTCTTCTAGAATTGTTTAATTCATTAGATTTTTTGAGGCCAAGCTGAATTCAAAGATGATTCTTTAAAATAAATTAGAAAATACAAAGAATTTAAAACAAAGCTAAATTTTTTATTGGGGAATTATTATATGGCTAAGATGGAATTTTATTTAATTATTCGAATCTCTAAATTATTATTTTTTAAGAGCTAAATAAACACTTCATATCCAATTTCTGTTAACTAGAATTAAAATGGGTCAACAGATATTTTGAGTGTATTAATTGAAAACTTTTGAGGAACATTAAAAATAAAGGATCAAATATAACACTTGAATATATTTTAGAAAATATATGCTAAAATTGAAAGCAATAATAAAATTTTTAAATATTATAATCAATATATCTGAATAAAATTCCATAATCTAATAAAATAGGAAAGGGATACTTAAAAATGAAAAGTTATTTTTAATAAAGTTATGGAAGTATTCAATTATTTTGTATAATTTTTAAAAGAAAATAATATATAAATTTATATTAATTATAAAATATAAAATTTCCTTTTTGTTTATTTAATGATTTTGAAATCTGTGATTTGATGAGCAAGAATGATTGAAAATTTTGATAGTTGATTGCTTAAAAATATAAGGGGAAAAGAGTTAAAATAAGTATAAATTTAACTTCAAAAACTGAAAACTGAATCATTTTAATATTAGTATTTTAATCACCAATAATTAAAATTCTAAATAGATCATAAAAAAATTTTTCAAGAAAAGAATGATTTAGTTCACTATGATTTAATTTTATGTAATTTTAACGAGGAAAAGTATATGTTTATATTAAGATGATCAAATCTGTGAATAGCAATTAAAGAATTCTTGTAATTGAATTAGAATACTGGTATAATGATTGATTATATAATTGAAATTATAATTGATGTATGGGATATTTTTATTTTGGATTTTAAATATGTTAAATTCTGATTAATTTATAGATAATTAATAAATTTATTTATAATAGTATAATAGTAAATTTATTTAGGAGAATATAGTTGAATTTATGATAATGAATAATGCTCTATTAATCACCATTCTAAGAAGGGATCATCTGCTGGTTTAAGAGCAGGACTTTGGGTATCTGATTCTGGATAGGATGAAAAATTGGAAGTGTCATTGGGAGCTCTAATAAAAATGTAATGAGAATAGATACTTCACAACTGGCTTATATGGAACAGGTAATTTCTTTTAAGTAAGGAGATTCCAATCTAGATTTCCGAACCATCTATGATTTTTAACATCAGCAGCACCTAATTATTAAAAATGAGATTGATACCATTTTTTAAATTTCCATATCTTTTAGAAAGATCAGCCACAAGTAAATGCTTGACTAAAGATTTTCCATTCCTTAATTAAAATTAGATTATAATTACTTATCAAAGCTTTTAGGAAATTTAACTTTCCCCTTTAATATTTTTTGATAAATGGCCATAGGATCTTCATCAGAGAAAGGATCAATTCCTGCATTCATTTCATAAATTAAGATTCCTAGAGTCCACCAATCAACAGCTTTGCCATGTCCTTTATTCAATAGAATTTCTGGAGCTAAATATTCAGGAGTTCCACACAATGTATAAGTTCTTCCTTCGACAACTTTAGCGAAACCGAAATCTGTTAATTTGAGATATCCATCATCTGCAATCAATAAGTTCTCTGGTTTAAGATCTCTATAGATAATGTTCTTAGAGTGAAGATATTCAAACATTGAAGCAACCTAAGCACCATAAAAGCTAGATATAAAAACACAAAATATACGCTGCATGTTATGTATCAAGTCTTCCAATGCTTCTTAAGTAAGTGAATAACTCTCCTCCAGAAACGAATTCTAATACTAAATAGAGATATCTAGGATCTTAACAGAAGCCTTCAAAAGTTACCTAAGAATGATCATAGATTATACAATAAATGGATGCTATAAATTTCCTAATATAGTGTTTTCATTAATCACATGATCAACTTGTTTAAGTCTTATAATCTCTGCTTTTTTTAAACTTTTCAAAGCAACATATTTATTTGTTTGTTTATTCCTTGCCAGTTTCACTCTTCCAAATGAACCTAAAATTCAGCATTTTAATTATTCATTACCAGTACCCAAGGTTTGAAAGACTTCATAATCTGTGAGTTTCAGCTTTTTAGGTTTAGCAAGTGCTGTGCTCATGGATATAAAGATTTAAATAAATTATTTAAGGGTAATAGCTTAATATAAATGCTCAGTTTATATATTAATTGTAATTTTACAAAAAATTCAGAATAAAAAGGATGAAATGATTTCGTATTAAAAAATATATATATAAATATATATATAGAATAATAAATTGATATTAATTAATAATTTATATGTTTAAATTATATTTGTTATTTACTAAATAAATCATAGCTTGGCAAGTCCATATCCTTGAGCATTGTTTAGATCATTGAATAAGTGATTTCCATAAGCAAATCTTGAGACTTACTTAAGATGGACTTCACATGGTTCATCTATGAATCTAATAGCTCTAGCAAATCGGAATGCAATAGCTAATGGTTGCTCTTCAGTCACTCCTTCAGCACCAAATGCTTATATACATTGATCTATTATATATTAACAAGCTTTGGGAGTATGAGCTTTACATTCGCTAATAGCCATGAATGTATGTAAATGACTGGATCCAGCAGAATCCAAAAGTAATCCAGCATTTAAACTCAATAATCTGCATGATTAGAATGCAATTTCTAGATCTCCTAATCTTTCTTAAAATGCAGCATTATCTTTTAGTTTTTATTTAAAAATCGTTCTCTATTCTGATCTACTCATCATTAAATCAAGACATCTTCTAGTTTATCCAATTTATCTCACACAATTATGTAATCTTCCTATTTATAATCTATCTTGAGCCATTTTAAATGCTCCTCCAAGAGATCCCAATAAATTTTCTTATGGAATAAAGACATTGTCAAATTCGATTTCTGAATAACCATGAGGAATGTCAAAGAAACCAAAGGAACCAAATTATTTGCCAATCTTTACCTTAGGATTTTTCATATCAACAATGACCATTGATTATGATTCATTAGGGTTACTCATGGTTTGAGTAGATTTACCAATCACTATTCCAAATATAGTTCTTTCATCAGAAGCACTTGAAATGAAATACTTACTACCATTAAGAATGAATCCTCCTTCACAAGGTGTAATAGTGCATTCTAAATTATTTGGATTTGAAGATGATACATTCTTTTCACTCATTGCGAAAAATGATTTGCATTCTCCTTCTAATAATGGTCTTAAATATTTCTCTTTTTGGTATTAGGTACCATAAGCAATCAACAATTTAATATTTCCTGTATCTGGTGCATAACAATTAAATATTTCATGAGCTATATAACTCAATCCCATCAATTCTGACAAGAATACGTATTCCAAATTTGTTAAACCTTTTCCATACATTGGATCTGAAATGAATAAGTTCCATAATCCTACTGATTTCGCCTTTGTTTAAAGTTCTTCAATATCTATAATAGCTTTATTTTAGAGAGTTTTTGGTATAGCTCTAACTTTATCCAAGATTGCTTTTTCTTTAGGGAAAACTTCATCTTTTAAGAAATCTTTGATTCTATAATAGTAACTCTTGCATCTTTCTGAAATAGGCCAGTTAGACCACAATTAACCATCATTAGTTGCTCTCATTTTAATGCCATAAGGATCACCTTCAGTCATTTGTAAGATTAACTCATATCCAGCTTTGGATAAGAAATGAGAATTCTTTTAATATTTTTCATCTTAGGTTTATTTGTATAGAATTTATTATTCAATAGATTATTTAAGAATGGCCATAATAATTTGATATCTAATGTCTGGAATACTTTGACTAGATCTTGTTGTAAAGTAGGCTGATATTACTTCTTATAAATTAGGTTAACCTGCAATCTATTCAATACCTAACCAACCTTCTACATGATACTATCCATTTTCGAATGGAATATAGTATGGTGCAACAAAACTTGCTAAATCAATAAAAGCATTTCCTAATTATGCCTATTACCAATCCAAAATGGCCAAAACTTTAGGTTCAGTTGGATGGAATACTACTTTAGATAGTGAGAAATCTCCATGAACTAAACATAGATTATCAAGTTCTGATTTCATTGGTGAGTTTATTTATAACCAATATAATAAATCTTCGACATTTTTTGATATTTTGGTTTCATGTAATTTATATAAGTTGTATAATTTTTTATTTAGTGTTTGGTAATGACTTGTTTGAGATTCCAATTCTCCCAATCCTAAATAATTTAAACTTATTGAATGTAAATGGGCTAAGGCTTTTGTTACCTCTTTAAACAATAATCTCTTTTCAGCTGGTGAAACACTTAGTAACCTTTAATCATTAAAAAGTCTTCCTTCAACATATTCTGTTGCATAAAATGGTACACCTATAATTGATTAATCTTCACAATAAAATAATGTCTTAGGGACTGGTAAATTAGCACCTGATAGTTTTTAAGCAATCATGTAATCCTTTTCAAATTAGTTTCCCTATTATAATTTATTATGTATTTTTACTGTGATTTATGGGTTGCTGGCTTTTGTATGCAAAATTATCTTTTTATTTGAGTTCCTAAAAAAATTTATTATTTAATTACTTGAATGTGAGCTTGAATGTTTATGTCGCTAATTGTTATACTTAATCTATTAGACTCTCTTTTAAACCAAGAAACACACATACTGTTGCTTATTGATTCAAATAATTTGTTAAATTAAGTTACTTTTGGATTTCTGAAATCGACATTGCAAAAAAATAAATGATATTTTTTTTAAATAAATCAACACTAACTAATGTGGATTTAACCCTCAAATAATGAGATAACTAATGATGTGTAATTAATTAAATATGATGTCATACGAATTGTTCTTTCTTTGTTAAAATTTTATAAAGAAATTATTATGATTTATCATCATACCCCCCTTTTTTTATTAATCAGATTATAATATAATTAATTTTTATTATTTAAAGCTATTTATTCATTTTTAACTCATTCATGATTTCATATTGTCTTTTTCATTTCTAACTGACTTTCAAGTAGTCATGTGAATGAATTTTAGTTTAAACAAAAATGATTTTTCTTATCAATCACATGTATATAAATCATATTTAGTATTGTTTTGATAAAATGAATTATATTTATATTTGCAAGGATGAAGAGATTAATTAAGAAAAGAATGGCAAATAAAAATTATTATAAAATATTTTGAATAATAATTTAATTACTAAAATTGCCTTTTCTTATATAAAGTAAAATATTATATTTGATATAAAAATTCTTATTAATGAAGTAAAATGATGTTAACTTAAAAAAACAATTCTAAATAATGTGTGAATGATTAAGTTCAAAAATAATAATATTTCTAGTATTATTATAGTATTAATAGATGTTTATATTAAGTATGAAACATGAGCAATTTTGAAATCAATTACTTTGTAGTGTGTAGGATGCTTTGTTCTTTCAAATATAAAAAAAAATGTTTGAAAATAGAAAGAAACAATTAAAAGTATATCGAGATAGTTTTGAGATGCTTGTTGTTATTAAAGTGAATATGCGCGAGAAATAGGAAAGCATTTAATAACTGTTATTAAAACATAATTTGAAATTCAAATTCAAATTGGGCATTTCCCCAATATTTGAAGAAATAACAAAATTAATAAATAAAAACAATAATTCGAATTTAAATTAATTGCAATGAATGCCTCTCTTACCTAAATAGATGATTAAAACAACAATACTTTTTATAATTCCTTAAGAAGAAACTCGAAATCAGTAACATTCGAAAAAGTCCCAAAACATTAACGAACTTCAACATGTGGATCAGGAAGTACTATGGATGAAGAATATAATGAATCATATCTGAGCAGTAGTAGAATGGATGAAGAATTAAGCAATCCCTAATTCATTAGCAATTATAGAAAGGATATATTTCGATATATTTTAGAAGAATAAGTAAACTTATTAATTTATTCATTTAGAGTAACTATTTACCTGATTCATGCTTTATGGAATAAACTTAAAAAGATATCAATTAAAAAATGAGGTCTATCCTAATCGATTGGATCGAAGAAGTTCACATGAAATTCAAACTTGTAATTTGTTTCATCTAATATTATCTAGTCTCCAAACAGTTTGTATTTGGCTATAAATCTCATAGATAGATACCTAAGTTTCAACATTGTAAAGAGAAACAAACTTTAATTGGTTGGAGTAGCATCCTTATTCATTTCATCCAAATTTGAAGAAATCTACCCTCCAAATATTAAAGATTTTGTATATGTTTGTGATAGAGCATATACGAAAGAAGAAATACTATAAATGGAAGGATTTATTTTAAATACTGTTAATTTTTAACTTAACTACACAAGTCCTCTAAGATTTTTAGAATTTACTGTTATTGAAAACACTTAAATTGAAGACAATAAAGTATTTCAAACCTAACAATTTCAACTATCATCGTATATCCTTGAGATTGCCTTACATAGTTATGAAAGTCTTCAATACTTACCTTCATAACTAGCTTAATCAGCATTACTATTGTCTAATAAAATATTAGGAATATAATCAGATATTGAAATCACAGATGAATCAAAATATTGTGCCACTTATTTATTGTAGCTTTACTACAACAATCAAAACAATACTTTGTATCCAGCTGTGAAGAGAAAGTATGCTAGAGAAGAGCATTTGTAGGTCTCACAAATCACAATTTCAATTTGAATTTACTCTTTGTTTTTTAATTAATTGTGTGTATATATTTAATATCGATTTGCATTTATATGAAATTTTTTTTGACTTTCCTTTTTGCTATTATGGCATTACAAACACCAACAGATCCTGATAACAACTGTGTATTTTATAAATGTCCAGATGAATGGCGAACTTGTATTTCTATTGATACTTGTGAAAAGCATTTAACATAATGTGTCACTATTTATTAGAGGTTTTAAGAAATGCCATATGCATTAGGCTAATTCTATAATTGTTTAGTTGATGATGATAACACTAGATTATTATATCGATGCGTAAGATAAAAATGTAATAAACCTATAAGCAATTGTTTGATTGAAGCATTTACAAAACGAAATATGTGATTATTAAAATATAATTTAAATATTCAATATTATTCGTCATTGTAATTTGTCTCTTCATATTATTATTGCAAAAGTGTTTCATCATAGTTCTTCTTATCATAAAATATCTTATCACTGATAACTTCTATCACTCTCTCATGCTTTAATAAATTTTCAATTAACTTCTCTCGATCTTCCTTCTCCATCTTTATTTCTTCATTACTTAAGTCTAATTATAAAATGTTTACTTATTTTTGTTCCGTTTCAAAGTTCTCTCATCACTTCTTACTTAAATTATTTCCTCTTTAATATCTTCAATGCACTATCTCAAAATATTATATAACTCTGTTTTAGCAGATAATTCTTTAATATAAAGTTATTTAATATCTCTTAGTCTTTTTTATTCCTTTTTTAATGTATCCTAGTATGTTTTTATAATATTTTAATATCTAATTTTCTAAATAATATTATACTTTGCTTTTTAGACTTCATCAATACTTTATGTAACTTATGAATTAGTTATTTATGGAAACCTTACTTACTATTATGAGGATGATTATTTAGATTTTTCAGTTTTTTAATTTTTAATTCCTGATTTATCTAAGACTTAATCTTAATAAGAGTCCTAATCATCCTCTTTTTAGACATCATTTAATAACTTTTCATATTATTAAATTTATGATTTAAGAATCGCATTTTCCTTTTTCTTGATTATTAACTCTTTCATTAACATTTCTCTATCTCTTTCCTAAGTTTAATATTCAACCTTCAATTCCTTATATTTTTACATTAGTTAATGATTTTCATCATCAATTTTTTATGCAATCCTTTTGATCCATTCCAATTCACTAATCAATTAATTTTCTTTTAATATGTACTCTTTATCATTCTAACCTTTTTTTTCTCTTTCTTCTTAAAATTGTTTCTTTATTTCATTTATTTTATTATTAAAAAATCTAATAATATCTCTTTCTTAATCAACAAGAATTTTAGAAGTTCTCAATTAAATATTATTTATTCCTTCTATAATTTTACTATGATCTTTGTAAATCATTTCCATAATTTTCTTATCAGTTTGATCCAACGCAGTTCTAGATCTCAACTCTTATTACAATTCATCAATAGTTTTCTTAAATTCGATTTCCCTCTATACATATCTTGCTATAAGCTCTTCTCTCTACTTTCTTTTCTCTTCATTATGCTATTATTATATTTCTTGCAATTTATTTAACCATTCAGTAGTATTTAACTCACTTTTATTGGCTGAAGTAGATTATTATCCCTTGCCTTTCTTCTATTTATTATCTTAAGTATTTTCAATCTTTTTTGCTTACAATAATAACTATTCTTATGTCAATTTAGACGGTTTCAATATACTATCAGAACTAATTGCTAATTATTGCAATATTTATACTTTTAGTTAAATCACCAGTAGTAGCATATATACGATCTGCAATTTCCTACATCTTCTACATACTTTTAGTATTCTTAATGATTTATTGTTCATCTATTTTAGACATTTTAATTTATATATTAAATAATAATATAAATAAGATTAGTTGAATATTTGTATAAAAGATGATTAATGTATATAATAATAATTGTTAAATTTTCATGGTTTGAATATATCAATATACTTCAGCATGTTTTAATAAATCACTTTTCAATTATCCTAATGAAGTTGTCGTTAATAATATAGCTTAATCAAGTAGTTTACTTTGTTAAGTTCTTTAACGAGTTGATTATTAATATTCTTAATCTAAAATGGAACATTCAGCTTAGGTGTTGTCAAATTCTTTCATTTTATTTTATAATCTAACATCAACTTCTTTTTTTTCATTTTCACTCTATTTCAATTCATTAGATTAACTGTCCAACATTCCTCTTTTATTTAAAAATGGTACCTGTCATTTCAGTAAGAGATCTTGATGCTTCATTAAATAAATCAGCTATTTGATCTTTATAATCAGAATATGCTGTTTCTCTTGCTAATTCTGCTTAATCTTCTCTTGTTCTTTCAGTTTAAATGTATGACTCGATTTATTTTAAAATTGCACTTAATTAAATTGCTAATTTTAATGCTTCCTAAATTATATCAAATGTATTACTTCTTCACTTGTCTATTTTGAGAGAGATTATAGCAATTATACAAAATGTTTATAACCTTCAAGTTTATAAGTGTGTTTAACTTATTTTAAAACTTATTTCATTTCAGCAAATGACTCAAATTTACGTTAACCTTTTTATACAGAATCAATAAATTGATTAAATGCTAATTTAATTTAATGGAAACCAAATAAGGCTTACTCAAGGTTATCAAGAATGGTAGTATAAGTTTCATGCTCTTTCTCTCTCTTTTCAGCTGCTTATGTCAATTCTGATTTATAGTCATTCTATCTTTATTAAATTTTAAAATACTATTTCTTTTTATTTTCTTTCAACTGTTGCTACACTCTACTTCACATTTGGATTAAGAGTTTCAATGTATGATTTTAAAGTAACAGATTTGATTTTATAATTATTGATTTGATCATTCAATTAACCTAGATTAATATAGCAATTTGTAGTTATTCTCTTGTGTTATTCATCAGCTTTATTTTAAACTTTCTCTACTTATGATTATAGATTTTATAACATGTTAACCAAATTACCAACAGGCTCATCTGATTAGATATGCATTTGAATTGTTTCAAGAAGGGTTTATCCGAAATTATCATCATTAAGCTAAAGTACATTTTAATACATACATCTTCCATTGCTTATCTATATTGTGCACTTGTTGCATAAGTGTATACGAATAACACAAACAATAATAATTTCATATTAAAATAAATGAAAATAAATCCGTTTTACATAGTAAAATTAAAATGACATAAAAATGCATATATATCTATCACGTTCCAATCAATATACACTCAAGATAACTCTATGATTAATTTATTTAGCAATGGTAGTACGCAAAATAAATATTGGTTTATAATCAAATATATTAGTTAATAGTTTTTGTAATTGCTTCTTACAGGCTTTTCACTTCAAAGACATTTTGGCTATTTGAATCATTTAAAGATTGAAAACTCTATAAAATATTAAATTATTATATACCTAAGTTCTATTCAATGTATTCTTAACCTTATAAATAATAAAGTTTTTATTATTTATTTTGGAAATCTTCTCTAAGAATTCTTGATAGTGTTCTTCAACTGATTTATTGTAAAGATATATCACAATATCACAATTTTTTACATAAACTAGATATAAATTTATAAATTTTACCATCAACAATCTCAGTAAATTTAGTTGAATGAATATTGTTAATCCAAAAATGGTAAGTGATTTGTTTATTTTTATTAACTTCAACTTTTGAAACATAATCAAAATCTTTTTGTTAATGAAATTATTATCCACAATAATCAAAGACAGTTTAAGAATTATTTTCATCATCCATTACAATAATTTTAACATTTGATGTTTCCATTTATTCTTCTTCTATATCAGTATTCTAAATAATTATATTAAATTGTTACATTTGTATCTCTCTCATCAAAATCAAAGTTCATAATGTTTTATGTTTGTTTCTTAGAATTTCCTTCATAATATAATAGATCTTTATTCCAAGCTATTTAAGCAAGTTGAATGTATTCTTCAGTTGAATCTGAATGAATTGCGCCAAATCTTTTTCTCATTTTTAAGTTTTGTTAATTTAAAAAAATTACTAGTTTTCAAGAAATATTTGTGATATAAACTCAACCATAACTCATTCAAAAATATAATTCGTCATAACACATATTATCATGATAAAATTAATGCGAAGTACAATAATTCAACTTGATTCATTTCTATCGTCATTTTCATCTTATTCTTGAAGCCATTCCATTAGGTCTTTCTCATACTATTCTAATTTCTCATAATAAACATCTAAAACACAACGTTAACAACCTGAACCACAACATTCATCTGGATCTGGTTAATCTGGTTCTATTGGTCGTTCTTTCTTTTATTTTAAATTTCTCATCTGATAATTTATCTCAAAACTTTATTCCTTGCATAAATCAGACTCATCTATTCGATCAAATAATTTAATATTTTATTTAAATTAGCTAGCTATCTAGCTCCATAAATTCATCGTTATTTTTCTAATATAAATTAATAACATATTATTATTCATCATTTTTTCTGTGTTTAAAGTTCTAATTCTTCATCCAAATCATACAAAAATGGAAAAATGAAGTTTATCCAAATATTATTGTATTAAAATTATGCTAATTAGCAAGAACATTAATCAGTTATCTTTGTATTTACCTATCAAATATTATTATTTCTCTTACATAAACATCAACCATCTTCTCATTTTATTCCACTTTATCTATACTATCAGTAAATGCAAAATTAAAGCTGCATTCTCTTAAATCTATTTTATTAAATAATTTTGCTTGCTTCATTAACCATTAGAAATTATCCTTTTTAAAATCTATTCCACACAATATTAATAAATCAAGTTTCTGAAGTTGTACTTTTGTTAGTAAATTTTAATCCTTAAATCCAAATCTTAATTCTTATATCTCTATCACTTTAACAAAATATATATACCTTTAAGATATGAAAAAAAATTCTCTTTTAACAATATACATTAATCTTAATATTCTCCTTCTACAATCCCAAAGTGGAAAACCTTTAAATTTTATTAATTAAGCAAACTTTAAAAAATTTACATGCTCTCTTATTAATTTGATGAGCATTCATATGAATTAAACTTTATTTCTTTAAGATTTAATTTTCTTGAAAGTTCATTTTATTCTTATTTTTGGTGTTCACTATTATCATTAGAGACAGAATTCTTCATATTATCATTTAATTAAATTAAGTCTTTAAGAATTTCATCATTTCCTTTTTCAATTGTAATACTTTATAAATTATCTGCTTATTAAATTATTATATCTTTAATCTATTGATTCCAATCTCCAACTTTGATTTCACAAATTTATACTTTAGCCAATATTTTTGATAAATTGTTTAAATTATCATTATTTTTATTTTTATAGCCAAATGATTTCAATTTAGGAGATTCAGAAATCACTTTTTCAATGTATTCCAATGGAATTTCAGAAATATAAAATGAATCAAATTTTATTAATTCTGATAAATCTTTAGGAATCACAAGTTCCTATAAATCTCTTGCATTTATGTTTGGAAATACAATTTCTTATGGTTTTATGAACTTAGACAACAAAGTATTTACTTCTTTTGGTTAAAAATTTTCATCTTATATTTAATCCATTGATAAAGGGATTGAAGTTGAACAAACAGCCTAATCAATAAATGCATTTAATTCTCTCATTTTAAGTCTTTAGTTGATTGGAATATAATTTAAAACCTTTTAAAGACACTCAAAATTCAAAGTTAAATTATTTGTTTCAATTTAATTCATAAATTATAAATATTATTCAATAAAATATATTATCAAAATAAAAATAGTATAGTGGAAAAAATAAATAATTTAATCTTTAATATTCTTTAGAATATATAATAATTATTTTCAAATTTAATCTTTTGTTTTAAAGAATCCATAATTTTCTAAGTGAGATTTATCTTCCAATTAAAATAAATAAAATTAAATAATGAGATTATAAATATAAAAAGTACAATATATTGAATTTTAATCATGAAAAAAAGTATTCATTAATAAAGTTTTTTCAAATATTTCACCAGTCCCAAAAGTTTTTTCTTTTCTTTTCAACACCTTTTCTTTCATAACTGAAATTTGTATCTTTAGAGAATCGAACTTTTTTTGATTTTTTAACGGCAGTATGAGTTGATTTAATTGATTTACTTCCAGAGAAACTTCGATGAGTTAATGATCTATTTTTTAAAATGCTTTTGTGACTTTTTTATGTTTTACTTTGACTACTAGATCCTCTTTCATCTGATGAAAAGAATTCACTAAACATTTTTTCATATGCATCAAGCATCATTTTTTTTTTAGAAGAACCTTTACTTGCATTATTACTGGCTAGTTCTTCTCTAGCTTAAATAATTTTAATTAGAGCACTTTTTCTCATTATATCAGATTATGATGAAATAGATTTATCTTTGTAAGGAGGAGTTGGTGTTTTAGAGATTTAAGATTTTTATGAAACTGTATCATTATCGTTTCTTTTAGGTGCAAATTAAGAAGTTGATTTAGGTTAGAAAGGATTTATGATTGAATGATCATTCTATTAAATTATTGAATTTTAAAATGAAAACTAGTTTTCTAATTCATCTTTTTATTTATTTATTTATTATTTTCTTTAAAGTTCAAGTTCTTATTCATATATTTATTGAACTCGTTTTATATTTTCTTATTCTTCTTAAATACTAAAAATATAATATTTATATATATATATACTTTTTTTTAATAATGAATTTAATCTCTTCTTCAATATCATGCATAAATCTATTTTTTCGATCACTTTATATGTCAAAATTTTAAATTCTTTTTTTAAATAACTTTATCTCTCTAGATGACTGAAATTCCTCTCCAATTTTATCATCAAAAACACCTTTTTGAGAGCATATATGATCAGTCTTAGAATCCTTATCAGATTCTTTTCTTTATTTATGTTTTTATTTAACTGTTATTTCTTATTCTATTGTAATTTACTATCTGCACAAATGTTGACAAGCTCCCATAAATTAATTTATAAATCAATTCTGACAACTTAAATTTCCAGATGAGAATAATTTGATTTTATTTTTAATATTATTTTTTATTATCATATAATAAGATGATGAGAATATATTAAATTAAAAACTAAGAATATTAGAATAATATAAGTAAAATCCTTAAAATTGTTTAATTTAAAAGGTAAATTAAAAAAAAACTATTGAATTCATGTTTTCTCTATAACTTTTATTTGCACTCATAAAATTTAGATCATAAATGTACAATTAATTAGATTTTTGATGAAATCAAAGTTTAAAATATATCTCCAATTAAACCTTAATATAAAATATTAAAATAATCTAAAAAAAATGTTTTGATAGTCTTTAGTACATCAAAAGCATGTAGTTATTATATTAGAAGTATAAATTGAAAGGTAGTGAGATTTATATATATATTAGAGGTATCTAATATTATTATTAATCTCAACCCTATTCTTTAAAAATTAAATATAATATGTCTAATTAGCAAAGTTCTGAATCCCACACATCTTCCATCATATATACACCAATACCATTAAGACTTTAGTTAAGTGCATCTCGTTCTAGTAAATAAGGTTCAAATTCTAACATTCTTTGGGATAGCACTTCAAAGCATTCATATGTAAAAACTCGTTCGTAAAGTCCTCGAAAAGTTTTGTATATAATCATCACTTATACTAAATAGACTCTAAACATTTGAATCCTTATATCATGAAAGACCCAATAATCCTATGATACGAGATGAAAAATTTAAAGAACTTGAAAATCTTATCTCATCTTTTGATTCTGATGCTTTCATTCAAGATGTTGAATTGTTCGAATGAACTCTATATACTTTTGAAATGTGAATTTAGTATTTTCATAATAAAGTATTAAAAACAACCAAAATATTTATATCTTGTATGATCAAGTGAGTGATCACTAATCATATTTATATCCTTAAAATGTTTATCTTAATATTCACCATAATTATCGTCATCGTAATTTTTCGAATTTTATAATAATGTATAAAAAATTTATATTGTTTACTTTGATTCTATCTTATGTCTACACAAGAACAATTAAGTTGAGAAAATCAAAATTAATACACATCCCATTAACTTAAAAAGGTTAAAGAGTTTAAGATGCTATAAAATCATCAATAGAATCAGATTTACGTATTTCATTTGAGTTGAGTCATGAAGACAAAGAATAAATCAAAAATTAAAATTTGCTTTTAGAAAATCTAGATAGACTTTAATATGCATATTAATTATCATATATTCCATTGAGGTTTAAAATATATCATAAATTTAATTTAGAAATTCATACAATGCTTAATATTTTGGAAAAATAGAATTAGGTTAAAAAGAATAAAATTTTGATGTTTTATTTGATACAGGTTCTTCTTATACGTAATATATATAAATAATTTCTAATTTAGTTGGGTAGCATCAAAAGACTGTCATACTTGTTAATAAGTTGGAGTAAAACACTTCTTTAATTGTGAAACTTCAGAAAGCTGTACTAAATTAAATAAGAAAATTAAATTATAATATGGAACAGGGAGAGCTGTAGCATAATTTATGACTGATAATTTAAAAATAGCATAGCTGTTAATTTAAAATTAAACTATATTAATTTTAGATGAATTAACAGAAATATAAAATTTTGAAGGTGATGGTTTAGCAGGACTTGGTTTTAGTACATTAAGTGATGGATATCCAACACTTATTGATAATCTTTTTACTTAAAATTTAATTGATAAAAAGGTTTATAAATTTTCTATTTTAGGAATTTTCAATTTATTTAACAGATGTAGAAAATAAGAATGATCTTTAATCTAAATTAATATTGGGGGGTAAATAAGATGATTTAAGTGATCATGATGATTAATGGCATTATTGTGATGTTATAAACAACAACTATTGGGCTATATTAGGAGATCATATATCATTTGTATCTAAGGATGGCAAAAAAAGAAGATCATTAAAATCTATTTAACCTGTTCATTATTCAGCAGATGAAAAGTCTGATATTTTATATACATCTCTTTTTGTTATTGATTCAGGAACATCACTTATAGTTTTATACTAAAAAGATCATGAGAGACTCGTTGAATATTTGAATGATTTTGGAATCGAATGTTTTGATAGTATTTAATATGAAGGAATAACAGAATGTAATTAACCTAATATAGATGAATATCCTAATTTTGAAAGTTTATATTTTTAAATTATTCTATTAGTATCTTTATGTGGCAAATTGTTTACAATCCCTCCTGAGAAATATTTATTATGTTCATTCTTTGAATGCTATTTAATGATAACACCATTTGATGAAAAAGTTTCAATCTTAGGAGATCTATTTATGAGAGAATATTATACTCATTTTATAGAAGAAGTATATATATTAGAGAATATTAGACACCTAGAAAGATTGGTTTCATTAGAGCTGTATGAAAATTTATATATATGTATATATATAAAAAGGTTTAACTAATTTATAAGATAATAATAATAATTTTCTTGACTTTTAATTCGTTATATTTAATTAATCAGATTTTAATTAAAAAATATTATATTTTTCTATTATTACAACAAACTAATGATGCAAGATGATTTTGAATAAATAGGTGACTATATTGTTTAAAAAAATGTGAAATTAGGCTCTGGATCTTATGGCACTGCCTATACATGCTATAAAAATAATGATAAAAATTAAGAATATTGTATAAAAATTATGATAAAGTCATTCACGGGTGATTCAGAAAAAGTAAAATATTAAAAAAAAATATTTAATGCAGAAATATAAACATTTTTAAAATTAAAAAATGATAATTGTGAAAATTTAGTTAAAATGATTGACTATATCGATTAAGCTACTCGTTTATGCATTGTAATGGAATTATGCGAATATGATTTGTAAAAAGAGCTTTAGATGCTAAGAAATAGTAATAAATGGCTTTCTAGAATAGAAATGATTGAAATAATATAGTAAATTTTAAAAGGGGCTAATGCTCTAATTAATAACCATATTATACATAGAGATATCAAGCCAGAAAATATACTGGTGAAAATTATTAATAAAGATTAATATAACTAGAGAAAAGTTTACAAAGTAGACATTTTCTTAAACTAATTTTTAGATAGGTGATTTTGGTTTTACTAAATATCTGGAAGATGTTTACGCTATGTCTAATTTAACAAGAGTTGGGACTTAAATTTATACTGCACCTGAAATTCTCGAAGGGAAAGACTTTTCTTGTAAATGCGATGTCTATTCATATGGGATTTTGTTTCATCGAATTGTCTATAATCTAAATTTTCCAAATAATTATGTCAAAAAAGAGGATATGATAAATTTTATAAAATATATCAGAAATAACCCATACAAATGCCCATAACTTCAAGGTGAATATGGCAATATAATAACTGATTTAATAGAAAGAATGCTTATCTATAATTAAAGTGAAAGATTGTCATTTGAAGATATATAATCTCATCAAATTATGAAAATTTCTTATTCCATTCCACAGGACTCAATCTTACAACCTATTGAAAGAGGAATTAATGAATAAGATTTATAAAAAATTAACTCATTAATTGAAGATGAAAAGTTTGAAAGGTTAAATATATTAATAGATATTTTTTATCGTAAATATCTTCTATGTAAAGACTTTATAAATTTTATGAAATAAAATCCTATTCCACATAATTTTGATTTCTTGATTTTATAATAGTTTATTGAATTGTTAGGGTTCAACCAACTAAACTACGGATTTGCTATGATTAATTGTATAATAAATGATATAGAACCATCACTTTTAGAGGATAACGATATACCTTTACTAATTAAACTCTTAGATCAATATATGAAAAATTCTTAATAAAATTAAGCACATCATAATCTGCATTTATAATTAATTGAAGAATATCATAAAATTTAAAGTATTTTTAAATAAGACCTAAATGCTTTAATACTTTTTCAAGTTTAACAAAAATGGTTGAAAAATTAAAAAGAGTTTGAATTGCTAAAATAAGCAAGAACTAAAAAAATACCAACCATAAAATGTTATGAACTATTGTAAGAATTGGCAAATAAACCCACAATTACTATTTGGTTAAGCAAAAAAAATAAGTAAATTTAAATGGCATAAATTTTAGTAAAATTTCTTAATAACTTTCTACTATCACAATGATTGATACTCAATTTTAAATTGCAAAGTACAGATTTATAAACCCAGATGACATTTTTCAGATATGATTATCAAGATCTATGTTTTATTTATATTTTACTTTTTTCACTTATAAAAATTCAAAATTATTTAAAATATAATAAAAATACATGAAATTTATTTTCTCTATATCTTTTAATCCTTGATATTAAATAGATGGAAAAAATAAATATACTACATTCTAAATAAATAGGAATTGAAATATAAATAATTTTTATAAATATATCAAATCAAATAATGTATTTTTCAATATTTTAAAGATCTTACTCTCGTTTTTGATAAAATTTATCCATTTAATGCACATAATCACAAATCTAGACTTTTAATTTTAAATTATTTTAAACATTTTAATAATTTTATCTGGATGCCATGTCTTTGGCTTTATCAATCATAAATAAAAGTCACTACATTTCTAAATATTATTTATAATCCAAAAACTTATAGTCCTTAAAGAAATGCATAGTTATTTGTTTGAGTTTAAAATTAATATTTTATATTTTCATGTATTCATTTTAATTCTATAATTGAATGAAGTATTTAGACAAAATTGTTCTTTCTCGAATTTGCTCAAATACTTTTAAGTAAGAATCATCAATTTCTGAAAATTGAACTTCAAACTAAAGGATTTATAAGAAACTTATAAAAATTAAATAAATTTGAAGATATCTTAGAGTATATGATTTAACACTTTTTTAATTTATGAAGAGATGTTAATCTCCCATTTATCTAAAATTCTAATCTTTTATTTCTTATAAATAGATAAACATTAATTCAATGGTTTGAAAAGAAATCATTGATAATTTTTTGTAAGAATGGATAAAGTGGATAAATTAATAGAACTTAAAATTCTCTAATTATTTAATTAGCAAATACGATTTTCTTGAAGAATAGATTAACATTCTTTACCTAATTTTCGAAAAATAAAAAGTCTTAAAGTTTATAACAATTTTGTTTGACATTATAAATAAATCTAAAACGAGTATTCAGATTTAAATTTTTGGATTTTGTTAAATAATAAAATAGAAAATGTTTCTGAAAAGTAGATTAGAATATTTTTAATAAGTTTTAAATATATTGTAATAAAGTATTTAAATTTGAATAGATGATTTTTAAATATTAATGTTGATTCTAGAGTATTATATTGCAAATAATTTTAATTTTTAAATAAAGAATAAAGTGTAGAATAAATGTATAAAAATAATAATAAAAATAAATAGAGATATTAAAAATATCTAAGTTAGGAGAAGATATAAATAGATATGAGAAATTTAATGGGGATATATGAAATAGATAAATTTGTAATATTTAGATAATAATTTTGAAATAATAATAGAACGATAATAAAATTTGATTTCAAATAAACTAGATTAATAATAGGAAAGCAATTTGTATGATTGTACTCCATGATGCTTCAATAACAGGTAGGGATGTAACACCATTAAAAGAAGCAGTCTATATTTAGATATATATAAAGAATACTCCTTTGTATAATGTACGTCCATTAAGATTTTGGATAGGACGATTATTGGATTAGGTTGGGAAGTAATCATCATTATCGAGGAAATCTTTGAATTGTTAATATTGTGTTTTGGATATAGGCAATGGTGAAGTAAATACATACCAATTAACTGTTTAGGAACAAGGTCTAGCATAAAAAGATGCAATATACATAGTTGTAAGACTGCCTGTATAATGATAATAGGTTTTGTCTGTCATCTTTTGAAAGAAATCACTATTTATATTAATGATAAATTATACTTCATATCAAAAGAACTGACTTTATTAACTGTATCATCAAACCATGGTTTAAAAACTTCATAATCTGTAGCAGTGGCAGATTATTAGAATAGTAATCCAAAGACAGTAAGTTTATTTCTAATATCATTACAACTTTATTCTCCATCTTCAACAGCCTAATAAAATTAAAAGATACTTAATGCACAAAATGAACTTCTAAATCAAAATTTTTACCATCTACTTAATGTTCTGAAGGAGTATGGATATGAAACTACCTAGCATAGTATTTATATTATTAATTGGATAAGTCAAATGCTGTAATAAAATCATACTCTCCTTCTAATTCTTTAGTATAATCCCCTTAATAAATAATTGAAGAATATTACTCTAAGCCTCAAAATAGTTTTTAGTTGATGTCTTCAGTATATAATTAATGGCTGGAAATGAACTTTCTTTCGTTGATGTAGACGTTACTATATTTATGGGAGATTGAAAGCTAGCTCCACATGTAACGACTTTAGCTAGACTATTAATTATTATTAAGTACTTTTCCATTCATTTGAGTTTAAGTAATTCCAATCTGAAGGATCAGCATCGCCCCAAGTTGAATTTTTAACGCCATCATTAAAAATTGGATCTGGTAATTGACAATAAGTTCTTTAGGCCATCAAGGAATCTAGCAGACATATTATAAGAATTGAGCCAAGAATCATCCTTAATTTAAATTATTTTATTGTATTTTTAGAACTAAAGAGCACTTATTTAAAAGTGAACTCATAAAAATAAACCATTCATTACTAATGTTACTAGTACTAAAAATGCATAAGAAGCTTCCAAATTTGGGATTTCTGCCACTCCGGTTGTAATTGCAGTCTTAAAAATAGTAGCAATTTTTTACCCCTTTCAAGATCTTTCTTCCATTCAAATGTTATATCGGACGATTGTTCTGCTTTAATGGAAACACAGTGGAATCTGTAAATGTACTTCTAAATTAGTTAAGTTAAGATGGTGATATTGGTAATGCCTGATAGAATACAATCCAATTAACTATTTAAGAGCATGGAAGAGTTGTTAAACTTCCATTATAATGATAATAGGTAGTATCCGTCATCTTTTAAAAGAAATCGCTATATTATTGAGAATAAAATGCTTACTTTAAGTCAAATGATTCCACTTCTCCAGTAACATTTTGGTCAAACCAAGGCTTAAATACTTCATAGTCAGATGCAGAAGCAGATTCTGTGAACATAAGACCAAAAACTGTCAAAGTGTTCTTTACTTTATTACAATCTTGTTGTTCATCCTGGATAGCCTTAAAAATATATTATAAATTAGTTACTTGATGAACAAAATGAATTTCTAGATCATAATATTTTCCATCAATAGTATGTTCCGATGGTGTGTGAATATGAAATTACTTTGCATAATATCGAACTATTAATCCAGATGCATCTGTAACATCAATTTCAGAATATTCTCCTTCATATTCCTTTGTATATGGTTCTTAACTTTTTGATTAAATAATATTACTGTTTGCTTCCTCGTATGCAACATCTGAAGCCTTGTTTTTATAGTGAATTTTTGGTTATATAGCCTCTTAGGTTGCTGAAGATGTCAAAATATCAATTGGAGACTGAAAACTTCCACCACATGTTACAACAATTTCTAATTATTTGTAATGTTATTACCATCCCAGTTATTTGCATTTGCATAGTTCCAACCAGTAGTTCCAAAATCAGTAGCTGATACACCATCAGCTAATACTGCATCGGGAAGTTAACAATAATCTCTTTTTATTTCTTCCTCGTGTGTTTATTCGCATAGAATTTGAGAAATTATAGACAATATCAATATAAAAATCATCAAATTAAATATTTTTCACAAAGATTGAATTAAGTTTGATTTAATGTTAATTCTAATTAATGCTAATCAAGCAACTTTTAATCAAACTATTCTTCAAATCTATTTTTAGAATATTATTTTAATTTCTTTTTTTATTATTTATTCAACTTAAATAATATAAATTTATTTTCTTCATCTTAATCTATAAAATAGAATGTAGGCAGTCTACATACACTAAAAGTCAATGTTACGTATTTCAACTCTTTCATCATCCCACATTTACCACATATTCATATTCTTAATGTAACTTACATAATGTCCACCTCTTGCATCTCCTATATGACAACAAATACCCATCAAATCATACCATCTTGTCTAATTTATATTATATATATATTATATACATTAACTTTTAACTCATCTCTTATGAAATAAAGATTTGTATTTTTTATTATATCATTTCTTTAAAGTATTAAAATTAATGTATTACTCAATTTTCCATCTATTATTAAAGGACTATCTTTTTATAATATATATTGATAATTTAACACTTAATTCGGATTTTCCAGTTCTTTACACCATAAAAACTCTTCCAAATCCTTGGTTCTAAAAACTAAATACAGAGGTGAACTAGGTAACCAAATCTCATTTGAATCTTCAATGTAACCATTCAAATTATAAATGTTAAAATTTATATTAGTTTATTCTAATTCTTGTCTTAGTTAGTAATATAATTAATGTTAACTTATTTGTTAATCTAAATATAAAAATCTAGATCTTTAAATTGTTTTTGTCATATCATTTTCAACAAACTATAGTATAATTCTCTTATATAAATTATTAATCTTACTCAATTTTGTACAAGTAATCTCTTTACTAACTATCAATGTGATATGTAAAAAGATCAAATTCTAACTTTTCATCTTTAGGCCAATTATATTATTCCTATGAACCAGGCAGCATTTTAAACATTCTGATTTTTTAATAACCTTCATCAAGATTGATCAATGGCTTTAAATTATTGATATTAGGTTTTTAATCCCAAATAAAATATAAAATATCTTTCACCCAACTCTAATGAAGATAAATACAATTTTTATGTTCAGGTATTTCACAATATGGAGATTCATTAATAATTGTACAGGAATCTAAAAGTTTACTTTCAGATAATAAGAACAGCAAAATCTCAAAGGCATCTTATGGTTCTTAATTATCTGGATTTTAGGAGAAAATAATCGGTTATCTCTTTCTAAGTTCAATCCAAAATAATTCTAAGTTTTTAGCATCATCATAGTCATTTAAATATTGAAGTGTAGATAATAAGTATTATTGAAATAGATCATCTTCAACCTAATCAACAAGTAAACTTTTAGATAAGCAAATCAATAGAGAGTTTAAAAAACAAGTGTTTCCTTAATTCTTTATACCTTTAAGCATTTATATGATAAATTATTAATAATCATTTTTTAGCTTTAGAATTGCCTCTTTATTATGAATTGCCTATGGATAGATTGCGCTATAATTAGATATTGAAATCGTACCCCTTATAAATTAAGCACTGAAATATCTTTTGGAGGTTTAGTATTAGTAGGTTTGATGGGTTATTAAAATTGTAATTATTTATCTTTTGGAGGTAGCACTTTATTTTAAATAGCAGATCCTCCTCCATCTCTTTTATTACGAGATTGATCTCTAACTTTTGGTTTAGATTAAGATTAACTAATTTCATCATAATCTTCCTAAATAGATAATTCCTATTTATTAAACTATTTTCTAGGGGCACTCTTATCTCTTTGTTTAAATTAATTTGGTGAATTTTGTTTTAATTCTTCTTTTTTTATAAATTCTTTAAATTAGTCTAATTCTGCTAAGTCTTCTAAATCATCATCATCTTATTCTTATTGAAATTCTGGATCTTCTAATAAATCATCTATGTACTCAATATCTGTTTCTTCAAAGTACTTCTCGTCATCTTAAGTATCATTAATTAATTTCTTCTAATTTTCAACAATCATTTTTAAATCATTAATTGTTTTTTCTTAAATTTATAAATTGATTTCTAATTCTACATTTTACAATTCTAAAACATGATTTTTAATTTCTAATTCCAAATAATCTCTTTTTTCTTTACTTTAAATTCTTTTTGGTATGGATTCTCTAATTTTTTTAGCATTATTAATATTTTCAATTAATTATAAACCCATCAATTCTTTTTTGATCATATTCTTTTCTGTACTAGTTTTTAAAGTTTAAATGCTTTTCAATCCTTATTTAATATCTTCTGGCATAGCTTTATCTCCAGATTTTTTCCATTATAAAATTTCACTTTATCTTTTTTTAATTTCTAAAAAATTCATAGCATTTTATTCTTCAATTTCCATTAATGCTCTTCTTAATTATATTCTTTCTTAAAAATTTTCAAAAATTTCTTCTTAAATTGATTTTAATTCTTCAATTTCAGGTTTACCATTTTTATTAATATAATTATTGATAGTAATAGATTCATCTTCATTATCATCAAATTATTTTTCATTCAATCTTGATTTTAAAGATTCAATTTCTGATCTAAGATCACTAATAATATTTTTATATTCTGCAATATGCATAGCAACTAATTTTTTATTAGGTAATTATTTAGTTTTAATATTTTTAGCTCTATTAGCATATTTTAAAGTATTAATAGTTTCTTCAAATTAAGATGATGCTGGTGAAATATTAGCAATCATAACAGTTCTACAATTACCACCTAAAGAATCCTTTAAAAGTCTAGTTAATTTACTATCTCTATAAGGAACAAAGAATCCTTTTTTACTTTTATCTCCTAATGCATTAATACAATTTGCAAGTGCTAATAAAGATCTATTAATTTTAGCACCTTCTCTTAATCTTAAACCTCTATTTTCAGTAACAGTTCCTCTTTCACTACCTGCTAAATCAATAAGACTTAATTTTCCATTCATAGATTCCATTTCAGTGTTTTTTACTTTACTTCTTTGAGTAACATTAATTTAAAATACTGCATGTGATCTTGAAGATGTAAGATTTGCATTAGTAGCTTCAGTTGTTCTTCTTCTATTTCCTTATAACAATAAGTTCATAACCTACTAAACACTTATTGCCTTATACTCAGTAACTCCTGCTATTGTTACTCCCTTTATCGGATCATCTCTCAATTCCAAATATTAAGATTATTAAATTAGCAAATCACGTATAGCTTCATTATATATTTCTACATAACTTATCATTACGATGTATTCATTATCCAAATCCTTTTTTATGAATTCAAACATATCTCTTATTGTAAGTACACTTATTCCCATTGTCTCTTAATTTCCTAACATTGTATAAGTCTTCCCTGTTCCTGTTGGACCATATGCAAATACTGTTGCATTATAACCATTCATTACAGGCTTTATCAATTATTTACATGTTTATTCAAAGATCTAAACTATACCAACCAACATCTTACATCATCTTAACTCTCCTCTCTAAACACTTTATCAAATGCATAACGTTGTTCTTTACTTCTATGATATACTTCTAACATTTTCTTATTCTCTGCTTCGTATTCCATTTGTATTGGGTCTAAAATTATCTGAATTAGTCATCTATATTATACTATACTATTAAATTATCCTCTACTCTAACTATGTCTAAATCATCGTTTGCTATTTCTTTTTAATTAAGGGGCCTACAACGAATTGCTACTAAAATATTCGATTCTTCCGCGTTCATAATAATTTCTTTTTATAAAATCAAATGAATAACTATTTTTTTTTATTTATTATTCAATCTCTTCTCTTTCTAATCTCTCATTTTTATATCTTTCATTCTCTATAGCTATACACACTTTTTCAATCATTAACACTTCATTTTTATTTAAATAAAATAATCATTCTATTTATACATAAACCTTTTAAATTCTCACCTATTTATTTAGATTATCAAATCCATGAAGTAATTCTATGTATTTTTTATTTTACTTCTTATTAATATATATAAACAAAATTAGAATTATAATTTTTTAACTTAATAATTTAATTCAATTATCTCATCTTAAAATGAAGCTCAAATTATAAATGTAAGCAATAAAATATGAACTTAATTGAATCATTTTTAGAATAATTCTAAAAAAAGTTATTTTCAAAAAATTTAGAATATGAATTTAAAATTCTAAAAACTTTAAAAATATTTGATAAATTTTGAAAACACGTTATCATCAAAAGAAAATATTTTGAAAAATTGCGGGTCTTTTTATATATCTTAATAAGCTTAAAAAGATATGAACTAAATTTTTATGTTAAATACTAAAATAATTCATCATTTATTACTAATAATATAATTAACAGTTAAAAATTTTTGAAAAAATGAATAACATATAAGGATATGGATTAGATAAGCCATCAGTTAGATTACATCAAGCCCCTGGAGGAAATTCAACAATCTCATTTGTACATACCATATTTAAAAGGAAAAGGGAGACTATACACCTTAATAGGAAGTAGTTAAACCATTAGGAAGAAAATAAGTCAATCAACCTCCTGTTTAATAAGAAAAGCAGGATGCTAAAACATCAGTTAAAGTAAGAAATCCTCCAGGTGGCAGATCTTAAATATAGTTTGGATGAGTATAAATTATACAAATTACTAAAATCATCATCTAATAAATCCTACAATAAGAGTAATATCATCAATGACTTCATCTTCTCTTTGCCAAGCTTCTGTAGCAATTTATACTAATTTAACACATGCACCATTGAGATCTCCTTTTTGATAAAATTCATAAACGATTTGAATAACAATGTCATTTTATAAAAATCTAAATAAGAATAATTAATACTCCCAAATACCATCAGATGCAATAATGATAAATTTATCAGATTGTTATAATGAATATTTGATGATTTCTGGTTCACAAATAACCCCAACTTAACTAGCAACATAATCTCCAAAACTTCTTGACATTGCTAAACCAGGAACATCTTAATTCATAATCCAAACTCTTGCTGGTCCTATTGATTGACCATCTTCATCACAATAAGGTAATACTCTACCACCTTTACTTAATATTCTTGTTTATTCTAAAAAACAATCAGGTTTGTGATCTTTTGATAATTCAATAACAGAAAGTTTGTCATCATATCTTCCTATTATTGCTCTGCTATCTCCAATATTAGCACAATATAATTCATTTTTTAATACAATTACAACTATTGTAGTTGAACCAGAATAAGTAACATCTATTCCACTCTTTAATAATTCTTAATTCGTCTTTTTAAAAGATTATTTCAAAATTGTTTCAATCTATCTTTTCTACTCAAATTAATTTTTTAGTTATTTTAAATCTTCTTCTATATATTAAGGTAAAGATTCTTATATAAATTATGCAACCTAATGACCATTAGTTCCATGTCCATCAGAAACCTGAAAGTACCAATAATTCTCATTTCCACAAAATTTTGGTATTAACTTGTAAATATCTTAATTTATTTTATTTTAACCTGTATACTATATACCAGCTTAAGATTATCCATAAGCCTATCTTATTTATTATTAAGATTAAAATAACTCTGGATTACTTATAGAACGAGACCCTTTAAGTAATTTAAGAATTTGTGGTTTTTTAGTTAAATCTAACAAAATTTGATATTATTTTTTGACATCTATTTTATTGTAGATTTCTACATCCTTACTCTATCTAAATAACTTTTCAGACTTAATTTTTTAAAGTATTTTCATAGCGCAACTCTATAAGTTACTAGAATTATCTTTGCTTTCTAAGATCTTGCTGTTCTAACGTGCATGTGTATTTTTAAAGAAAACAGTATTTAGATTGTTACAATCATTACTACTTTTAGGTCTGGTCTTCTTTTTATTTAATTATTGTTTATTATTCTTATTATTTGCAATTGAATTTCTAATCCATAAATCTGTATAGTACTTACTTAGTTATTGATACTAGTGGTGATTTCAGGTTAGCTAATGATAACTCATCTCTTTTATTTTGAAGAAATTCTAATATTTTTTATGACGATATAAGAGACTTTTACATATGGTAGCTGATTTGTTTAAAATATTTTATAACATCATTTTCTTTAATTTCCTCTCGTTTTCATTTTTGATCTATTTACATTATCTATACCAAGTTTGCATGTATAAACAAATGTTCTTGGATCTTCATTGTTCTAAATTATAAAACTATTTGTTAATTGTTATTAAAACTAACTTTATACTTAATTGATCTAACTTTTATTAGATATCTCTCGTTTTTCTGCTAATTTATAATATTTTTTGATATACATTATTTTTTAAACATTGACAAATTATTTGAGTACATCATTACAAATTTATACAAATCATCCCAATTATTTTATAACCTATTATCAACTTCTTTCTATTAAAAACCTGGTTGTTACAATTCAACTTCTGTTGGATTATAAGTCAATCTAATTTTTATTCCAGTCGAACAAGATTCATAATCATGTTTATTGTCTTATCTAATCATAGTTATAATTATTACTATTAAAAATATGTAATCTATGATAATCCAGGTGTATTTTTTGTTATGATTTCAGCTATTAAAATACATGTTGGAATAGCACTTGAATTTCCTAATAATTCGACTGCCTAATATTAATTATTTCTGTCTCTCAATTTTAATAAGGTCTAACATAAATAATCTTATCATTAAATGCTTTTAGATACTTGCCAAATTATTTATATTCATCTTTCTACTATGACCTAAAATCTATTTAATACTAAAATATACCCTCGATTTTAATTTAATAAGGCATTAATATTTACATATTAAAACTATTATAAATATAAATTAATTCATTTTCTAAAGTTTCTTAATTATTATTATTATTCTTTTATATATATTGTATTATAATTATGCTTTATTTTTGAATTTACATAATCATGACATGAAATTTAATTAATAACATTGCTATGGTAAGATATCTAATTTCTTATTAGAAAATTTATTTGATTCAACCTAGATTTATGTATCATCAACTCATTTTGTTTTTAAAGTTAACTTAAATTTATCCATCAACTAATATTTCATTCTCTTCTTACTACCCTCTTCATTCATATTTTTTCTTTAAGTCATAAATCTAACTCAATTAACCTTTTACAAATCCATTAAATCTAATATTTTTAATTATTCATCTAATTTTTTATTTCTTTACTTCTTTATTTAAAAAAATCCTAAATGACTTTTTAATTATATGATAAAGTTGCTAAAAATTATTGTTAAAGAGATTCTAATCTATCTCCTAATGATTCTATTCTATCAAACTTCTAGCTTATTTACTTTAATCACTCTTCCAATTTCAAGTTCTTATGTTCTACGTTTTATTCTTGAATCAAAATCCGCTCCTTTAAGTTCTTTATGTTAAAGTTTATCATACAAAAATTTAACAATTATAATTATATATAAACATCATTCCTTTATGATTTCATCATTCTAAAATTAATTGTCATCATCTTAAGACTTATTCTCTAAACTTTTTAGACTTCTTTTGGCTTATTAAATTTCATGATTTATTTTCTTAATTTCTTCATTGTAATTCTTTATATTATCTTCCTACTATTATAATTTATGAATATTTGTCTTACCTTAATTAATTTATCAACAAGATTATTAATTCTATTCGTATGTTCATATATTTTATATATGACCTCAACAATATCAAATATTTGTATTAAAGCATTTTTTGCTACTTCAGGTGATGCATTTTCTTCTAATATTTTTTATCTCAAGTTTAACAAGAACTAAGTTTTTTCTGCATCTAAATGTGTGATATTTACAACATTTTGATATCCTAAACGATTAATTAAGTCTTAACCATCATTCTTTTCAAGTATTTATTCCTAATCATTATTGCCAGTTCATACTTTAAATTCTGACCAATTATATAAATCAGGATTTTCCCTATAGAAAATTAATAAAATCCAACGAAAAAGACTATGTATATGATTTTTAATATCTTTTTAAGAAATCTTCAATTTTACTTATAATAATTGATTGAATTACATAGATCTTTAAGATTAATAGAAGTAGCTAATTATCTTCTGATGAGTGTTTCAACTTTAATGTTTTATTTTTCATCTTCAATATCTTATTTAATTTAAAACTCTGGATTTTCTAATGTAAGTTACTATCGCTTTTTTCTTCCTAAGTCTAAACTTTTATTTAATTCATCTTTTAAAGATGCTGATTCATGATCTCCAATAGAATGAGAGTTTTCTTAAGAGTTAATATCTGCAGTATCATGTGATTAAGGAATTTCAGATGGAATTTTCATTAATTTTATTTTATAATAAAATTTATGTTTTGATAAGATAGGTTAAGAGTAGATATAATTTTTAAGATAAAATTAATATTTAAAAAATAACACAATGTTAAAAATGAAGATACAGAAATATTTGGAGTATTAAAGGTAAATGAATAAATTAATATGATGAAAATAATAAAAAAAATGAATAAAAAGAAATAAAAAGAAATTCAACAGAAAGTGGATTTGTAATAAGAGGAAAAACCAATAACAAAAAAAATAAAAAAGAATGAAGCTAATCCAGCCGAAGAATACTAAGTAGTTGAATAAATGTTGACTGCAGATTTCTACAAAGTGGATGTAGTAGAATTAGCATAGAAATTGATTGGTAAAATAATAGCGAGATAATTACCATAAGGAGAAGTGAGAGGTATAATAGTAGAAACAGAAGCATATAAAGGTGTATATAAATAAATATTATAATTATTTAGCTCCTGAAGATAAGGCTTGTCATGCTTACAATAATAAAAAAACAGACAGAACAAAGTATTTTTGGTAGGATGGAGGTCATTTATATGTTTATTCAATATATGGAAACAATTATTGCTTAAATATTACAGCAGCAACTAAGGATGATCCAGAAGCTGTATTAATTAGAGCAATTCAACCTTTAAGTTTTGATATTATTAAAGAAATACGAAAAACAAAATCATCAAAATTATAAGATCTTTCAAATGGTCCTGGAAAATGTGGTGGTTGTTTACTTCTTGATAAATCTCATAATGGATTAAATTTATGCGATAAAAATAGTGGTATGTATTTAATTGACAATAATAAATAATATGATATTGGTGTTTCAGCTAGAATCAATATTGATTATGCAGAAGAATGGAAGGATAAACCTTGGAGATTTTATATTAAAAACAATAGTTTTGTATCTAAAGGTTGATTATCATATATATTTAATAAAAGAATAATATTATCAAGATTTCTATTCTTAAGTTAATCTCTTTGGATAATTTCTTAATGAAGTGTGAAAAATAAATGAATTAAGATAAATAATTATAGAATTCTTTGTGTTACATTTTGATAAATAAATTTAATAAATGAAACCAAATCATTGTGACACTATATTTAACGATGACTAGTTCTAGACACCAACAAGGTAATAAAAAAGAGTTATAACTGAAACTACAATTAAAAAACCATTTTAATAGAAATAAAGATAATGTACTTGTAAAAAAAGTTAATGTCTCAAAATGTATTGTGATTGTCTTGCTTTTGGTGAATATTGTGGTAGTGAATGTTCATGTTAAAATTGTCATAATGATGATAAACACCTTGAATAAAGAAACAAAGTACTTGAATAGATGGTTGAGAAGAATTCTTCTGCTACTTAGATTAAATGTAATTGTCGTAAAAGTAATTGTTAAAAAAAATATTGTGAATGTTTTAATGCAGGTGTGAAATGTTCAGAATTATGCAAATGCGATGATTGTAAAAACAGCGTTAAATTGGGTTACAACTAATTTCAAATTGGAAATCAAAAGTTTATTCTTATTCCAGTCTAAACTTTTGAATAGTTGAAGTCACAATAAAAGTGAAATTAACTAAATTTGAGAATCACATTTTTCCACATCAATAAACAAATAACATATAAATAATTATGAATTCTATAGATCTTAATACTATTCTTAAAGGATTGTATTTATATATCTCCAATAAAGATTCTATTTAAAATATCTCTATGTTTAATAATTATTGCAAATGTTATTTTAATATCACCTATCTTTAAACATCCATATTTTATTAATTAATATTTTAATGATTATATTTATAACATCATTTTTGACACTTATCAATTGTGATTGTATTCCTTATGGAGTAAGATTATCTTTAGGACATTATTATTCTACCCTTAATGACATCAATAATTATATCACACTCACTTTTAATTCTTAAAATATTTGTTTAGACTATGTTGTTTAGATCATTAATCCTATTAGTATTAACAATATTTAAGTAAATGATTATAAATTGTTAAATATGACTGATATTTACAAAGAATCTTAAAATGCTATTCATTATCAAACTTATATTTATGATGTAAAATTAGGTTAATTCAATGGTTTATTTGAAGGAAATTAATACACTTTTATTATTTATTGGGAAAATGCCATTGTTGCAGGTCCCTTCTATTTTTAAATTCCCTCTAAATCTTTAAATTACTCTAGTAAATTTATAATAATGGGAGATTTAGATTCAAATTGGAATTTAAATACATCTAAAGAAACTTTTGATTGGTTTACAAATTAAATTAACAAAACAATGTTTTATGATGGTATAATCTATCTAGGTGATATGGCATATGATTTAGAAGATGATAATTGCTAAGTAGGTGACAATTTCCTTAGAAATATTAGTTTATTTACATCTCATTTTCCATTCATGTTAACATTTGGAAATCATGATAAAGGTTAAAATGAAGAATTTGTTTATATTAGATAATCTTTTGCTACTCCAAGGATATCTGATTATGATAATTCGATTAAATACAATGATTTTTATTCATTTTAAGTTGGTCATGCTTATTTTGTGTAATTTCATCCATATAAAATTGCATATGGAAATAAAGATGAAACTTATTTTAATTATACTTTATATCAAATGGAATCAGAATTAAGAAGAATTAGATAACATGAAAATACATCTTGGTTAATTGTTTACAATCATTATCCATTTTATTGTAGTAATCCTGACGATGGATTTTGTGAAGATCATTATAAAAAAATGAAGTTATTTGAAGATATTTTCATTAAATATAATGTAGATTTATGTTTAGCTGGACATCAACATACATATGAAAGAGATGAACCTTTAGCTTATAATAAAATTGCTTAATTTGATAAATATGAAAATAATATATATACAAATCCTAAAGCACCAATCTATATTGTAGAAGGTGCTGCAGGAAATGATGAGATTATGCCAAAAGATATTTGTATTCTATATAAATACTTTTTTTAGATCCACCAAAGTTTTATACTAAATTTTAAGCTGCTGGCGATGGATTGGGCATCTTAGAAATAAAAAATGAAACTCATTTATATTTTGAACATAGAATGAGCATTAATGATTCTGTTGTTGATTATTTTTGGATTCTTAAAACTAAAGTTATTCCAGATGATGATGACACAGATAAGAATTCTATATCTATATGGATATGGATTCTAATTGGCATTGTAGTCTTACTTTTAATTGGTTTTATTGTATATTGTCTTCTAAAAAAGAAACAAAAAAAGACATATGATGAGTTTATTTGATAAAATTAATATCAATTATTTTTTTCTTCTTCTTTTTTCTCTTCAATATATACTATTTCTTTTTCATTTTCAATATTTTATAAATAAGAATTTATTCTAAATTAAATTTATAATTTTTATTATTCTGAAATTTAAAATAAAATTAATAATGAGAAAAAAACCTTTTAAAGATAATGAGATATATTTAGAAAAACATGCAAAAGCATTATTAGATTATTAATAGACTTCTGATGAAGAAGATATTAATACCTAATCTAAATATCGAATTAAAGCTATAAAATATAAAAATAATCTCTTAGAATCATAAGAAGTAATCAAAGCATTACAATTGGAAAATTAAGAAAGTGTAATTCATTAGAATTAATAATTTAGAAAAAAATTATCAATGAATTACTATTAGATATTGAAGAAATGAAAGAAAGAGAAAAGTAATTAGAATCTGAACTAAATGAATAAAAATAACTAACATAATCAGCAATTTAATAATTGGAATAAGAACTCTAAGAATCTGTAGAAGATCGTTTATTGTAAGAACAAAAGCAATTCTAAGAAAAGCTCACAATTTAATCGAATGAAGCAATTGAATAACTTAAATAACATTTTGATGAATAACTAAAGATAATTGCCTAAACACCAAAAAATACTAGACCATCTTCCAAAAAAAAAAAGAAAAAGTAAACCTCCCAAAGCACATCTAATCTAAGACCATAAAGTTAAATTACTGGAAGATCTCCTTCAACAATATCCAAGAAAAAAAAAAAATGATAAATATAAATAAATTTTTATTATAATAATTTATGTAGGCGAATTTACCAGGTGGAAATGGCCATCTTAAGGATAGTTTAAAAATAAATTAAATTTTATATCTTGGAGCTCATAATGCACCTATGTCAACATTCTATGGTTGGGTTTATGCTTAACAAAATGTATCATTAACAGAATAGTTTGTAAAATATGGTGCTAGACATTTTAAAACTCCATTGCGTTGTTGTTTCTTAGATGGGAAACCCGAAGTATAATTTATCTACTAGATGAGATTGTTGTTGCACATGAAATAAGAGGAATCAAAGTTGTTGGATCAGTGTTTTTTAGAGAGGATTGAAAAATCCAGAGAAAGCAATAGATCGTCTTAAAGAATTGTTTGATTTAGCATAAAAGTATCCAAATGAAATCATGATTGTCAAGTTTGAAACTTATTTGTTATGTAATACTGAAACTAATGGTACGAAAGGATGGAGTAGTTAATAAGTTACTACCATGCTTCATAATTTATTAGTTGCTCTAAAAGCAGATTAAAGAGCTATAACATTTGAATAGATGATCCTCCAACTTTAGGTTGGTGTAGGAAAAACAAAAAGAATATTCTAACATAAATTCAACCATCTCGATAGCACCGTTGTTAATTAACTAAATACACACATGATTTTGATTATGTATGCTTTTAAGTAGATTGGGAAACTAATCCCTTAGAAGATGAAAAGCCTTCTTATAAATAAATTTATAAGCATTTCTTTGAAATTCACCTAAACCCTCAATATTCATTAAAGTAAAAATTTTAAATTAAACATAAGACTTAATTACTCATATAGTACAACATATAATTCCTATGAGCATGTCAAAAAGCGTTTTTTATAACATAATCGCTATTACCAAAAAATGCCTAATTTTATGGTAGCTGATTGTGTTGATTAAGGAGATCTTTCAAAAATTGTAGATGAAATCAATAATAATATAAATAAAAATAATGGCTTTAAACCTGAATTATTATGATAAATTAGAGGACATTAATTTAAAAAAAACTATCTTTTATTGATTATACTTGTACCCATACTGTAAAAACTAAACTAATTTTAAGATGAATTTGGTTTAATCTTCATAGGAATAAACTCATTCATATTTTCATTCTTAAAACAATTGTAAATATATTCAAATTAGCAGATTATTAGTTATTGTGTTATAATCACATTTCTTTTCTAATTATTGATTTTTCATTTTTTTTTTCTATGTTATTTATTTATGTTTTTCTAGGAATTCTTATAAAAATAAATATTTTAACACATAATATTGTATAAAGTCTAAAGTTTATAAGATTGTGAAACAAATGATATATTTAAATTTTTAAAATTTTCAACAAAGCTTCAATAATCTATTATTTAAATTATTTTAGCTTTTTGAAGATAATTATAGAAAATCTAAATAAATACTTTATGTGATATCATTAATTTTTAATCTCGAAAATCTCGTCAGGATTGATAAAATAGTATTTTTAAATTTCATATTTAGTCTCTATTGTTATGATATTTTAAATATTTTTTTAAATCTTTCTAAAATGAAAAATAAAATATATTTACTAATTAAAAACTTCAAGATTGATTTACTAACTATTAAGAAATTCTTATAAAGTTTAGCAGTAAATTTGAATTTGAATTTTTTTAAATTATGATTCCTTTAAAAAATCAATTAATTATTTTAGTTAATTATTGTTTCCTAGTTTTTATAAATTACTAATTTATGAATTGTAATCATTTTGTATTTCTTTTTAAAGAAAATAAAAGGATTTTTTAATTTTTTGATGTAAATCCTAATCTTTTTAACTATTATTTGAATATTCAAGATAATTTATGAGAATTTGGTTTAGATGATGAACATCATGTTCATTTTTGATAAAGTTTTAAAAGTCAGCTACTATAATGAATAACATAGCAAAGGCGAACTTAATTTCTTCTAGACCAATCTTTCCAATTATTTATGAAATGATGAAAAAATTTGGGTTATTAATGTTTAAAGTTTTTTTAATATATTCAAAAACTGATTAACAGAGTAGATATTTTCTATAAAAGAAATCAATCATACAATATATTTTATCAAACTTACTTTACTAATTATCATTCATTTAAGTTTCCATTTCTTCTTTGTCAAATTTTCTTTCGATATTAATTAAAAGAGAATCTTACATTGAAGATTTAATTGTGACTATTTAATGATTTAATAATTTTTCAAAAGAAATTCGATCATCTTAATTATAAAGTAACATTTTATCAATTAAATCTGTTAGCATATTGCCTTATTCATCTTATAATTTTTTACAATTAAAAGGTTCTTTTTAAATTTTTTTAAGAAAACACCTCATTTATTATTCGTTTGAATAATTATAAGGAAATGCTCCATTGAAAACAATTTAATGAAATACAACTCCATATGAGAATATATCACACTTAGCAGAAAATTTTAAATTATGAACAATTTCAGGAGCACAATAGAGAAAAGTGCCAACTCTAGTCAAATCAGATTTTTTGTAAATATCATCCAAGGCTCTAACTAAACCAAAATCAGCTAACTAATATGAATATTAAAAATTTAAACTTTATATATTCTTCTTTAATTTGGCAATCCTTTATTAATTACCTTCACTAGAATATTTTATGGTTTAATATCTCTATGAACAAATTTATTTTCAATTAATACTCTGGCTCCTTTTAAAATTTAACTAATTATATCAATCTATTCTTATCTTGTGAACCATTATTATTGTTTTTTTAACTAATTTTACTATTAATATAAATTATAATCGCATAATTCCATTATGATACATAATTCTTAAGATGACTCTAAAAAATCAATTAATTTAACTAAATTTTCACTATCAGAATGTTATAAATTTTTCACAACCATTATTTCTGCTTATATTTGTTTCTTATTAAAACTATCTTTTTTTGGATCATTTAATTCAGATTTTTTAATGATTTTAATGCAAAACTCTTCTTTAGGATTATCCTATCTATAACAATAATATGCACTTCCAAAGGAACCTTTTCCTAATTATTTATCAAATCTAACTAAATAATCACCCCTTAATTCAGTCATCATTTTTAAAAGAATGATAATAAAATTAATAATGCAAAAAGGAAATAAATTGATATTATTTGAAAAAGAATTCTATAAATAAATAAATAGAGGAGTTAACTAGAGCTAACAGCATATCGAAAATAATAAACAATTTGAATGTTTAAATATAAAAATAATTGCTATAATCGAAATATTTAGAATAAAATACTAAGATAAAAATAATTCATAATTATTATACTCTCAAATTTTATGCTTAAGGTATGATAATTTCTTATTCTTCTTTAACTTCTTTGTTAATAATAAATTCTTCTTTTTTTCCCTTATAATTAATAATAACTTTTTAAATTTAGATAGGTTCAAAGTGAGTGTAACTCTTTTGTCCTTTAATGGAGATTGAGAATTTATTATCCTCAAATGCTTTAATAGTGTAGATTGCTATGCAATTAGAACCTTTGTTCCAGCATTTAGCTTAAACATTATTGTTATCATTTTCTTCAAAATTTGTAAGTGTCATGAGTTAACCAACAGCCACTCCTTCTGAATTAAGGAAAGCATAAATGGAATAATTAGAATCTAATAATCTAGTTCTCTATTTTGGTTCTTATCTAAAAACAAGAGTTCTAAAATATAGAAGATATAAATTACCCTTCTTTTTAGAATGATAAGGCTTATTAATTGAAATTTCTAGTAAATGCTACAACTTCTTTTTCTTTGTAGGTATAAATAGTTTCAAAATTCTCACAATCAATCCAAGATCCTTTTGGGAAATAAACATTGATATCAGTTTTTAATGATTATGAATTTGAACTTTTATATAATATAGGAGCAATTAAAAATGTATGACCGAAAAAGAATTGAGAATCTTCAAATTAATATGCAAATTCATCTTCAGGATTACTCCACCATATTGGTTAAATAATAGTTCCTGTTCCTGCCCCTAAATCTTCTTCATATTAATTTACAAAGAGTGAATACATCCATTTGAGAAGAGAATATCTATTATTAAAAGCTGCTAAAGAAGCTTATTAAACATAAGGTTAGTCTTTAAAGGCATATGGTTCTTAATCTATACTTGCATTATTATTATGATTACGAGCAAAAGGTTACCAAGCACCTAATGCTAACCAACGAGCACATAATTCAGGATTAGTATCTCCTCCAAATCCACAAAGATCATTTCCAACTAAAGGAATTCCATAAAATTATAAAGATAATAATTCTGAAACACCTAATCTCAAAAATTCCCAATCAGCTAAATTATCTCCAGTCCATAAAGCTGTATATCTACCTGATCCATATATAGAACCACGTGTTAATGAAAAAGTTAATGTTTTATTAGTAAATTTTTACAATGTTTTTTGAGTTGCTATCTGTTCTGCTAAATTATTTAAAGAATGGAAATATTATTCTTTTACTTCTGTTTTTAAAAGTACTCCATCTTCTTTACCATAATGAACAGCATTTAAGGTAACAGTTTTATGAGCTAAAGGTTAAGAACCAGTGACCAAAACTGGGAACCAAAGTCTATCATCAATTTCTGGTTTTACAGGAGCAGGAATAGGAGGATCTGCTCCATAACATGGTTCATCATTTTTAGTATCTCTTTCTCCTGGAATAAATGAAGCCATTTCATTCATATCAATCCACCAACCAGATGGTTCCATACCTTCTTCTCTCATCAATAAAGAACAATTTGTCCAATAATCTTATGTTTTTGGATTATTAAAATCTGGGAAAACTACTGCTCCAGGCCAAACACATCCTTCAAGATTTACTTTATGTGTATCATTAGAATATACTGCAGATTTTAGGAAAATACCAAAATCATCTCCTATTTCTGCAGCTCTAGTTTTAGTAGCTATTCCAATATCTACTAAAGGAACCCAATGAACACCTTTTTCATTTGATCTATCGACTAATTATTTCATTTCAGTTTCAATAAAATTTTTTTTATCTCTAGTGAATACTTAATAATTTGTCATATAATCCAAATCATTCCACATAGAATCTACAGGATGTTTAATTTCTGCCATTTTGTCTATGACTTCAAGCATCTATTTAGTAGTTTTATAACCCCATCTACATTAATGATAACCTTATGCCCAAAATGGATGTAATCCAAATCCATTTATATATCGATGATAACTTTATATTACTTTTTCTGGTTCACGACCTCCTAAGAAAAACTTAAGAACAATATTGCCACCAACAACATGGAATATCATTCTTTATCCTTCATCTATTTGTGTTAATAATGCAGATGTGCTCTTTAAAAATCCAATATGATAATTTTTAGAATTCTCAAAAGTTAACCACATCGGATGATATCCATATAATTAATGTCCTGGAGTACCATAATCATTAGTTCCATACTAATCTTTAGGCCATGTTGTATAATTTCCAGATCCTTTAAAACGTAATTCCATTCTTCTTTGTCCCATACCATATAAATATTTACTATTTAATGTTGTTGCAAATTATGTATAATCTTTTGCCACTATTAATTAATGTCCAACTGAATCAAATATTGTATCAATATCCTTTCCATTCTCAACTCGATAGATTGTAAATGCTCCATTTTATTTCAAATCAACTCTATAACTCTTTTTACCTTCCTTTGAATCCTTTGAATTTGAGTCCTTTGGAAAATAATCAGAATTTTCAGGAAGTTCGAATCCTGGCTCATCCGCATTCCCTATTTTTACTGTAAGCTCATTGTCTGAATCCATTCTAACTTTTACACGAACTCTCTTTGCTAAAGTATCATTGAATTTATTAGACCAATATGTATCAAGGCCTAGATTTTAATTAAATACTGTTTCCAATAATGTGGAATTAGAATCTTCTGAACTTATAATTGCATAAGCAGTAAAACCTGCTATGCCAGCCAAGGTAAATACTATCAGTATTATAGACTATTTTATTGATTATTTAACTTACACCAACTGAAGAAGGCTTTTTTTATTCATAACTTTGAGAATCATCACCAACACTTGACATATTATTTAAAAATTAATATCTAAAAATTTTGAGTGAATATTAATAATATTTATAGTCCTCCTTTCAATCATATTATTGTTTCTATTATGACTTTTAAATTGAATTTTGTCCATCCCCATATAATAAAACAATGTTCATCTCCCATAAAACCATATTCATAAGGAATCTAGTTTATATTATTATTATATTCACTAGTTGTTTTATCAAAACTACATTTATATTAAAAATTACATTCTAAAGAATTGTAGAGGCTTGTATTTATCAAGTTTATATTATTAAATTTCCTCTTAAATTATTTTGATATATACCTTTCATTTAATTCTGGCCTTTTTTTGATTACATTTGATTTTGTTTACCAAATAAGATCTAAGAAGAACATTGTATTCAAAAATTCTTTATTTTTCTTTATCTTTTTCCCTGAATTCTTTCAGCTTGATTCCTAATTCTTTAAGTTTTCCTTTAAACAGCATTATAAAGAATACTAGTAGATATTTTGCATTTTTTAAGAAACGCCCTTAAAAACTCAGACAATACAATAAAATAGTATATAATTAGTTTAAGTCATTCATTGCTGTTAGATTCTACAGATTTATACATGTAGCAAGCCTTTAATATGCTTAGAAAAAAAGAATGATAAAATACTCTACATACTTCGATATTAATTTCTTTTTAGGAATAAGCAAAAAAGGACACTAATATTAAAGATTGATCTCAATAATATCAACTTCTTCTGTATTCATAATAACCTTATATTCAAATGAAAAATAAATACATAAAAAATAAAGAATTTCAACTTCATTTTTTAAACTCTTATTAACCTATTAAAAAATTAGTGGATTCCAAGAACCCATAACCTGTAATAAAAAGTCAGGTTCTCCAATTCCTGCAATCCATTATTCATATTTAAAGGTTTCCTATATATGTCATATATATTTGACATTATATATTAATTTTCTGAGTTTACTCTTCTTAATATCTATACCATAAATTCTAAGACACAATTAGGTTTAAGGAAATAAACCCATTTTTTTATATATTTCCTTTTAAATAACATTTTAACAGAAACTCTATTGGCAAAAAGGAATGATAAACATCATCAATATGGAAATCACTTATATATCAATGATGATGCAAAAAAATTAGAAGATAATTATACTAATATATCTTGTTTCAATTAACATATACTGCATTAAATTGGGTTTGTTTCTGTATTAATTTTCTCAATAAGCACACAATTAAAAATATTAATAATTTAATCAAATAGAAAAGAAATAAAAATAAAACGAAGATGAGAAAAATAAGTATACTTTAATATCATAATTCTTTTTGAAGCTAGTTCCCTATGCCTTCGATGGTAATTGATTTAAGATTTAAATGGTTTTCAAATTTTTTGAGAATTCAAATTGTTTTTGAGTTCTCTATTCAAACTTTGGTTTTATGTTTGTGGAAAAATTACTCTTTACTATTAATTATTATAGATAATGAAATGCAATCATATAAATCCTTGAACCATTAGATCTTGCAATGCAACCTTTTAAAACTTTATTCTGTTAGAGCATATTCAACTAGAAATAAGTTGAATCCACACAAAGCCAACACACTCATAAAACCACTGTCGTTCAAGTGGTATTAGTATGTAAATAATATTAACATTAGATTTATATCTGATTTTTACTTATCAATTCTTCTTTTATATACTCTACTTTGAAAAAAAATATAACCAAGATTTAACACTTCCTTTTTTGTAGTTGCTCTACTACTTTACTAGCATTTGATTAACAGAACTTAAAATTAAATTAAACTAAATCAATTAACAAAATATCATCATCATCCAGATTAAAATATGAACAACAATTACTTTGCGTACCTCTCTCTGCTTTTTTAAAGATTGAATCTATCATATATCAAGATATTTTTGTAATCGTATGTACTAGATTGTTTCATAATATAAATAACTCTATCTTCTCTATCAATAATTCAAACATATTTAATTTCCCAAATTTCAACAATTCTGATATTAGTAATCTAAATAAATTTATCATCATGAGACAAACTAAACAAAACATGGACATTATTAAAATTTCCCTTTTCAAAATATATTTAATAACAAACCTAAATTTAATTATAAGGTTATGTGGTTATACCTAATACTAAAATTAATTTTAGATCTCTTATTTTAATTTTTATAAATTTAATATATTTTATGAATAGAGCCAATTAAATCAAAATCTCTCTTTATTCATTTTAATAAAACTATCAATTTTAAGTATAATTAAATTTAATTGATAGAAACACCTTTGATTTTAATTCGACTTTTATGATTAATAAATTTGCGTGTTTCTAATTTTCTTTATATTTAAAGAATATAATCTTTAATCGATTGATTTTATATCTTAATCATGAATTTCATCCAATAGTTTATACTATTTTATTTGAATACTCATTTATGTTTGTTTAAATTAGATTTAATAAATCTGAGGGTAATAAAAAGAAGTTTAATTTGGAGATCATATTTGTTATAAAGAAAGTCCCCATAATGATTTAATCAATTTTTATTAAAATACAACAAATATATAATTTATCAAGAAGTTCTTCTATATGAGATGAAATAGCAATGGTAACTGGAAATTTTGAAATATCTAAATAAAATTCAATAATGAAATAAATTAGGATTGATATTTGAAATAAATTTCTTCTATTGAGAATTGTATTTCTTAATCAAAGAATAAATAAAGGATAAAAATAATTTTTATAATAAAAAGTTGAAAATTTGATTACAGTTTGATTTATGAATAGCTTAAGAATCTAATTATCGTAGATGTATTAATAAATATAAGTTTAATGATTTGATAACATTATTACAAATAGATGATGTAATCAATTCTCATAATGTGCCATCTTCTTGTATACATCTTGATTTTTATTAACAGGATGGAAACATAAACAACAAGTGAGAATAATTAAAAGTAACATTACTGCAGTTACTCCAGCTGCAATATCTCCCATTAATTATCCCATTTCTGTTAATTTTTCAATTACAACATATTGACAATACAATCTAAAGTGTAATAACAATTCAATACTCTTAATTTTTAACTGGAGAATTTATATCATAAAATACTTTCATTTAATAAGGCACACACCAACCTGTACATCCTGTTCTTTGTTATATTTCTCCAATATAATTTGAGAAATATTTGACAGTTGTATTTTGTGTTTTTTAAAAAAGTTCACAATCTTATACTCTTGTTGGCTAGATTGATATTGTAATGTAAATACTCTTTCAGGATGCTTATCATCTCCCCATAATGTTTTATTTTTAGGTAAAGGTATATTATTTTGTGTATAATAACAAGGACATTCGATTGAACATAAAAGATCTTTACTTTCCCAATCTAAAGTATTTAACTCAAATCTATGTTCAAGACAAGCAGTTGTATTTTATGTATAATCTTAATCGATAAATTTTGAAGTCGCATTAGCTAACACATAACCTATTACCATTATTATAATGAAGGCAATTATAATTATTATATTTCCAACATTAAAAACTAACAATAAGCATGGTTTTTTATGTTAACCACCAACGATGCCACATACGCCATTGATTATTATGTAGGAAGAAAACAACCAAAATGCGGTTAGCATTCCCTATCCAAAAAGCATCCACTATTAATTTTAATTATCTATATACAGATTCTCCTTCATTTGCTTGAAGCATTAAACTATAATGAATTTACATAAGCATCGTGAAAATAAAGGTTGCTATTCCACAAATCATCACTATCCAAGCTTCTATAGATACTACACATCTCAAAATTCCAATAGGCAAGCACATTAGTTAATTACGTAAATATTTCAAAAATATTATGAAAATAATATGCTTAATAATTTTTATAATTTAAAGTTTTTTAAATTATATAAAAAAATCTTATCCAAATGATAAAAAGTATTTAACTTAATCAATGAAGAATTACCACTCAAAATATATTAATATAAATTTATTTTCAAAATTATTTAATTATTAATATTCCTAAATAACAATTGCTTTAATTTCATGAATAAGTTAATTTTCTAAACCTACTTATCTTTATTGATAACAAAGATAAAATAACTATCATTAAAACCTTAAAAATAAACATAAATGTGAATGAGAAGAGTATCTAATTAATTAAATATATTTTTATTAAAATAGTTAACATTATAGTTAGTGATTATTAATCTAAATCATATTTGTTTACATTGATTAAATTAATATCAAAGATGGCCTCTTTAGTTATTCTAAAAGATTTCTATACTTTCAAAAATTATGAAAGATTCAATGTATTTATAATAAACAGTTAGTTTATAACTAATTATTTATTCAATAAAAGGGTATCATGTTTGTAAAGATTAGAGAAAGAGTTTTAATTTATGTAGAAATGAAAGTTTGTTAAGATAATATATTTACACTAATTGATTGCTTTTTGAAAGTTTAAGATAATGTTTTTATTTATTTGCTTAGTCAAAGGAATAACAAATCTAACTAATACTTTTAGATGGTTTTTGACATTGCTCAAGCAGGTTAATATGTGAAGATTATCTTAAATTCTGATTAATTTCATAAGATAGTATCCAAAATAATTGCTTTAAGAAAATTCATTAAAAAATCAACTTTTCACATCCTTTTTTTCTCTATTGCCAAACCTTCATCTGAAATAATTTGAGCATGTTAGAATAAGGAATTACTTTTATAAATTTTATTATTCATAATTCTTTAATTAATAATAAATTGAGTATTTTACTCAAAGATTAAACTCATTATTTATCTATTTTTCATCATTTGATTTTTTCCTATATAAATTATCTCAAGTAGCTGTATGTCCTATTAAATATTTTGATATAATTAAACTTGAGGATAAAGAATAGTAATTATTAAGATTATTAATATTATTATTTAATATCAATCAGAACTCATAAAATCTCCCTTTACTAAGTTTAATATTTCTTTTATTCTATCACCTAAAATTATTAAGATATCTTATTAAATTTTTAGGAAGATTAATTTAATTGTACTTTCAAATAACCTAAAAATTTTAAAATATTTTAATTTCATATAAAATTTATCTATCTATACTAATTATATTATAAAATAGCCTTATTTTGATTTATAGAAGCTATCAATATATACAAAAATAATAAATCACTCTTTTAAATTGACAGAATAGTTCAAGATTTCTTAACACTCGTTGAATAATTCATCTTCTTCTTCTGTGTCAACAAATAAAAATTAATATGTGCTGAATTCATTAATCAGTTTTCTAATGATAAGTAATTTATATCCTTCTATTTCAATGCTCGGTTCTGATATACTTGTATCTTCTGGTGATTTCTTAAATTCTCCTTCATTCATTATAGTTTGTGAAATTTAAGGACTTCTTTCATAAAATTTTAATTAACCCTCAATTCCTTACCCAGTTATTCTCAATACAAATTAATATAAAAGATTAATTAATCCTTTTGAGAAATGACGTAAAGAATTTATTGATATTCTAAAAATTCTAGCATATTCTCCAGGCAATATATATATTTATTAAACTTAAAATGCAAAGTAACCCAAATTTATCACTAATCTGCTTGGTCGTTTGCTTACACAAAATTATTTCACTAATTGTAAAGAGAATATCCTTATCATTAGTGATTTATTTATCTCAAGAATTTCTTCTATCAATTATGTATATGTTTATTTTGGTTTCTTCAATTTTAACAATAATGATTATCCTTATCCAAATAAATACTTTCTCACTTTCTCTTAATAGTATTAAATCTACTATAATAACTTATTCATATCTCTTTAACCATCATCTTTAATTATTCTTAAATATTTCAATAATTTCCTTGATTTCACATTAAACTTATTCTAAAAAATATAAAACAAATATCTTACTAATAATTGCTAAATACATTCAGTCTCATTTATTCCACTAGTATTTTTGATTAAAATATAAGCTAATGCAGTAGTAATATATTTAGTCTTTACATTCTAATCTAATTACTTTATCTAATGGAGTATTTAAGATCTTAATTCCTACAAATGATCCTTAAAATGTTAATTTTAATGTCTTACATTTGATATCCAATCAAAAATATAACTCAGAGTGCTTAATTACGATTCCACTTATATAATAATTTATTAATCATTAGAATGAAATCTTGATTCTTTCTAACCCACAAAGTATTCATTCTCAGCGTATTAATTGCTCTTATCTACAAAAACACGCTCCTTTTAATTCATACCAATAGTAATTTATATTAAAATTTTATCATTATGCTTAAATATGGGTTTATAAATAATTATAATTTTACTAATTAAATATGATAAATTGGAAAATGTATTCTTTTAAATTTATTATCTAATAACTTTTTATTTTATATTACTTCTTAAATTTAGTTACTAACATATCAAATAAATATTAATAATCTACGTAAAATATTTAAGTACATCTAATATAAATTAAAGTAATTAATTCTGCATGCATTTCTTTAATAATTTTTTCAGACTCATTATACTTATACATCTTCATATAATTCTGCATAAGGAAAACTTTTAAGGGTATCATTATGTTTTTGATTTTTTAGCTTAATAAATTTACATAAACTATTTAATCAATAATTAACTATAAAAATTTGAATATAGAATCAAAAACAAATAAGAAGCATAAAAACAGTTCAAGCAAATATAATTTCAAAATTTTAATAATTATTAATTGCATGGTAGATTTTTATAAGCTTAAAAAAATTCTCTTAAAAATTAGAAAATATTGAATTTATTTGAGTTTTTAAATTCTATACAGATAAACTTTAAAAAGAAAAATTTTTATCCTCATATTATTAAACCATGATTTAATAGGAATTATTAAAAATATAAAATAAAAAATTTTAACTTTTAGCCAAACAAGAAATTAGATTGGTAATTAATAGACAAAGACAAATTTTATTATAAAACCTAGACATATTTTTTATTTATTATAATAATTTAAGTTCAATGTTCTTTAATTTTTAATAATAAAAATTTGAAATAATATTAAATTAGTAGAATGGATAAATTTAGATGTAGATTAAAATCTATTTAAATCAAGTTATTTGAATTATAAATAGAAGATTGTATTAAAAAAATATTTACTATATTTAACATAAATATCTCCAAAGTTTGTGTGAAAAATCATAATGAATAATTTAATTTATTAACAACTTTTCTTTTAAAAAATTAAAATATATGTAAAATTAATATTTTGTGAAAGGTTTAGGATTTGCTCAAAAATAAGAGCCTCAAGAAACAAGATCATATGGACGAATAAAAAAGAATCCTTATTCAGCTTATAATAATCGAAGTTACAATTTAGTATGTCGAAAATTTTAAATTTAGAATTGTCGAGATCAAAGAATTTGCAACGATAATTTTAAAAGATTAATACATATTGTCAATCATGCAATTAAAAATTAAGCAGCTACGATGTTTAAATATTTAAGGTGTATTTAATTTGTAAAGCTAGCATTTATGTTCAAAATAAATAATAAGAAGAAATAAAAGCTTAATAAAGAATAATAAAAAAAGGGCTAATAAAATTTTAGCATGCTATATCATTATATAATAATCGATTGAAATGTTTAGCCTTTTTTAGCTTGTCAAAAGTTAATGTATTATCTCATTTGAAAAAAGAGTTAAGAAATTAAAAATAATAAACATAATAGCCTCTAACCCATTAGATATTCAGAAAATGGATATAATTAACTTTTGAATAAAAATTTATTAGGTTATTAAAATAACGGAAATTGAATATGATGAGTTTTTATAAATTTACTTTAAATAAAATACTAACTAAGTAAGAGTCTTTAAAAGCATGGAGTTTTAACAAATTAAAAACTGCCCAGCTAAAATAAATTATAAATAAATTAATTACTAATATAGGTTTATAAAAATTGCGATTGAGCTTATTCAATTCGGAGAATGGGGTTTATTAATATTTGATAAAGCCTTAAAATTTAGAAAAAATAATTGCATTCTAAAAGTTAAAACATTATTAATATTTTAATTCTAATCAGCATTATTTTATATTAATTTTCACGAATACCATCAGTAACATCATTAAATTACATAAGATAGTAAAATAAACTAATTGAGAACTTTGTTCATATAATCCATTAGAATAATAGAATAAGAAGTTAATCATATAGTACCAAAAGAGTAATTACAATAATTTGACATTGAATTAGCTAGATAATCTGTGCACTCTAAATTGGAGCATTAAAAAGTCTTATAAAGATATATGAAACAAACTGATTATAAATCTCATAGAGGAATATGTGCTATAATGAAATATTTAGTTAATAAGCAACTCTATCCAATATTTTATTAGATAAAAGATTTGAAATAGGCTTAAGATACTGAAGTTTAAGATGGGACTGTTAAAAATTTTGTAAAATTATATTATATTCAAGAGTGCTATTGCAGCACGACTAAATTAAAAAATTAAAGCAAAAAATACAAAATCTTAAAAACTCGAGATTATATTTCGTATTGAATAGATCTTTCGTAGAAATTATTACCATGAAAAAGATATTCTTAAAAATAAATTTAGATAATGGCAAATCAATATTACTTTTCCTACTTCTATGTATCATGATTTTGAAATAAGACAGAGAGTTTTAAGAAATGAAAAGGTAATTAAATAAAATTTAATCTAGGAAGCCATTATGAGTGATATTGAACAATTAGAAACATTAAACAATGAGTTATTAATAACAGTGAATTAAGTGAAAAAAACATTTTTGTCTGAAGAATCAAATTTTTATACATCTCAAAAAAACGAATAAAAATAAATTGAAATACAAAGATTCGATATTTAAGAAAATTTAACTTCATAAAAAGAATTCAAGATTGCTTTTGAATATGTAGATTATTTAAAAGAAGATGTAAATTAAATTGATTATATAGAACATTAATTTAAAAAAACAAGTTTAAAAGAATGAATAGTTAATGTTGGAAGAAATCTAAAAATTAGAATTACAATTGGAAGTAATAATCTTTATTTTCTTTTAGGAGCTTAAAAAAGAATTAGATAATTGAATCTTGTTTTAAATTATTTTTATATTTGTTAATTACAATTTATTTATAAAAATAAATGCTAATTTTAGAAATCTTATGATAGATATGTTAGAGTAACTAGATTATGTTAAAATACTTAAGCCCTTATTTAAAAAAGTTGTTAAGTAAGAATAACTACTCAATTCTAAAATAAAAACTTAAATAACCAATAAGATACGAAAAAGTAGTTTTATATAGAGTATATTTTTTATAGAGTCAAAAAGGACCCTTTATCAAAAATACCGAAATATTAAAAAAGATAAAATTTTTAATCTATTTAATATTAATAATAGAGTCTTTAAACTTAATTATAAATTAAAATTATTAAAATTGATCAATTTAGATAAGAGTTTTAATCTGGTGTAATATTGAAATGTGTTTTATTAAAAATAAAAAATCTATAAATAGTTCTCAAAATATTTTTGAGTACCCACATATTCTTACCAAAAAAGAAAATTTAAAAGCTATAAACCAATTAAATCACACTTGTATAAAATCAAATTATTTATATTAATCATGTAAATAAGTAGCATATAAATTTATTAAACAATCATTAAATTGAATTTTACATTTTAGAAAAAATTTTAATAGGTATTATTTATTTTTACATTTATTTTGATTCATTTTAAATATTAATAAATTTTTAATATGAAATAATTTTAATCAGCTATTGTAATTGATTTTAAACTAATGACTTCACTTAATATAATCCTATTGACTTTAGTGATATGAAATGCCTTTCTTAAAAATTATATATTTTGATTATTGTAATCGATTGAGCAACTTAAATTCTAATAAATTATTAAACGGATTTTTTGTTTCTAAACTAACATAATGCTGTTGAAATAATTATTGATACAAAAATTAATTAGGAAAGCATATAATCTATTTTAAATGATACCTAATAAAAAAAGTTAAAATTAATATCCAATTAAATCAATAAATATTAGAAAAATATATTTTTTTTATTGAGAAGTGTAATAAAAATAAAAATATCTAATTATTAGATGAGGGATTAATTTTCAACATTGATAAAAAATGAACTCATGTCATTTATTAACTAAACTAAAAATTATTTATTAAATAAAAAAGAAAATTCTTATTGTTTTATTATTTCATTACAAATTATGTATAAAATTTCGGATTCATTATTATTTTGCATATGCAAACAGAAACAAATCTTCCTTTTCTACATCTGTAGTTTCAAATCCAGAAACGCTGAATTCCAGGCTAGGCAATTTTATTAATTATTTTTTGGGTGTACCCTAAAAATATTTTGCTTCTTATGGTCTTTTTTCAGAGGTTTACAATTTAAAGAACTGGAAATCATTAGTAATAGGTTTGAAAACAGTTTTTGGTGATTTTTAATTATATTTTAGAGGCTGTGTAACTGATTTTTTTTTATTAAGATATTTGTTGGAAGTAGATGCCCTAGATCTTATCATTTATATTTTAGGTAAAGTACCCTATATTTAAAAATCTGATTTTTATTATAGCAAAATACCTATTGATAACTTTCTTTTGGCTCTCTGCGTTAATTTTATAAAGCAAAACATTATAAATTAAATATGCACTGTATAAATTAATATCAATAATACACCTTTTTGGTCATTACATTATAGAAATCTTCAAATGTCATCTTTCCATCTTAATTAGAGTCAGTTTTTTTAAAGATCTTTATTTTAACTCATTAAAATTACTTCTGCTAATACTTCTTCATCAATTTCTTCTTTCAAATCTTTATAGACTACTTATCTTAGATCTTGAAGAGTTATGAAACCTTTATTATTTTTATCATATTTCCTATACACTCTTCTAATTGTATCCTTTCTCTCTGATTTAGATTTATCTTGATTTAAAATGCTAAGAAAATATTCAAATGTAATTCCTCCTAATTCATCTTCGTCTAATTCTGAGAAAATCTCTAAAATTTAATGATTATATAATAATACCATAAAGAGTTTCTTTAGTTGGATGATATCCACAACTAGTAAGTAGTTACTCCAAATCATTTGGCGATAAAATACCAGCCTATTCTGAATCAAAATAATCAAAAACTTGTTTAATATCTATAATATCAGATTCCTGTGATGAAAAACTACAAATACTTTTAGATCTTTAGTCACAAATTTCTTAGGATTGAATTCATTTGGATTCTCACCTTTAGCTGATTTTCTTTCATTAGCAATTTATTTTCTAATTTATCCTCCTTAAGCTAGAGCATTATTATGAGATTAGTTAATCTTCATTCTAGCTCTCATTGATTCTCTATTTTATGGAACCTTATTGGTTGAAATGCTTGATTCATCTAATTATGTATATGGACTATCTCTCATTATTGATTATGTAGTTCTAAATGGACTCTATTTAACTTGAAATTTTGAGTTACTTATGATTTTCTTTGATTTCTCATTATATATTATTTATAATATAATTTATTGTTTTCTCTTATCAGTTATCTAAATCTATTACTATATAAATAGAGAAATGTGAAAAATAATAGATTTAACGATTAATAAATGTATGAAATAAGTGGAATTCTAATAGGGATATTAATATTTAAGCAGAATACAAATGAAAAAGAGTATAAAATTTATTTAATGGTAAATAACTAATTGAATTTACATTAAATGAATTAAGTATAAAAAGAATAGTAATTGAATGAGGATTTGGAAATTGAATGATTTCTAATTTTTTGAAGAATGAAATGAAGATGAGATATATAATTTAAAGTCTAATAAATTATTTTATTTTAAATCTTTTATTTATTTATTTATGAATCAGCCTTAATTTTAGGCACTTCCTTCATATGAAAATTTGGATATGATAAGGAAGACCTTTCAACCATTGGAACATATAAATTTTGAGCATGAATTTAAGAATTTGGAAAATAGCAAATATTTCATAATTCGTACATAAGGTGAAGATAATGTACATAGAGCCATGAAATATGGTATTTGGACAAGGTAGTATAAAATTTAATAATCAGCTCTTCACGAAAGAATGAACGTTTGAATGAAGCATTTTCATAAGGAGATGTTTACCTCTTTTTTACTGAAATAAACAGTCTTTGTTTTAGTGGAATGGCCAAATTGACATCAGGATTTGATCCTAAATCCCATTTTAAATATTGGCTAATTGAAAACAAATGGTTTGGGTTGTTCTAAATAAAATGGGTAAGCACCTTTGCTTAATGTAGTTATATGTAAAGGATCTCCCTTTTAAATTATTTGAGAATATCAAATAAATACAAAAATTTGAAGGAAGTGAGGAAACAATTAAATCAGTTTATGATTTGATTGATTGTACTGAGTTAAATCTAGAAAACGGAATTAAAATGGTTGAAATATTTAAGAAGGAAGAATCCAAAAAAAGTTTATTTGAAGATTTCACTTAATTAGATAAATTAGAAGTAAGTTGAATAAGTATTTAGAATTAAAGTAGATAATAGAGAGATTCCAATCCAAATTTTGAAAAAAAGTTTCAAGAATTAAGATCTGTTTTTGAAACAATTCCTTATACATTTTCTGCTGCTTCTTATGAGAGAAGATAGCAAAGAAAACCTTAATATGGATATTATAATTATGGTAATTAATATATAATATTTAAGGATACTATTAATAACCTTAATATTGGTAATCTAATAGTGGTTTCTATTAATAAGAACATTATTAATAATATCCATATTAACAATATCAAAATAAGTATTAAGAGTCAAATGATCATCAGAATTTTAATAAGAAAGAGAGCTAACAACCTGTTAATTTGGAAGATAAATTTGAAATGTAATAAAATAGAAAATATAAATATGATAAAAAGAAAAGATTTAATAATCGTAATAACTAATAGATTGAGTATGTTTAAAAGTATCAATAAGAAACAATAGTATAGTAAAACATATGAACATTAAAATTAAAAAAAGACAATAATAATCAAATTTATTACACTCTCTAGTGTTATTTTCGTTTTTGCTAATCATCATTCTAAAGTAACAAGGGCAATTATTCGAGTGGTTACAAATTAATATCTATTTAAATTAAAAATATACTTTTTTTATTCTTATTAGTAGTAGTTACATAAGATAGATTATTATTATTAACATTTCCATTATTCATAAATTAGCTATTTTAGGTTTAAATAGAGTTATCTCTATTGTCTATAGGACTAAGAATAGTTTTTTAATTTAATTTTTTCTCTATAAATTGTTAGTTAATTTAATCACTTTGATAACGTATTTTTCCTTCTTGTTATTCGAGCATTTAGTAATTTTATCTAATTTTTTCTGCAACTAATTATCCTTTTTCAAGTTAAGGTTAACTTGATCCATTTTATTTATATTGAGATTCTAATATTAATTTATATTGTAAATACCTTTTCTTGGAATTCTAGGAGAAACGAGTCTTTATTGATTAATCTATTGATATTCTTAATTATTAATTTTATTGTTTTGTGGTCGAGAATTAATTTCGAGTACTCTATCTGATTTTTCTAATTCAACTAATTCCATGGCTTAGATTTTATTAAATAATAGTAGTACCTTATTTATATGGTAGGGAAGGAAAATTAACTTTTTTTGCTTTAAAATTAAAAGGAGGGATTTTATATTCTTAAGAATCTTCATCCCATTCACATGCAGCTTAAAGAGTTTCTAATTCATTTTAATTAAACATCATTTTCACTAAACCAATATAAAGTTTAATTTCCTTATGTTAATTTCTTATAGTTTCTAACATATCTTCTTTTTCATATTCTACTTCTTATTTTAAATCTTTTTATTCAATTGTAGCTTCTTCTAATTTTTTTCTTAAATATTTAATCAATTTCCTAAGTTTTTCAACTTCCTCTTAAACACTTTAATATTTAGTTTCAATTTATAACATTTCTTATTATTATAATTCTTATTGTTATATCAAAGCTTCATGTTCTTTTTTTTATTGTTCAATAGTTTATCTAATTTTTTTATATTTCTTTTTATCATCTTCACTTCCTTTTCCTCCTTAAACAATCATTTATTCTTTTTCTTTTAGTAATTATTCTAATCTCTATCTAGCTTATCTTTCTTATTCAGCTTACCATTCTTTTTCTCTCATTTCTTATTCAAATTTTTCTTTTTCTTATTGAAGTTAATTATTTTTTTGTTTAAATTCATATAATTCTTTAAGTTTTTCTTCAGAATGTTCAGATTATGGTAATCCCTAAAGATTATTCTTTTCTTTAATTAATCTATCATTTTCTTCTTTTAATCTTGAAATCTCTGTATTATTTTGATGATTATCTTGTTTAAATGATTAAAATGCTTCAAATTAAATAGGTTATCCATGTGCTTATTTTGATAATAATTCTTTTAATTTTTTAATTTCTTCAGCTTATTCTTTTAATAAAGCATCTTTTGGATCTTCATTAACTTTAGGTTAATTTTTAATCATCTTTGCTCTTGAAGCATATCTTAAACTAGATGCAGTCTCATCATAATTAAAATCTGATGGACTAATTGCAGTAATCATAATTGTTTTTGTATTACCTCCTAAAGAATCTTATAATAATCTAGTTAATTTTGAATCTCTATAAGGAATATGTTAAGTTTTTCCATCTACTAATGCTGAAATCACATTTCCTAATGCAGATAATGATAAATTAATTTTTGTAGCTTCTTTTAATCTATCTCCTGTAGCTTAAGTTTTTGATTATCTTTCACTTCCTGCCAAATCTACTAAATTCAATTTACCTGCTGTTATTCTCTCATTTCCTTTACCATCTGTTATAGAACATTCAATATATACTGTAAATATACAATGACTTCTACTCGATTCTTTATTCATAGCTGTTGCACCTACAGATCTGTTTTAAGTACCTAATTACATAAATTTATCCATCTCTTGTGTTGTTCTTACTACTACTATATTCAAATCTTTTATAAATACTCCTTATTAACCCTCTTTTAATTCATATTTCTATTTTACATCTTTACTTAATAAATCATGAATTTCTTCATTATATATTTCTATGTATGAACATCTTAATAAAAACTTTTTATTTGTATCTGAATTATTATTGATTATGCTTATTATTTGATCAAATGTTCTTGGAATTATTCCTTTCATGCTTTCCTAAAATTCATTTAAGATCTTACATTCATTGGATCTCCTATCATTGTAAAAGTTTTACCACACCCTAATTCTCTTAAATTTTATATACCTGTTTAACCATATGCAAATATTGTTCCATTATAGCCATCAGCAACTGATTCAACTAAATTAAATGCTGTCTTCTAATAAATTTGTAATTGTGGTGTCTCAGCTCCAAATACATAATCATATGTAAAATTCTTCACTTCATTATCTTAGCTCTAATCCACAATTATACATTCTTATTACATTTCGCAATTCAACACTATTTGTATCCTCATAAACTGTTACACATGGTTTACTACCATTTTCTTTCTCTCTTTAATTAAATGGACGCATTCGTACTATTACTTTTACACTTTCTGCAGGCATTATAATTTTATTAATTATTTCTTTTAGTATTCTTACATATAATAGACAAACTTTAAAATTATCTAATATTTTTAGTACGAACATTATTATATTATATCTCCCATTATTCGTAATCTAATAAAACATAAATTTATCTATTTAAATTGAAATAAAAAAATAAAATGTAATCTATATTCTGTTCAAGTAATCCTTTAATAATTAATATATTTTTATAAATAAATTGTTCACTCAATGTCAATTTTAGGTTGTTTGCTAAAATAAAAATAATTAATCTTTTTAATTCTTTGTAAGAAAAAATAAATTTTAGTTTTGCTAGTTTTTGATTCAAAATAAAAATTTATTCATAATTATCATAAATGATTGGAAATTTAATTCAAGTAATTGGGGAATTATTAAATTGCAAAGTGGACTTTCTTTGTACAGCCTAAATGTCAGACGATAAGAAATATTTTGCTGCTGTTGCTAGTGATAGATTAATATTTATAGGAAGCAAATTGGAGAAAGTTGAAATATCTTTAGAGTATGGTAAAATAAAAGGAGTGGTTATATCAACTAGAGTTCCATCTATGTTCTAAATTCACACAGATATTATTATTGATGTTTATGCATTTGAAAGAAAATAATTATTATAAGCACTTAGATACTCTTGGATGACTGATTTTATGCATAAAAACTTTTAGTTTAAATAGTTACCTATGTTCAAAGATGATATAAAATCTAATATTTCAGAAAAATAGGCTATTCTTCCTAATCTTCTATTTACTCGATATGGAAAATAAATCTATAGAGTTAAAAATTATACATTTAGTTTACCTGAAGAATATAAAACCTAATATCAAGATGGTGTCTATGTACATAAAGAAAGTTAATAATGCAAAATTATAGTTTAAATTACAGATCCTATGCCAATTTAATTATTGAGTTCGATTGGGGAAAAAGCTAATCTATAATATTATTCTGAAATGTTTTTAGAAATTATTTTAAAAGGGATAAATTCTAAAGATGATAGTGCTAAATAAGACACTAATTAAAAAATGTAAGATAGTGATGAGGAAGAAAATTAAGAAGAAGAGATTTAACAAGAAACTATTAAAAAAGAAGAAACTCTTGATTATTGGATCATTTCTTCTCATAATTACAAAAAAAGATCAAATTTAATGAATGATGTATCTGAATGGTTTGGATGGGAATTACATGCAAGAACTTAAGTTTAAGATATTTTTATTATTATTTTGAGAAGAGTACATATTCCTCCTTTTTTTGAAACATATTAAGAAATATTATTTGTTTTATATGGACAAGAATAAAATCCCAAAGAATAAGTTTTAGTTAATGATAGAGACCTTTTAAAATTAACATTAGAATAAGATTTAGAAGAACATGCTTTTAAAAATGTACTCAGAAATGCAATTGACTCTTTATCATGTAAAATGTTTATATTCGAGAAATAGTATCAAATATTTATATAATTATCTGCAGATAGATTACTATATAACAAATAAACATTAAATTTCATATATAATAAATTCAAAATATTCCCATAATTCATGAGTTTTGCTCTAAAATATCTTAAATTATTATTTTAACGTTTAGTTTTATATGATAAAGAAAGATTTTTAATATTAGATAAGGAATTAAAATAGAAATATGGTTTTATTTTAGATCATCTTAAGGATTATATGACAGAAACAGTTTTAAGTGATGAGAATCTCTCAACATTATTTGATACATTTGAATAAGCTTCATTTGTAAGAGATAAATCAGGTAATGAAGAGGAAAGAAAATTTGTTTGGTAATAAAAATTATCTAATTATTTGGGTATATGTTTAGATGGATTTCTAATGGGCTCGGCATTCAGCTTTAAAGATTTAGTTCCTGTATTATAAGCTAAAGTTAGTCTAGAATTAAAAACAATTATATTAGAATTATTTGACTATTGTTTATATGCTGTGCCAAAAAAAGAATGTAGACCTATTAAAAAAGGAAATTTTATTAAACGACTAGAAGAATTAGCATCAAATAAATATTAATTCAATGTGAATATAGCAAAGTCTTTAATTGAAGCAAATTTTTTTTCTTAAGAAGTACTTCTTTAAGAAAGATCAGGATTATATAGTAGCTTAATTTGTTATTTTCTAACATCTGATAATGTGGATTTGATAGTTGCAATTTGCCGTCACATAATTAATTTTTAAGCAGAAATAAAACATACAACAGGATTAACAGAGGCTATGATAACTGCATTTAAACCGATTTCTATTGAATTAATAAGATTGTACAGAAGTCATAATAGAACTATTGCAACTTTAGCTTGTGCATCATTGTTCAATTTATGTACAAACTCAAGAGAATTCAAATATATTATATTGAATGACGATGGAGCTACCTTACTGGTAAGTAAATTGGTAACAAAAGATAATTTTTTATTGCATTTTGCTTTAAAGTAAATTTATTTGATAATTTAGATTAATATACTGTGTAATGAGTATAACATAAAATATTGAAAAATTACTTTCTGCAAATTTAACTGATTATTTATATAAAATTTTAGAAGGACCTTAAATAAAAGGTTGTTAATATGATGCTAGATGTCTAATAACCACATGCCAAATTTTGAGTGTATGTTTAGTGAGTGAAGTAGAATTAAGAAATATTGATCACCTATTAATTTTGTTATATAATATGGTCACTACTTAAGCTGACTAATATTTTTTGGATTAAGAAGAATCTGTTAATTTAAAGAGTGAAGCTTTGTATGTTATGAGTAAAATGTGTCACAAAAGTTCAGAAGTTAAGAAAAAGATTAATTAGGAATGTGTACCTTTTTTATTAAAATAAATGGAAAAACTTACTTTCCATTAAGTTTAAGAAAAAATTATTATGTTATTGTGTATTTTGATAAAAGAAAATAAAGAATGGGCTTTAGATTGGTTATAAATGCAATCAAAATTATAAGACATATTAACCACTTATCATAATAATGATATTCAATCATCAAATTATCTTTTGTCATAAATTAAATTTATTGATGATGAGGCTAAGAAAGTTAAAAATGAAGAAATGAAGCGATCTAAACTTGCTCCCACAGCCAGTGTAATTGCAGAATAAATGATGGAATAGTTTTAATAATAAGAATCTAGTATTTAAGATAATAAAAAATCTATTGTTAGTGAAGCAAGAACTTCAATGATTGAAGATTCTCAAATAACAGCATCTAATGTAAATAATAAATCTACAAAAATTGCCAGCTAATTTAAAAAATCTTCAGTTTCCTGAATTATTTATATAATATCAAATAAACTCTTTTTATTTTAATGAAAATATGCTTAATAAAATCAAGAATGCATTTAATTTTAAAGTTCATGAATATCTTTAGCTCTTTCCAAATAAGAGATTAATTTTCCATTTTAAATTATCTCTCTTACTAATTTAACATCTTCTAATGTTACATTCTCTTTAAGATGCATCAATTATGTTATTTACTATTAATATTATTATCTTTCTTCTTAAAAATTTAATTATTCTTCAATCTATATCTTAGTATCCATTTTAAGTTTTAATTATTCAGCTCTCATCTCTTCTATTTGCTTCTTTAAATCATTTAATTAATTTTCCATAATTTTTTTCTCATATAAATCTTAATTCCCTTTTTAATTAGGATCTTCAATTTGTTGAAATGATCTTTTCATTAATTCATTATATTTCTCTTATTCCTCAATTAATTTCTATTTGTAAATTCCCAATTCTCTTCCTAAAATATAATCACATCCTATTATTGATAATTCTTTATTTCTTTTTATTAAAATATCTTCTGTTATTTCAGATTTTTTCTTCTCAATATGATTCTCAAAATTCTTTTTTTCTTCATTTAATTCTTCATTTTAAAATCTAATGTCTTCCTCCTTCCTTTATAAAAATTATTCTTTTTTTTCTATTATTTCTTTCTTTATAGATAATTGATCTCTTTCTTAAGTAACCTAAACTAATCTTTATTTTAATTCCTCAACTTCAACTAAAGTCAAATCTGATTTATTTAAACTGTCTATTCTTTCTTATTAATAAAGTTATTAATATTATTCTAAAGCAATTGCTAAATCTTAATTTTCTTATTCTAATTATTAGATCTCAGAGTTTTATTTCATAATAGTCTTTTAAAACTCCTTTCCAAAATCTGCTATTGTTTATTAATATTCCAAAGTTTATTCAGATAATTTTTTTTACAATCCCTTTAAATTCTTCTTCAAATCATTAATATCTTCCTAATTATTTGAATTAGATCTATTTTCATTTGCAATTTATCTTGAAAATTATTACAATTATTCCCAATCTAATTTATCCTATTAGAAAGATTATAATTCTTTTTCTTTATCCTCTAATTATTAAATTAAATTATTAATTCTTTCATTTTAAGAATTTATAATGATTTTATCATTCTCTATTTGTAATTTCATCTAAAGAATGTATTATTTTTCTTCATTTTTATTTTCTTTGACTCTCAGCTATTGAATTAAATTATCTTTTTAAAATATTTCTTCTTTCATTTTTTGAGATTCTAAATTTAACGTTTTGACTTTTTCTTTTAAGTCTAAAATTAACTTTTTATCTAATTCCTTTTACTAAAACAATTATTAATTTTATTAATGATAATTAATTTATTCTTTTGAAACAAAATTTTATTCCATTTCTTACGATATTTATTAAATTTTATTTTCAAACTCTTTCTTTTACTTTCTATATTGCCCTTCCAATTTTAAAAATTCATCTTAATATTGTTTTAAGTTCTTTTCCATAAACTCTTTTTATGATCTTTCCATTTAAACTTAATTTTATAATTTTGAAATTTCATATATTTACTCCTAGATTTAAAATTCAAATTTATTTCTTTCTAATTTTAATTTTCGATATTCAGCCAAAAATTAAGATTTTTTTTGGGACTTACATCTAATTTCTAATAAATATAAAAAAATATATTACTTTCTATTTTCTTTGAAACTTAAATTGATGATTTTTTTTGTTATTCTTCTAAATCATCATCTGAATCAATACTAATAATTTTTTATTATAAATTAATAATTTCTTCATCTTTTCTATTAATAATAAGTTTTAAGTTTAAAATTTCTTAGGTTAATTTCTCAAACTGTTTAACCTAATTGATTGGATTCTTATTATATTCTTAACTCATTATAATTGATTCACTTTGAATAGTTGATCTATTAATTGATCCTTTTTTTTCAGATTCTACAATTGATGCTTTCTAATTAAGATTATCCTATCTTAATCTATCTATTTCATTTCTTTATATTTAATCTTTTATCTTAAATTAATTTAATTCTGTCTATAATTTAGATAAGTTGTCTCTTAGAATTTTATTTTATTAGATTTCTGTTTCTAATTTTTATTTCTATAATTCTGAAAATGAAATAGATTATAAATATTCTTACTTCTTTTAAGAAACAACATTCAATTCTCTTTAAATATGTTCTTGAATATTTCTTTTATCTTACTATTCTTTAACAATCTAATCTTAAAGTAATTTAATATCATTTTCTTATTGCATAATTTTAATTTTTAAATCTACTATATCATCCACATTAATATTGAACATATCATTAATAGTAGATAAACTCATTTCAGGTGATTGACTAATACGTTTATGTAATCTTTAGATTTCTTTTTCTTGATCTGATATCAATTTATCTTTGTTTTCCAAAATAGTTCTCATTTCTCGATCATTTTATAATTTAAGTTCTTCTTCTTTCTTTTAATTAGATATCTCATCCTAGGCTTGTAGTTAATACATTTCCATCATTTATTTTAATGTCATAAGTTCTTCCTAAAGATTCTTTTTTTCTTCCTCAAAATTAGTAATGATGGATTATAGTTTATCTATTGTCTTTTAATTTTCAATCTCTAATATTACATCTCTTTCATACTTATCTTGTTCTCATGCATTTAATACTAATGAATTTGTCTCTAATATTATTTTCGTTCTTCATCAAATTAATCAAGATGTTGATTATAAATTTGTAAAGGAGTGTTGTTGATTTTATTCTAAATATAGACCACTTAACTAACAGCCTTCGTTTTTAACTCATTCGATAAGTTTTGGCGCTCTAATTCCGAGTGTTCTAAATTGTTTCTAACAGTTTAAAGCTCCAATTACAATTCAAGAATTTGATTGTATTATTACTATAATTCATGTTTCAATTATTAGGTCTAAATTAAACAATATAAATTACATCTGCTACATGATTTTTTACTAAAACTTATTCTTATAAACTTTAAATTTATTTTTCCTTTATTTCATTTAAATATTTTAGACTGTCTCTCTCTTATTTGATATCAAATAATTATGTTGACATATTTTTTTAGACATCCTACAAATCTCTAATTTATGTATTTTATTTATCAAGATTCTTTTACTATTAATTGGCTGTTCTAGAAATTTGTTTATAATTACTTTGTTAATTCTTCAATCTTATTTTATTTGGATTAGACTTCTCTTTCTAAAAGATTTATTTATTTTTCAAGAGTTAATTTTTACATTAAATACAATTTATTATAATTAAATAAAGTATATTAATTAAAAACAAAACCATCCAAATTGTTATTCAAAAAAATTCTATGTATTCTCTTTTGATATATGGAGATGGTCTGATTTATTCAAAGTATTTGACTATTTGGTTTTATTTGAGAATGCATGATTAGGGAGTCAAGTCTGCTAAAGCTTCTAAATAAATTTTATTTAAATTTTAATTAGCAATCTAAATAATGATAATATGTATCTTTCTTTTTTTCATAATCTATTTCAATATCTCTATGTTTTATTAAGTATAATCTTTAACCATTTCAGCAAAGAGTATAATAACTCTTAATTAAGATTTAACATCCTCTTCATCTTCAATTTTATCATGATAATCTGTTTATAAATACTTATCAAGCACATCTCCAGCATTACTTAAACTATGTTACATAGATTTCTCATTCTAAATCGATTGATTTGAATTATTCAATTAAGTGTTCTCCTCTTTAGGTCTAGATTTATTTTTAATGAAGAAAGTTCCTGCTGCTAATTATAATAACTATAATAGATTTGACTCTCCTCCAGGAGGCAGTAATAATCTATTGCAACTATTTTACAAATATGGTTAGCATTATTATAAGGGGAAGATTTAATGAAAAGTAGAATTAATTGCATATAGACCTACTTAATCTTGAAAATTCAATAGAGACAAGATGTATTTAGTAATAGAATGAGACAATTAAATCTATTCTACTGTCATTTAATTTGTGTAATCAATTAATATAATTGCTTAAATGTGTTGATTAGTGATATAAAATTAATCCAATAAAGAAGTGTTTAATCGATAAGATTGAAATATTTACTAAAGCAATTTAATTGAATAATTGTATTAATAAGGATCATAAACAGATTTAGATAAAATTGATAACAATTTTGAGCAGCTCTAAACTATTTTATTCTGCTTAATATCGATTATCGCTTTTAATAATGTTATTTTAGACTGGATTAAAATAGTAGGTGCTTCTGAAAAGATATTTATACTATTAGTCATTTAATTCATTTATTATATTTGAATATGTGGAAGTTGTTTAACTAAACTTTTTGCTTTAGAAATCTATTTAGATTTTGTATAAAAATAAACTAATTGACAAGATAAATTAAACTATAAGTTATTGAGGAAGACAGAAGCAGGTTTTTACTATTCTGCTTCTGTCTTCATTTATAGAAGTAATTAAAGAATTTCATTTAAGAAGAGCTAATCATGTTCATTGCTAAATTAACTTAAAATTCTTAAAAGTTGATATTGCCTATTTAATAATTTGATTTTAACAATATTTTTACAATCCTCTTCAATAACACTATCATCTTTCATAACTGATTAATTAGATTTTTCAATCTGTTATAATAAAGCTATTGAAGTGATATTAAGATTCTGTAATTGATTATTCATTTTCATTCTATCAGTATTTGAACTTGCATATGAGTTTCGTTTTACATTTTGCTACATAGTATTACTACGTTATTTGAATTCCATAGAGATCATTTTAGAAAGTTATGGTTAATAATTTTAAGATTGTAGTCTCTCAAAGATTCGATCATCACCAACGAATTTAGATAGTAATCTACTTTTGAAAGATTAGTACACTTAAAACCAATTTCTACTTGTACTCATTTTCTAATGTAATTCATTTAATTGAAGGAGACTTTACAATTCTTATTCTGCTATTTGAATTGATTCTTCTTATTCATTAAGAGCTTCAAGATATCTTTTATTAAGAGCATGTATCCTAGCTATATTATTAGAACATAATCCTACTGCTGAGAGATTGTTTTACTTTTTAAAGAATTTTTTTGAATTACTCATTAACATTAACCCTTCTGCATTTAATTCAAATTGATTGCTTTAAAATTTCACACTATTTGCATAGTCAATAACAACATCTATAAATAAACAAATTTCATTTGAATTACGATACTCATCGTAATTGCTTGCAATAAAATCTTGTTTACTTAAATCTTAAACAGATTATTCTAATATTGTAGCAGCCATAATTTTCAATGGAACAACAAATGAAAGACTTGCTTTGACACCTTGTCTCCAGGTATAAAGAAATATTATTAGAGAAGATAAAAATAAGATTGTTATAAATTGATTGATCTTATTAGGTTCTTCTAATGATCCAGCTTCTTCATTTCTAAACATTAAAGTAAAAGTTTCTAAGAATAAGATAGAAAAGCTCTTCTTAACATTTACATCTAAAATTTCACAATGATGAGCTATTGGATTTGATACAAAAAAAAGAGTGCTTCTACAAATGTATTTTTCTTTATTGATTCCAACATACTCAAAAGTCTTAAATTGAAAACCACAATCATTTAAAGATTCATATAAATTTTCTATCCATTGTTCTGTTTAATTAAGATATGTTCGACTTAAAACACTTAGATTTCCGATTTCAAGAGCATCACCAGTATTTACTTAATATAGATACTAATTATTAGATTATAATTTACTTAATCTAGTAGCAATCCTCTGTAGATATTTTTAGGATCCCATGATTTAGTCAAAGAAACAAACATCTCTAGATTTTACATTTCACTAATGCTACACTTATGTTTTCCCATTATTGTTACAAGTAAGGTAAATTTCATGCCATTTGGTAAGAATTCTGGTTTAATCCATTTTTATGAGTATGCATCAAGTACAATACAGTTAAATTTGGAGCGACAATTTTTAACTTAAAATTGCCAAAAAGTTTTATAGTCAGAAATGTTTTGATTTCCATATAGAGCTAAAAGACCATTTTCACAAAGTATGGAAATGTTATTTTTGATTAAGGAGTTAAATTACATCAAATGTTAAATAAGCTCATAGACTTCAGGATCATTAAGGGTGGAATTAATTTGATAGAATTGAAAAGGTTGATCTGAAAATTAATGAAAGTTCTATTAGAGTAATTCTTAAGCAATAAAAAGATCTTTGATAGCTGGGATCATTAGTTTTGACAAAATTTTATTATAGCTATATTCGATGGACACAGTTTCATTAAAAATGGATCTAGTTAAAGATTGGCCTTAATCAAGTGAATTTGGTAATTGTATGAGGAGAAATAAACTATTCATGACAAGACTCAAAAGCAACACGATTGAAATAGGAACAACAATGGCCATAATGATTTTGAGTATCATGAATTAAAATATTATTGATCAAATCAATTCTGTGCATCATGTTCCATGTGTACAACAAAGGCAAAATAATGAAATGATAACTCTAAGTTAATGGAAAGCCAAGAACTTCTTAGCTTCAACTTCATCTCGATATTACAAGATCCCTGATATCAATGAACCAAAATAAAAAAAATAGCAGATCAGGAATGTGAAGTACAAATTTGAATTGGATGATGATATGTGTCATAAAATACTAAAACAAGTATTACCAAGAAATCCACTTTTACCTATGAGAAGATAACATCAACCTAGTATTATATTATAATTAATACTAGATCCATCTTAATTATCTGTCATCTAACCTAATTAAAGTTTACAGATCATCAACTCTTCAATTGAAGAATCTAATACTGGATCTAAAACAAATCGTTTTAATAAACCTTCACTTAAAAGAAATATAAGTCAACCACTTTTAGATGAAACTAAATAATTATCATTTCTCAAAAACAATTCATCATCAAAAGATATCAAGATCTCTGAAAGGAAAAAAAGTAAGATCTATCTTGGATCTACTGTTTAAGCATCTTAGACCTAAACCAAATTTGAAATTGACTTTGACTTCAAAATTAGAGATTCCTCAGTTAAACGAAGATTATCTCAGAAACAATTCAATATCTATAAGAATAGGAAACTTGCAGTTAACAGTATTGCAAATTAATTCAAACAGTAAAAGGAAGAATAAATAGAAGCAAAAAGAAAATAAATAAAAGAATCAAATGAATTCATATGAAACAAAATTAACATATATAAAATAAATTTATTCATATCCTACCTAAAACAAAAAATGAATGAAAGAGAATCTCGTACATCTCATAGGGCATTCTCTTCTAATCCTAATACTGTACCTTAGAATGCTTATGCTTCAGCACTTAAAGCATTATAAGAAAAATTAAAGGGAGTTGAAGGATTAAAGAAATCTATTGATAATCCTTCTGATTGTCTAATTGACTAACTTAAAAAATAAATAAATGATTTGTAAAATGAAAATGAAAGATTATAATACTTATTAATGAAAACTAATTAAGAAAGTTAAATGAACTTTGTTGCTTCTTAATAAATTGAAGTTTTATAAGCTGAAAGATTACAACATCTCAAAGACTATTAAGATAGAGTTAGTGATTTAATTAGAAAAAATGAAGAATTAAAACATGAAAAACATGAAATTTAAATAGCATTTGACACTTTATAAAGATAATAATAAGTACATAAGTCAACTGAAAAAGGATATCTACATAAAGTTGAATTTAAAAAATTTGAAGAAAATGCTTCTCTTTTAACAAATATATCAGATCTTAAAATTAAAATTGATTTAAAGGATTAATAACTTAAAAAATAAGAAAAAAAAATAGAATTTTTAGAAATGGAAAAAGAACAGATTCTATAAGAATATTCTAATTATAAAACTAAATATCCTCCAATGAAATTGCATGATTACGAAAAACAAATTCATTAATTAAAAGCTTAAATAGATGAGAAAGATAAGTTACATTCTAGAAATATCGATGATATTGAAAATAACAAGAATATAAGGGAAGAACAAATGAGTAGAAGAATCTAGGATTTAATTGGTAAATGCAATGAATATCAATAAATTATTGAACAACTAACTCAAGATTATAAAGATTTAAGTCTTAAATACTAGTAAGTTAAAATTAAATTAGATTATGAAGAGAGATAACATAGGTATATTAGTAGAAAATTAAGTTAAGGTGAAACTGAAATTAAAAAAGGTTATAAAGAATAAAAAACTGTTACTAAATTAAATATAGATTAAATGTCTCCTCCATTAACTAGTCCAAGATTAGAACAAAGTTTAAGACAAAGTTCGTTAAAATAAGCTATAAGAGAATGTTTGGAAGACATGAAGAACACCTCCAATTTTCAGTTTTGTAGTCCTGATAGAAAATCAGAAAATAAAAAGTAGTCATTGCTATCCCCTATGTCAACTTCTCGACAACTCGAAATAGAAACTAAACTTAAGGGACTTAATGAAAAATATGAAAATTTAATTAGATAAGCTTAAAAAGAAAATGATTTGAATTCCAAAGCTTTGATAAGAAAATAATTACTTGAAATTGCTGAATAAATTAAAGAAACTACTAAATTTGAAAAAAAATGAATCATAATTATATTCATCCAAGTCATTTTCCATATGATTAATTTTCATTAATCCACTTTCTTATTTTTAATCACATAATTTTAAAATATTATAACATTAAAAAATTAATAATTAGGGCTAATTCATTCAATAATTTATTTTATAATTTTAATGAAAAATTGATTTTATTAATTTATTTAATATATTTTACTTATATGCCCATATACCTTGGTAATCAAATTTTTATTAACTTTGGAATGATAAATAGTTAAGAATCCATACAAAAACTAAAGGAGACAAATAGTGAAAATTCAAATAGATCAAACTCAAAAATTGAGAAACTAGGAATAACTAAAAATCATAAATTATTTAGAAATAGAAAGTTCCATGCATTTGTATTTACTTTTATTTGATGCCATTTGAGCATGATTATTAAAATTTACTATTACCATACTACCTTAATTACTAAAAAAAATTGATGAATGATGATTAAAATTTCAATTCATATATTCTTTATTCATTTTTGAAAATCGAATATTATAATTTCATTTAAAAGCAGGATCTCACACTTTGATAACTAAACTTTACCCTAAAAGTTTAGTCTGAAAACAATAACGCAGTCACAGTTATAAAAAAGAACAGTTATTCTAAAGAGTTAACTTCAAAAAGTTATGAAATATTAATTATATTGTTTACATTATAAAATAAACTTTTAGTAGTTATTTTAATTTTATTTAAGAATAATTTCTAAATGAATAAGAATTTTCAGATTGAAAATTAGGCTCTATATTAAATTTTATTTTGGATTGAAATTCATTATAAAAAAATTCATTAAGAAACCTTATTGATAAGTGAGGATTTAACTTTGCCTATGTATTCAAGTTAACACAATAACGTAATTCAAGAAATAGCTAATGATAAAGAAATTTAGAATAGATTTACTGAATTCATTATTTAAACTAATCAATTAAATATGTTATTCTATTTAGAAATTTGAACTTAAAAAATAAACCTGTTTAATTTTAATTAAAAAATGATACAAGAGATAAGTAAATAACTAAATATTTAACATGTTTGATTTTTTGTTTTTGCGAAAAGCCATTTAAGATATAAAATTGATCAGAAAGTTGAAATAAATAATTAAATTTAGTGATTTTCACTCTTATTAATTTCTAGAGAATTGGTTGAGATTATTTATATGATAAGTTTATTAATAGAGAATTAGATTTTTCTTAATATTTATATAGATTAGTATATTTAAGAATCATTATGATTTTTATTATAATAATAATAATAGCAAGAAATGGAAAAAGAAGTAAGAATTTTTGATTAATTGAAATGGTAATAACATTAGATAGAATAGATATAAAAAATATTGATTAATGATAATGAATAATTTTAATTAAAAATATGATCTCAATTTTGATTATCTTGAAAGTAATTTTGGCTTAAGAGATGAAAACAATAACGATTGGTAATAGAGTAGAAGGGTAAAAGCAATTATTAATTGATAGCACTCAAGCTAAATGGTTAAATTAGAATGGAGATTTTTATGAATTAGTATTGAATGAATTAAAAATGGATTCGGATATAGTAGTAATGGTAAAGGCAATAAATCCAGGAGGAGATCCAAACATATTTATATCAAAATAGAATAAATATGCCAGTAATTAAAAGGAAGGAGAAATAGCTTCTTGTTCATCAAATGGAAATGGTAACAATAATTCTATATTCAATAAGATTTGTGTATAATTGATAAATCTCAATTGGCAATAGAGGTTCCTTATTATATATCAATAATATGTCCAGGAAATTGCAGGTATGAGTTGAGAGTGGATTATGTTGAAGAATATACATTAGAAAGAGGTAAAATGTTGGATAATAATATTAATTAGATGATTTTACATAATTAAAATTATCAAATACTTAACAAAGTGAGATAATAAGGATAAATATAGGTGAATACAGTAAATCAGAGACTGAATTAGAGATAGAAATAAAAGCATTAAATATTTATGAGTTTGAGTCTGAATTTTACGTTTATCTAAATGAGGGTAGTATAGTTCCCTCTTCTGAAAATCATAAATATAAAGCCAAAGATTCATGGAGTGGATCTAAGTTGATTTCTTTATTGCTTTAATAGTTACCACCACAATCTAAACTTACTATGTTGATATCAGGTTAAGCTGGTGCAATCTTTTAAATAAGAACTCGTACTTATGGAATTTAAAGAGAATTAAAGTTTTAGGAAGTTTATAATGGATTAGTGGGGGCTAATGTTACTAAAATTTTTAAAGTCAAAATTTAAGATAATAGTTATAATAACTTGGATGATGTAGATAAAAAAATTAAATGGGTAAAAAATAATGGTATATTAAGTTTGTAAGATTGACTCCATTTGTTGGACATGCTACTTTATATGTGAATCTTGATTATTAACCAGTGTTATTAGAATAATACTTTTATCATTTTGAGGGATAGAGTAAATAGATTTTGATCATTGAAAAATCAAAGTTTAAATATTAAGGTGAGAATGAAAGATATTTGTATATCGCTGTATTTGGAAATGAGGTATGTACATATGAATTGGAAACAGGGATTCAAGATTTTGAATATCAATATATTAACATAAATGTTCCTTATGAAGGTATGATAGAGAATAACGAGATGATTAATTATTGGTTTGTATTGACAGGGAATAAGTAAAAAGCAGTAACAGTAGAATTAACAAATTATGAAGAGGAATGTTTTATGGTGATAAAAAGATGTTAAGATGAGGAATGTAAAATAATAGAAGATGATTTATAAAATTTAGAATAGAAATATTCTGATGATGGAATGGATTTATTTATCTATAGTAATCCATCAAAGATTATAAATAAATAGATGTTGATATTTAGTTATATACCAGAATATTGTAAATCATTTGGTGATTTTTATAGTTGTACATATGTATTAGCAATTCATTAGAGTTTTACGCTTGTTTAATAATAAAGTAAATGTTTTTATTCTTTATTAATATCTGCTCAATCTTCACATGTAAAATTACGAGAGAACACTCCTCATAAATCAATAGTGGAGAGAGACAATTATAATTATTTTAAATTTGGAATTGATGATGTAGACAATATAAGTAGAATATCAATAATTTTAACACCAATACAAGGGAATTTTAGATTGTATAGTTCAAGAGTAGAGAAGAGACCTGATAAAGAAAGATTTGAAAAGTAAGGAGTGAATAATATGATTCGTTATGGTGGTTATAATGAGAAAGTTGAAAAGGGAATTTACTATATATCAGTATTTGGATAGAGTTCTGGATTATATACAATAGCAGTAATAGTTATAAGGGAAGGTGAAGATATAAGAGTGAAAGGGAAGTTTGCTTGGTAGTATATTCAGTTATATGAAGGGAGTCCATAAGATTTTAGTTTATTTAGTGAAGAAGTAGGTTTATATAAAATAGATTTAATAAGTTATCTTAGTGTAGATTAGAGTAGATAGACATATTAAGAGACAGTAAAGATTGAGATTTTACATGAATCAGGTGAATTATAACTTTATGGATTTGATCATCCATCAACTAATTTAAGTGAATCCAGATGGAATAGTACTGAAGAAATAGAAATATAGTTTATAGATGATAATTATCCAGAGGTCATTTATTTAAGAGTAGAACCAACTAAACCTTTTAGTTAGGTGTAATTTAGAATTATTTATAGAATTGGATGGAAAAGTAACATGCTTGTTTTAAATGAAAATTTCTATACTTGGATTGAAAAAGATGAGTATTAATATTTTCATTACACCTTCTTCAAAAATGAAGATGTTCAACTTACTAAAAGAGCTCATTCACATAGAGACAATGAACTTAATGTTACTATATTCATTGGGGATTCTTAACATTAATTGACAAATGGAACAGTGGTTTTGAGTCCTTCTAATATGCCTTTAGATAAATGTAAAATCTCTGCTGCTGAACTCTATTATTGTTAAATTTATATTTAAGTCTTTAGTCCAGTAAGTACATTCTATTCATTATTAATATCCAAAGATGACTCATAAATTTAACTTACTATTGATGAACCTATTACAAGGAACCTGCCTATTACGTACCATCATTATTACTTATTTTATTAATAACCTTATGATGTCATTATCAATGTTGTTAATTTTGCATACCCATAACCATTACAAATCTTAGTTTCTTATTTTGATATTAATCAGTATCCAAATAAAGGAATCTATGATTATCCTTTAGATACCCAATCCAAAAATGTTATTGCTTTTTCAACAACACTTCTTGGCCTACCAAATAGTTAAATTACACTCACTTCTAATTAACTTCAATAATGTTATTCCAATTGTGTTCTAGCTATCACTGTTAAATTAATTGAAGATCTAAAATATCATTAAACTCCTAATTCTATTTATTCTATTTAATATTCATCTGGAGCTACCTTTTTACCAGAATCAATCCCTTACTATGGAATCACACAAAAAGATACTATTAAATACTATCAAGTTTATGTCTATGATAATGATACCAATCTTATGATAGTACTTACTCCTATGTCATCTTGCGATGTTAATATTGTTGTAAGTAAAGACACTTATCCAAATGCTCGATAATATCAATGGGCATCAAATGACTATTTGGGAGATTAATTAGTTATTGAAAGTGGTAATCCTGTTGAACCAAATATGGCTGGCCTATACTTCATAGGAGTTATTGCAGATTAATAATGTTCTTATAACATTGTATATTAAACTGGTAGATTTCATTATTACTAAATTTAATAAGGAATACCATATAATCTTGTGCTTAAACATGGAGAAATTGCTTATTTTAAATATCAATAGTACATAGTTGAAGATTTCAAAATTTTATTCAAAACATTAAGTGGATCAGCCCAATATTTTATAGAAGAGATATCTTTAGATTATAAAGATTCAATTATTTTTGTGAAATAAATTGATACATTTCAATTTAACAATGATGGAAAAGGATATACTAAGGAAATGAAATTTTCTCCAAATGATCGAAATAATTATTTAATTGCTGTGAGATCAGATGAATATTCTGATTTTGTAATAGCCATCTAAGTTAAATCATAAAAAGTATATTTAGCAAAAGATGTAATAATGATAAATTAACTTGATCCAAATGAAAGTTAATCATATAGTTATTTCAGTAATTATGACTCTTCATTTAAAGTCGAAGTCTTAGATGGAAAAATAAAAGTTGAATATATGAGTTATGCTTCAAAAAATAAGACAGAAGAGTTTGTTAGTAAAGAATCTGTAGGCTCAAATTATTTTGAAGCATAAATGGCTAATTCATCTAGTTAATTTGAAATTAAAATCAGTGCTTTAGATAAAATTGCTACTTATAAGATTTAATGCAGAGATGTATAAAGTCCGATAGCAATAACTGTAGGTGAAGCTTATATAATATAACTAAACCCAAAATAATTACAAAAATTATCGTATAGTAGTGTTTAATAAGGAGATGATAATAGTTTTACAATCTTAATTTCTATGTTTTTTAATACATTGTCAAAAACTGAATATAATAAGTATAAGAAAGCAATCCCAAAGATTTTAGTCAAATATACAAACTAAGAGTAAAGATCTCATCAAATTATCCCACTAAAAGAAACATAAATATAAGAACATTATTATGTTGAATTCTAGGAATAGGCTGGAGATTATGAAATTGAAGTCCTTAATAATGATGATCATCTAACCCTCGATTTTAACTTAATACTTAGTAATAGTTAACTTAATGTCTTGATTCCAAATAAAAAAAGCATAAGCCTTTTAACAAATAAGCCTTAATATTGGGAATATTATTGTCCATCTGAAGGATAACTCCTTTTATAGGTTTATTAATGTGGATTACCTTTAAATCTATTTGGTTCTAATGATATGTTTCTTTTAAAGAATGGATAATATTAAAAGCAATATCAAATAAATGATAGTTTAATAGACCTAATTGAAGTCAAAAGATCTGGTTATTATTATTTATTAGCAAGTCCAATCAATTCTTTAATAGATTAAACATCTCCATTTAAAATAACTGCTTAACTTGTAAAATAAGATTCTTATATTCCAATTGATGATATTAAACCTGGAAATTAAGGAAATTTGACTTGGTAAATATATAGAGATGACGATAAATATTATCTCTAAGTCTTTGGAGCTGCATTATTTGTAGAAAAGAATCCAAACTTTAAATTACTATATGTTTCATACACATTATTTTATTAATACACTGATGAAAAGAAAAATTTATCTGTTGATTATTGTTTCGATCATTATAATTTTCAAACTATTTCTGAGTACTAATCTATAAAGAATTTCACTTTAATTCAATTGTTAGATTAAGAAAAACTTGTTGACGCTCAAATGATATAATTTAATATCTATGCTGATTGTAATTTTAATTTCACTATTTTTAGCTACCGTTTAATTAAAAAATTTAGAATTAGTTCATATAGAAAAATTCTATAATCCAATCAATGTTCCAAATGAGTTTGTGAAGTAACTCAAATGGAGCAGATATATGAAGTATACTTTTCTTTTTTCTATAATATTTGTTCTACTATACACATTGTACAATTATTTTAGAAAGAAAAATGAAAAATAATAGTATTATATTTAATTATCATAGAATGAAATTCGAAGCAACTGAATATCCTAATATAGAAATGCAATACAGAGGATTAAGTGATTGAAAATTAGAAATATTCTATTTTTATTATTATTTTTTATGAATTATTTTATTAAAATAGGATATCAAATTGCATCAAAAAGTATATAATGTGTTTATTTTTATGAATGAATATTAAATATTTCTAAATTTATAAAATCTTTTATTAAATAAATTGATCTTATGAAATTTCAAAATAAAAATGTAAAAATCTCAAAAAAAAATAGGTTCTAAATTATTTACAGTTTTAAATAAATGAATGATTTAAAATTTTATGAAAACTATTTTTTCTTCTTATCATTCTTATTACTTAAATTTGATTTTAAGAATATAGATTTATATCCTTTACAAGAAATTGCCAACGTAATCTATTGGATGATTAATATTTATTCTATATTTATAATCAATTTCTTTTGCATAAAATAGATTCATTCTAAGAAGAAAATTCATTAAAAACAAAATAAATTTCACAACTGATAAATTTTTTGAATTAAATTAAATTAATTTAAGGAATTGATTAAGAAAAAATTAATTATATTTATAGATTGAAAAAATGTTTGATTATAAATTTTATTTATCTTCAAAAGATTTAAGAATGTCAATTTCAAGATAGAAATCCTCCAACTTTACAGTGTACTGAATCAGAATGAAGGAAAGAATTATTAAAAGTAAAAAGAATCAAATTAACAATTTATCCTTTAATGTTGTAAATAATTAGTGGCAATTGAAAAACAATATATATATTGATAATAAATTAAAACTAACAAACTTGAATGCTAAATATATTGAGCATTTATTAAATTACGGGTTAAAAAAATCATTATTTTTAATAATAAAATTTAAATGACTAAATAAATTTTTTTGTTTCTTATCATTATTTTATCTAATTGACTTTTTCCTAGGAAGATGATTTCCTTTCTGTTTTCTTTTTATCTGTAATTATTAATGATTTACTACAAAATCTTATATCAGGATCATTATCCGCGTTAATATTTATTAACCCACTTTTAGATATGTTTTTATTTTTTTTTACTTGATGGAGAAGCTATTCACTAAGTATCTCTCCAATGTTAGTATGATCTTAAAAATTATTTTCAACTATGTCTATTGCTATTTTAACTAAAAGATATTATGAATTTATACATTGATCGTCATTAATTTAATTTATATCTTAATCTTCATTAATTTAATTTATATCTTAATCGTCATTAATTTAATTTATATCTTTGTCCTCATTAATTTAATTTATATCTTAATCCTCATTAATTTAATTAATATCTTTGTCCTCATTAATTTAATTTATATCTTAATCCTCATTAATTTATTCAGATTAAGTTTAATTTGATTATATTTATTATTCTTCTTTTTTCTGATCCTACTATTATAATATTTCTGGTATTTTACTGTGAGATTCAGTAGGATGAATGCCCAATAAATAATTAATTTCTAAATCTAATATACTTTAATGATTATTTTTGTAATTATTCCATTAATCTGTATAATTTACTTATTGAAAATATAATGTTAATTTATTAGCCATGCCCTAATAGCCTTTTGTAATTGGCTTTTTTATTTTGCCAACTTATTTATAGTATTTTGTATTTAATAAGCATAAAAAACCTAATAAATCCATATCAAAAATAGTTTATTAAATTTAAACTAAATTTTGATTATTAAAGATATAGAAGATAATTTAAAGATAATAGTTTTAAAGGGAGTTATTAAATTCATATTTTTAAATAAACTACATAAGAATACTCTATATTTCTTAGTGATCAAAGTATTATATTAAAGTTAAATTTTCTGTTTGTAATATATTATAATAGAATTCTATTAGTTTTAATTTAGTTTATCCCAAAATTTCTTATTCCTATCCATATGTGCTCATGAAATTTACTTAATAATATCAAATATAAATACACTAATTATTTTCCATTTTAAGGGCTTAAACAAATTATTGTCCTATAATTTAGAATGATTGATAGTTAAATTATAAATCATCTAAGGTTTCACGAAGTAACAAAATTAAAATATCAACCAATTAAACTGACTTTGTTTGAAGCTAATCTAAAAATACTAAAAATTACAATTAACATGAAAAAAGTTTCAGGATAATAAATAGATTAAAAAATCAATTTTTTGTATTCCAATTCATTTACGTTTTCTAATAAATTAATGATTATATTGGATATATTTTCAACAATTTATGAATCATAGTATTTATTTTAAAGGATGCAAATAATTCTTTATAAGAAAAAAATTCTTTATTGTTTAAAATCAGGATCTTGTAAGCCTTTTTTATTTATTAATCCAATTAAATTATAAATTATATTAGCAATATGATTATTATCGATATGTTTAATGAGATCATCAATAATATATTTCCCATAAAGAATTAAATAATTCAGAAGCTTATTATAAATTTTAATAGAAATACATATATTCCTCTAGTATCTATAAGTGAACATACAAATTTTGAAAAGTAAGCAGCATTTGGAGCTTCTAAAAAGTCATTATCAAGAGTTTAGAATAAGAACTCTATGCATTCACTTTGTTCTATAAAGTTTAATTAAAAAAGAAAATCAAATATCATTTCTGATTGTTTTTTAATGATTTCTGTAACAATGAAGGGATACCTTTATATGAAATATAAAAGATAATACCTGGAATCTTAGTTTGCTTCATTAAAATTAATTATTAATAACATCTCCCAAAATTATTGGAAGTCTTAAGTGACACTTAAAAATATAAATGAATAAATACTATTCTGTGAATAACCTCATAGATTATTGATTAATTCCTTCTATTATTATAAAATCTAAAATTGTTGATAGATTAGCATTAGGATGAGAATATAAAAAGTTTGGAAGTATAAGTTACATACTTTATTAAATTTGTTGCCTAAAGTTAATAACAAAGAAGGTACCTTTCCATAGTAAAATTGATATAAATAATAAATTAATGTTCTTTATAAATTATCATACAATTTAAGCAGAAACAGTATTTGATATTTTAGTAAAAATTTTATAAAAAATAAATGATGAAATAAGACATAGATAAGAATATTTGGGAATGGGTTTCTTGTAACTATGATGTAAAGCGTATAGTAAAGGATACTCAAACTTCTTGGAATTTGAGTCCATAAATATCTCTAAAGATTCCAACTGAGAATGGGACTGTTGACCCTCTTATCAACTTAAAGATTGATTAAAGCAGGCCTTTTATCTACACAGAGAATTTAGGATGGAATTGGCATAAGAGTTGGAATCTTCCAGATATAGGATTGGAAATAGAAGTATTATTTATTTTTAGTAACTTTAAAAATAGATTACAGACCCGTTGACAAATGAGCGTCTTGCCCCTCCAAATAATATTTATGTATCCATCAAAATTATAGCAAGTGTAAATTACAAATTGTAAAGCCAATCATAACTCCAATGAAAACTCATCATCTATTAGAAGTAGGTGCTAAAGGAAATCTTAAAGTTGATATGGAAAATGGCAAATGTATATTTTCTGGACTTAAGTTTAACACTACTTCTTATAATCATGATGTAATATTTATTAAAAATAGTATCAAGCATTAAAGATTTCATATAGTTATCACATTATATTTATGTCAGAGTAAATTTGAGTTTCCTCAAATCTTAGATTCTCGTATCTCTCCTCCTATTTTTGTAGACTCACGTAAATCTGCTAGAGACATTGTCAAACAGAAGGTAAATTTCTTTATTATTTATTAGATCTAAAAATTGCAATCTTATTTCGATCCTTTTTTACCAAATAATTTAGAAAAACAATTTTTAATTATCAAACCATCTAATTCTGAAGTCATTAAAAATTCTATTGATGGTCTCATTAATTACTTTACTGCTCCTAATATTAGACATAAGGTCAAACATCCTATTTTTTTGCTTCTTAAATTCAGTGCTTGTATCTAGTTATATATAAACTCTTCTAAAATTAAATTTACAGAAGTAAATTATATAATATTATATCTAGCCTGAAACTCTAATCTAAACGTTACAACATGTCCTATCCACTAGTAATGCATTATAAGGAATTCAAAAAATTGAACAAAAACTCATTTTATTATATATTGATTGTAAAACAAATGAAACCAAATCTCAATAGAATCTCAAAAAAATTTAAGAATTTCTTGAACCTCTCAATAATGATTGTGTCCAAGTTATTTTAGATATTCATGATGTTCCTAAAGGATTTATTCTAATTGAAAATTTAGTATTTTTTAAATTTATCATAGGATGAAATGCAATTAGCCTACCATAGAGTTTATAATTCTTTATTGAAATATAAAAGGGAAGATGATTAATATGATTAAGAATAATTAGAAGAAGAATATAATGCAAAAATTCCAGAAAAAAAAAAGAAAAAAGAACTTAAAGAACCTGAATAACTGGTTAATCCAGAAAGAATAAGAAAAATTATTCATATTTCAGGTAATATACCTAACCAAAGTTCAAATTCGATGCCTGAACAAGATAGTGTATTCTTTTTATAAAATATATTACTAGAACCAAATCAAAATGGAACAATTCTCTTTACCAAATAATATTTCCTTGAGACTTCCACCCTAAGAATAATCCTAATAGTATTTGCAATAATAACAACTTCAATAATAATAACTATAATAGAATTTAGCCTTCAATCCAATGTCATTATGGTTATATCTATAAAAACTTCCTTCATGAATTATAAGATTTTAATGATCAAATATATTTTTAATCACGAAGACTACTGGCTTAACTTAATTGTCGACTTAATTTCTTTCTAGTTTAATCAATTGTTTTCTCTATTGGAGTTTTAGCTTCTTAATAATCATCATATCTATCATTTATCTCTATATATGGTCTCTGGAATCTCTTTATTGAAGAAGGGACAGGAAGTACCTCAGATTAATCTCTTAATCTTTCAGGTATCATCATTTCTTTATAAGTGTCTCTTTCTTTAAAAGTATCCCTCATTAAGGATGCATTATTATTATTTTAATTTTTTGTTGTTGATATTCCTTTTCTAAAATCAATTAACTATTTTTCTGCTTCTATTTACACATTATTTTTTCTTGTTTCTATTCTACTTATGTATGTAAATTCATTTTGTAATTCACTTAACTTTTTTTCAAACTATTTCAAATCCATTTATTTTAATTGAACTTCTTTTCTTATTCTCTCTATTTCTACTCTTGATTCTCTAATACTTTACTCTAAATTTAATTTATTATTATTATACATTTAGCCATTTCTTATAAAGGTGTTAAACCATTATCTTTACAATGAACAAGTTCTTTGTATGTTGTCTCAATTAATTTTAACTCATCTTATAAATTTTATATAGATTAGTTTGTATTAAATTGATTTTTCAATACCTGATTGATTTCTTTCCAACAAAGTTGCAAATTTAAGTTTGGAATTTGTTCAATTAAACTAAGAAATATAATTGGAAAATACCAATCATGCAACTGAATGAACTTTTTCAAATAAATTTACAAATCCTATAACTCTTGCTCTAATTATACATAACTAGCTTTCTAATTTATTTATATTTCTTTGCTTTATGAAAATCCTCTTCTAAAAAATAAATTATTGAATATTACAAATATCCTATCTCAGCTTCTTATTTGGCATTTTCTTCTTCCAAAGTCAACACTCTTTATTCTAATTCAACTACTAATTATTATAATTTTCTTGTTTCTTCTTATTTTAATTTGAATTCTTCAAAATTAGATGAGCTTTATTTATTAGATAAACATTTACAGATATTTGTTCTCTTATTTTAAAAGTTTTATTTCTAAAAATGATTCCTTAAGTTACTACTCTAATTCTTTCTAACAAGATTGATTTGCATAAAACCTATTGTTTTCCATAGCTGTTAAATTAATAAATATAAATTCAAAATAACAAATTATCTTTTTCTTTTTCCTAATTCAATCTTTCTATTTCATTATACAATAAGACTAATAGGCATTTACAATCAATCAATTTTCTTTCAGCATCCACAACTTCAGCAAATTTTGATCTTAAACTCAATAGTTCTTTTTCATTCTCTTTATTAATTCTAATCTACTTTTCTAATTCTTAAGTTAATATTTTGCCCTAAAATAGTATTAAATAAATAAATTACTCTTTCTTCATTAAATTTATCATTCTTTGTTAGTTTTAATAAACTTATCTCATTTTTTGCTTCTAAAAGTTTTTAATTTAATTAATCTATTTCCTAATTTAACATCATATTTTATAATTCACATTTTCCTGAATTAGATTCACTTAACAATTTTTATTTCTATTCATATTCTGATAATTTGAATTTAAGTTCTGCAATTTCATTATTTCTAACACTCACTAAATTTGTTAATCTTCTATTTTCATCCTGCAACTTAAAAATTAAATCCTAAACTCCAGGATTTTCCTTTTACTACTATAGTGAATCTATTGTTTATTATTTTAAAAGTATCGTCTATCTCAATCTTTCTATTTCTCCTTCATATGCACTTACTTTTTCCAATACTTAATCTGATTAAAAAGTATTCTTTTTATAAATTAAGATTTCTTCATTTCTCTCTGTTAGTATTTTATTAAGTCTCTCTATTTCCTCCACTAATTGTGGAAATCTTATTTCATACTTTTGTAATTTATCTAGCAATTTTGAATCTTATTATATCAATGGTAGTTATTATTATTATTCAAATTGGTTTTATGTTATAAATTCTTTTGTTATATCTAATTCATTTTTCAACTTCTAAATAGTTTATTTCAAAACAGGAATTTATCTATTCGCTGCTTCTAAATCATTTTTTTACTAATTTATAATATCTTAAAGATTGCTACTACTTTGATTTTTTTCAACTGTGTCTTACATTATTTTTTATAAGCGCTAGATTTCGTTTTTTAATTGGAAGACCTATTTTTTTTTAATTAATATACAATACTGAATCATTATTTTCTTATTATTCTTAGAGTAGCTAGGAATAATTAAACTTTTAATTATTATAACTATTTGATAATAATTGATATTCTTGCATTAAACTTTATCTTTCATTTTCTAGTTATTTAGCTTGCATTTATAATTTATCTACTTATTATTTTAATAATCTATTAGCATCTTCTAATTGAGATGATGAATTTAATTGTTCTTTTAAATAATCATTCTCCTTTTTACAAGTATTTAATTAAGATGAGAGTTTCTCACACTCTTATTAAAGCAATTAAATTTTCTTATCTAATTCTTAATTAACTTTAATTTATTTTTGAGTCATTTATTATTTAAGAACTTAATTATCATCTTTCAATTTATTGTATTAATTAATTAAATTATCCAAACTCATATTCATGTCTTGTAATTTAAATTCATTCATTCTCAAATTTTGTATTTCTTTTTACATCCTCATAATTTAAGACTTATAATCATTTATTTCTCGACTCTTTAGGGCTAAAGTATTATTTAATCTCTCAACTTCCTTATATTATAGAATTGATGTACCTATCCTAAAAGATTGATTTTTGTCAAATATTCAGGATTGGCTCGATTTTCCTGAAGTTCTTATTATATTAATTGTTTTTCATTCTTTAAATCTTAATTTTCCTTTTATAATTGTTTCAATTACTGATTCAATTTTTAGATTTCTTTAACCAAAAGATCTTACTATAAATTTTAAGTATTTTTTACTTTGTTTGAAAAATCTTATTATTTTCTTAAAAGTTCTTTATTTCTTTCTATTTATTATTGTAATTCATAAATTTCTCTGTCTTTCTAATTCAATAATTCTTGATTGTATTAACTATCCTATTACATTTAATTTAAATCTATATGCATGCTTTATAATTATTATTTGCATTAATTATATAATCTATCTTTTTCTTATAGTTCATCCTATAATTTTTGATTTTCATCATTCAATAATTAAATTTCTGCAAGTATTTTTTATGAATCATCTTCAATTTTGAGTTTATTATTATAATCTTATTCTAATTTATCAAAACCCACTAAGTTTAATAAATAATAATAATACCTTCCCAATCACTAATCTCTTGTTTTAAGGATTAATTTAAATCATTAATTTGTTTGTACTCAATTTCTTTTTACATCAATTACTCTTTCAAAATGTTAATTTCATTTAAATATTATTCAATTTCATCTCTCTATTCTTAGATAAGCACTTAATTTTCACTGGATATTTATAAGTACTTTTCTCTTAAATCATCATTTTATCTTTGTAATTCAATAATTCTAGAATAAGTTTGTTCATACTTTTTCTTATATATTTCTTCATTTGATGTTCCCTCAAATTGATTAACCTTAGAATCTGGTGATTTATATGTGTTTCTAGGAAGAGTACTATAAAATAGAAATTTCGATATTAACATACTTTTACTCTTTAGCAAATTATGGACTTTTGACTTATTGATAATCATTTTCTAATAATGAACTATCTTCTTGTGGTTATGTTGTTCTAGATACATTGATTCTTTATGGACGATACTAAGACATAATTTTAATTTATATTAAACTTATGGGTTGTTGTTTTACAAGTTAGAATAAATAAGAAGTTCATAAAAGGCATTCTTCTAAATTAAAAGTAATCATACCTAAAAATTAATTGTTGTAAAGTATATATCATAATATTATTTGTCAGCCAATCCTATTTATGATGATATGCCTTTTGATTAAGGAGACTGTTTTCAATTGAATAAGAACCTATTCACAGATGAATATATTATTATTGATACCAATCCTTTTTTAATTACTGATTATGGCATATATAGATGGTGCTCTAGCAAAAAAACAGATACAAGGAAATTAGTAAAAACTATAAAAAAAACAACAGATCCAAAATCAGATGAACCTGTTTTAATATTAAACAACATTTATCTAATGCAATATTTAGTAAATATAATTGTAATTACAAGGATCATCCAAATATTGCCAAAATGATTGAATATTTTAATGAAATAGACCATTATTATATTATTTTTGAAGATAATTAAAGTGATAATCTATTAAATAAAATGATAAAGAAAGGAGAAGATACAGAATAAATGGCTGCTATTATTATAGAATAAGTTTTAAGTACATTTGTATATTTACATTCAAAAAATATCATTTATCGTTTTCTAAGTATTATTATGATATATATTAAATTTAAGATCATAATACTATTTTATGTGATGATCAACTTACAATAATGTTTTTAGAATTTGGTGCTGCAAAAAAAATTTCATAATTTATAAAATTTCCAATTGGAGATTAACACTACCAATCACCAGAAATGCTTAGTGGAAATTATAGTTTCAAATCTGATATTTGGTCATCTGGAGTTTTATTACATTTTTTACTTTCTGGAACTATGCCATTTGATGGAATTATGGCATCTTCAATTAAAAATTCCATTATGAGAGGTATAATTAAACTAGATGAAACCTTTGATTGGGATAAAATTCCACAAGCTAAAGAATTTGTTAAAAAGTTATTAAATTTTTCATAAAATCAAAGACCTTCTGCATTTGAGGCTCTCAAAGATAAATGGATTGAAAAAGCTAAATTAAAAAAAAAACCACTGAAAATGAATCCTGTGTTAACCAATCTTCGAAAATTCCAAAAATGTGAAGTCTTAATAGAAGCTATTGTTATGTAAATAGTTTAAATGACTCTAACTTAAGAATAAAAGAGAGAGATCTTTTAGATATTTTAAGAGTTTGATACTAATAGAGATGGTAAAATTTCGACCTAAGAACTAATAGAAGGTATATTTTTCATTATAGATAGAGGATATAAAAAATATTAAACTAGTACAAAATTAGAAGATTAAGACATTGAAACGTTAGTTAAAAGAATTGATTAAAATGGAAATGGTTATTTAGATTATACAGGTATTTTTAATTTTTAATATAAAGAGTTTTTATTAGCATGTTAAGATAAAAAAAAATTATTAACAGTTGAAAAATTAAAATTAGTCTTTGCTTAATTAGATGTTGATAAAGACAATCTTTTATCTATGATTGAAATGAGAAGAATTTTTGGAGGTAATAGAATTAGTGATTAGAATTGGGAAAATATTCTTAACAAAACTAATTTGCAAAAAAAATCTGTTTTAACAGAATAAGAGTTCTTACAATTCATAATCAAAACTATTAAAAATGATCATTCCTTCTAGTGATATTATTAGTACTCAAATATTGAATTTATCTACTGTCGTCAAAAGGCATCTTGGCGATAAGTTATTAGGTTTTTTTATTAATTCATCTAATCTGCTTCGAGGTCTATCAGTCTAGCAATTGTTTTTTCTACTTTTTAAAATAAATTTTGCTTATTGACTTAGAATCTTTTCACTTTATTCTTAATGCTTCAGGTAGTCAATATTCGAAGCTTATTTCAAAGTTTTAGCCTTTAATTCCTTTGGGTAAATAGTTTTCAAATAATTCAACATCCTTATATCTCCTTACTTTCCAGCTTTCTAAATCATTATAAATTGTAAAAAATTATCTTTACATTGAGTACTTAATCTATGTTTTGTTTAATCATCTATATTTATTGTCCTACCATTATTTAACATTTGTATTAATAAATTATAATATTTATATTAAAATCTGTATTTTTTAAGTAATTTACTCAAATACCCTTCTTTTTATCCCATAATTTAAGATATTTAATTCAGCATCATATATTGAGATTTATATTATTATTCAATAAATAAGTTTAACTAACTAAACTTATTAATACCACAAACAATTCAATTTTTAATTGATTCTGAAAGAAATCTTAATTATTTACAAACACCAATTAACCAAAATTCAAAATTGACCAAAAATATTTTACCTTTTTTTCGATAAAAATAAACTTTTCTAATATTTTAATTAATTTTTTAGAATTTTGGTAAACAAAAAATTAATAAAATTAGAACTAATTTAAATTAGAGATAAAACCTAATATATCTTCTTTGAATTAGATATTTTTATTTAATGTTAATCAAGTATTTGGTTAACATTTTTAATAGGTTGAAATTAACTACTTTGACAATTTGTAATCTTAATTGAGATTGGAATTAAATTTAATTTCTCATTATGACTAATATAGTAATTTATATTAATAAAATTTTTAATACAGAGCCATAAATATAAAATAACTTTTTTTTTAGTCTTTGAAATGAATAAACAAACTTCAAATATAAAGGATTTTAATTAGGAAAAAAAAAGTTTTTTTAAGTTTACGGAACACATAATAATATATTAAATTTTTTATAATACTGATATCTCTTTTAAAAATTTTTGATATCAGATATTTCTTTTGGTAAATTATAAATAACATGTATCTTTTTTATTAAAAATCAGTTTGTTAAAATTTAAATGATCTTTTTTAAAATATGTATATTGTTTAATTTAAATGACTCTGCAGATCTGAAATAAGTTATCTAATATAATAATTAAAAGTATAAACATAAAAATTTGTAAATTATCTTTTCTTTCTAAATAGACAATACATAATTTGGAAGAGATTAGCAATGAGGAATAAGAATATCTAAATCAGAGAAATAAATTCCATAACTTTCCAACTAATTCATAATTAAAAAAAGATCTGAAGATGCGAGGCCAGAGATAGTTTATATACTTTTTCTTTTTGTTTAATCACTTGGATTTAATGTAAATAGAAATGATTTGTAAAAAATATATCAATATATTGATTAAGATTAGGATAAAGCTTTATTTTGAGATGAATTTGAAGGATTAACAATGGGAATGCTGATGCTTTAATGGCTTTTGGTATATCTAGACTAAGATTTAAAAAAAATAATGGATTATTTCATTTTCATTTGGAGTGATGTTAAATCATTTGAGTTACTTAATTAAAAGAGAAAAATAATTAAAAGTGATTTTGAAAATTTTTATTATTTTGCATATCGTTATCTATTTAAATGTATGTCAGAAAAAAAACAATTCAGCTAAATTTGTTGGATTTATTTAACTGATTAAAAAACCATAGCTGATGAAGCAACTTAAATTATCTAAGGCATAAGCCGATTTAATTAAAATAATTAAAAGATAAAATTAATTAGATTTAAACATAAAGGTTAGAAAATGATTTTCTACTATAAATGGGATAAAACTCTTAATATTTAGAAAAAATGTCGTAAAAGTTGGATTGATTAATAACAATGTAAAGTAGGGTTAAAATAGAATTTTTTGAAAATTTTAGTGTAGAATTAGATGAAAGCTCATTGTCTAATATTGAATAAAATGAATTAGATTAATTTATTTTAAATGATCAGTAATAAGATAATGTTTAGATTAGATAAGAAATTTAGGCGATGTTGATAAATCAAAATGAATAATTTAAATTAATTATTAGCATAAATACCATTGGGCCTTTTAACATTAGATTAACAATCATCAGTACAATATATTTTTTGTAAATGTCATTCAAAAAAAATATAAGTTTGTTAGATTGAGAATAAAATTTATAAATGATGATAAGCTCTGAAGTTTTTATGAGCTTTATTTTTATTTCATGTTTAAGATCAAATAAAATAAAATAGTCCACTAAGAAATAATCCACATATAAAAATAAAGAGAGGTGGTTAAATATGATTCTATCTTTAAAATTACCTACTTTTCAATGATTTTTTATATAAATATTATTAATGCAAAACTAAGGTACAATGACAGACATAAATGAAGAAGATATTAGAAGAGTTGATTAGCACATAACAAGAAATATGAATATGATAGTTGCTTGTATAAGGGTATTAAAGATGGAAGAACAAAGAAGAACAAATGAGGATATTTAGCGTTTGATGAGTTTCATGAGGTCACATTTATATTTTAAAGGGAACTAATCATTCGATTATCTTTGGGAATGTTGTTAAGTATATATTAGATTAGTATGTTAGTTGATGAAATTTGAATAGTTTAAAAAGAATTAATTGATTTACTTAAAAGGAAGAGAGAATAAAGAATAATTAATAATATTATTAACAGGAGACATAAGCATCTAGTCAAATGAATAAGAATTGATGAGTACAAAATATTTTGGATCGACTTTGATAGTATTTGGGAATGATTGTTATGCAGATATGTATTGCATATTTAGGATGCAAGCCCAAACCTGATGGTGAAGTCCAAATCAGTATGTAAAGCAGCCGTAATTTCCAAGATGAATTTCAAAATCAATATGCTAACTTAAGAGATATCGAAAATAAATATTTTACTCTAACAGATATATGGATTCCATTTATTTAAGACTTTACCATTTACATTAGTAAAACAATTCTATCTTAACAGTTTTACTCAACATTTTTGCTGTTAAGATTTGTTGTATAATCAAAATTAAAAAGCATGTTAAGTGTTTTTGGTGGTAAATGGTATCTTTGAGTTAAGAGAAATAACAGAGACCAATACAAAATCAATCAGCATTTATACACCTGGATAATTAATAGGAGATTTTGAATGTGTAAATTACTATCAAACTAGAAAATAACAGGCTCTGTGTATTAGTGATGAAGGATCAGTTTTAGTTTTTGATGGCATTTATTTTTTGAATTGGATGCTACCAAATATTAAGAAGAATTTTGTTGCTAAGAGAATAAATGATTTTAAATAGACTTAATAAAGTATTTAAATGAAAAAGACATTGTAGAGAATATTTCCAGAATAGCCTATAGAACAATCATCATAATCATAGCTTAACCAAACAAGTACTAAGCACTTTAGATTTGCTAAGTTAGCAAATCCTCGGTTTTTCAAGTTGAAACAGACTCCTGAGAAACAAAGAACTCAATTGTAGAATAGTCTAAGCATTAATAGATCATAATAATAATTATTATCAACAAGTCATAATAAAGTATCAATCGTATCATTTTCTACAAAATAAGAATTATTTTAAGGAAATATTAAAGGAAGATTATTAAGAAATGAATTATTAAATAAGTTTATCAACTAATAATCTGAATATTAGGATATTACGTAGAAATTAAGAAGAACCTAATCTTAGTTGGGTATGAATAAATGATTACTATAATAATAATAATCAAATTCAATCTGACATTATACCAAAGCGTTTAAAAGTTTTTTTTAGATAATTCTTCATTCGTTTTAAATCAGTTATTTTTTTTAAATCATATGTATTAGTCCAATCTTTTGGGAGTATTTCTCTCAGAATATCATCATAATCACTTTTAATTCTTGCTAATAAATTTATGACAGATTGATTAATCTCTTCAATTTCTTTAATTATTTTTCTTTTCTAATTATTTAAATGAACCAACTCTTAATCATAATCATGTAATAAAGATTCTAATAATAATATAATTCAATACCTATTTTTTTAAAAGTATTGAGATCAGCATCTCCTAAAACACCATCTAAATCCTCTTCTAAATTACGTTTCTACTATAATTTTTTATTTATTTCTAATTCTATATTTCTCAATTATTCAGTTTTCCTAACAATAACGACTCTTAAATTACATATCTTCCTCTTATCTTAATCTAGCGCAATTCTCTAATATTTATAATAATTCTCTTCTTCTTTCTTTTTCATTCTAAATAGCCCTATCCATATCATAATAATATATACAATATCATATTTTTAAATTATTAAATTGTACTTCCTGTTTTTTCTAACCCTGATCTAATTGTGGCATCTTCTTCTATTAATGGTTTTAAATAATTCATATTTTCCTTAAATTTTCTACTAACTTCTTTTAAATCTAATTGTAAAGAGTTTCCTTAACCATTTTACTATTCTGGTAAATTAGTCTAAGAGAAGAAATATTCATTTGCTTTTATATATCTAATTCTCTTTTTCAGATTTTCTGTCCATTCATTGAATGTTTTTGCTTCTTCAGATATTCTTCTTATTAATTCACTAAAAACTTAATCACTTTCTCTATATAATTTATCTAAATCATTAAGTAATGCTTATTCTGCTTATTCTAATTTAGAAATCTATTCTCGCATTAGTGCAATATTATCAAATTATTCCATAAAGTCCATATAAGCCTGTAATTTTGATGGTTAAGGTTAATCTAAATTTTATTAAGAGCCTTAAACATTTTACAATCCTTACAAATTCGAATTTTACAAATTATCTTCATCTCCAAATACAATATTTAATTTATTTATTCTTTCTTATCTTAAACCTCTTAACCTTTATAATTCTTCTATAATTTTATAAATTAAATTCATTTTTTCATCTTTTAATTTATTTCTTTGATTTAATTTCCCATTTAGAATTGATTATTATCGTTATTTATTTGCAAATAATGGCTCTGCTCTCTATACATTATCATCTACTTTTGTAATTAATAAATCTCTAATATTATCATCTATTGTATCTAATTAGCGACAAATTTCATATATTTCATTATTGTCTTTTTCAAGTTCATTATCAAAGTATTTTAATTTCTTTAATAAATTATCAATTTCTGTTTCAACATTTTTATTGAGTTACCAAAATTCTTATGATTTACTTAATTCCATAACTTTACGATCTTGTTGATCTCTCATTACATTTCCTAACAACTTTTACATTTTTGGTAAGCTTTTTTATTGCATAAGTGATTATATAAGCGGATCTTCAATTCTTTATAAATCTTAAACATAATCTTCATATTGATATCTCTTTAATTCTGCTATTTTATTTGAAAATTCTTCCTTAAGTCTTCTCTTTTTATTTAAGATTAAACTTTTTCGTCTATTAAGCAACATGATGACCTCATTAACTACTTAAAAATAAACATACTATTCTAATCTAATTCTCTATTAATTTCTTCTAGTGATAATGAATTCAAATCTTCAAATTCCAATGATGCATGAGGTGATGTATCTGCAAATCTAGCTACTCTAGGAGGTGTTTACAATCTCCCTTAAACAAATGATGAATTTTAACTAACAGGTCTTTATTGTATGTAAGGAACATTAGATGTACTTGTATTTAATTTCATTTCAAGAATATAATTATATTAATTTCCTATAAATTTTATTCTAATTTTATTTTTTATTCATTTAATAATTTTATTCTTAAATATATATTAGACTTCAAAACCTAAAATTAGTTGAAGATCACCATAAATTTATGTAGATATACGTTTTACATATAAACATGAATATTAAATTTATTAAATCTATAATAAACTCTAATTTAAATTAAATATTATCTTTAACCTAAATATATAAGTACATATAAGAAATATTCAAATGTAAATCTACAAATATCAGAGAAGAAAAGTCACTTTTTTTTCTTTCTTATTGATTGGTTACTTCTGCATCTTCTTAATTAAGGATTAGAGTTCTACTAATTAATCATCTAAAGATTTTTTCTAAATTACTATTTTAATACCATCAATTATTCATATCTTGCAGATCTCTTGATTGGCTATTCCTCAATTTATAGTTTTTATTTCTTGATTTAGGGTAAAATGGATTTGTTTTCTTTTTTGACATCATTTTATAATATTATATTATTTGTTTATACAACAATAGTCTGATGTAATATGTCTTCATCGTTACAATCTTAAGGGTTAAGTGGATTTATCTTTTTCTTTCTTTTTCTAGCAAGTCTCTAATTCAATTATTTAACTACTACAAGTTTTGGTACAATCATTTTAACTTAATTTGTGTCTGCACTTAATGCTGCATCTTATTTTAAAGTGATCTGATCAGAATCAACAACTAATGAATTTTTTCTTTCTTTAGTCATCTTTGAGTAATGTTAAATAGAATCTAAATTATATTCTAAACAAACATTAACCTGAATTGATAACATTTGTTTCATCTTAATCTGAGTTTTATATATACTCAAAAGATGACAATTACGTATATTTTGAAGGTGGATAATGGAGTTATCTCTTTAGTTGTTTTATGAGATTGGAGTCGTTATAAGGACTGAGTGATTAAGATCTGAGTTATCGATATTGAAATGGTTACTCTAATAAGTAATTCATTTATAATTAATATTGTTCTATAAGAGTTTTTAAATTATTTTGATGAATTAAATTATATGATGATTCTAATTAAAACAAAGATAGTAGGAATAAATATAAATCAAAATAGATAGTTATTCTAAAATTAGAATGAAACTTAAAATTAATAATAATATTCTTTTATTTTAAATTGTATACGAACAAGTTCTCGAATCAAATGCTCCAAAATATTTTGAAATTAATTAATAGTACTTTTTTGAAAAATAAATAACAATACTTACTAATATATAAAATAAAAGAAAATGTAATAGAGATAATTTTGTACTTGAATACAAAAATTATGCTTTATTATTTAATTAAATAATCAAAGAATTAAATATTCTTTTTTTTTTCAATTTAGATTTCAACTAACTCTAAAGTACAAAATTAAGAATTTTATAAAGTTCATAATTAAATTCATAATTTTAGTTAAAATAAATCAAATTAAATTATCAGTTAATAGAATGATCTTTTTTATTAAATAAAATGAGAAGTCAGTCTCTGATTAAGATAGTAAAGCAAGAATTAAATTTGCCCCATATTATTTTGTCATTTTAACAATCCTCATTTCTATCCATAATGGTACAAATCCAACCTAACTAATTCCACATTCCTAAAAGTCTGCTAACATTTTTTAAATTCTACATATTTTTATAATTAATACTGTTTAATTAATTATTTGTTGCTATCTTTTATCACATTAAATAACAGAGCTGTAATTTACACAGATATAATTCTGCTATTAAGTCGTTATAAAATAGAAAAACATAAATCATTTCTCTTTAATTTTTATGCTAATCGTGCACATTTATATAAAAACATTGATTCAGCTTTTATAAATGCAATATAAGTTTTCTCTTTATCTGGTTCATCTTCATTTAATGGTTGTACAATATAAAACTCTTTTAGTTCTATTTATCCACCTAAATGTTGCTTAGTCTGTAATGCTTTCTTTAAATTTGATTTAAACAAAGGAGAGGATGTATTTGCTGTTTGTTAATTGATTGTTTAATTTTATTATTAATTTTGTTAATTAGACTATTATTTATTTGATTCTTAAGATGGATAAAATAATTGATCAAGTTCAGTTTATATTTTGTTAATGGTTTCTACAATTCCGTGTAGAAGATTGTTTAATTGTTCTTTACTTCTTTTTAATTATTCATTCATTTACACTTCTTCTTATTAACTTAAATTTTAACTTAGATAAGAGATCAAACCATATAAAAAAGATTTCTATAGTTAGACATCTTAACCTGATTTAGGAGCTTATGAAATCATTTCATTTTACTAGATATTAACTCTGTTAACAATCGTTATAAATTGTTTGTTTTACCTTTCTGATTCAACGCTTTCAAATGCATTTTCTATAATTATTGTATTTGCTTTTTTAATTTGTTATTATTTTTTTTTAATGCTTGTGAATTTTAACGGAGATCTTGTTACTTTATTATGCTAAGGTGTCTAATACATTCTAGGACCAATATTAGTAAAATCAAATGATTTATTCATCTTTTACTTTTTTAGAAATTCTGGTTATTCCTCATCAGAATCACAATCATCTATATCTTCTTATAGTCTTGGATTACACATGCTTTTCTTAGAGAATAAATATAATATATTTACATTAGTATTGCTTATTTAACTAATATTAATATTTAAGTTTTTTTGATTTTTGACTACAATTTAGAATTCACTTGGATCATATATTTAATCAATTTATTTTTAGATTACTTTTGCAGTTGTATAAAAATACTAATTGATATAAGATTTTAATTTTTGATATCCTACTACATGTTATATTTTAATAACTTCTTTAAGAATATAGGATAATTCATTGTCAATTTCTAAAAGATCATTATGCATAAGATTATCATATGTTTATTGATTGACTTTACAATCTGGCCTTGAATAATGCTTTACCATCATTTCTATAATATGCTAAGAAATATAAAATCAAAATAAAATACTTTCTGATCTTTTTTGTTATTCAATCTAGGACGAACAAGTAAATTTTCTATGCTTGGATAACCACAAAGTTATACATAACTTTCAATTTTATCAGCTGCCAAAGGATGTAAAATCTTATATATCTAATCTAGTTGAGAAGGTTATTATAAATTTTTATTTTGAGTCAACAGTCTATAATTGATTATATTCATTTCATTCCATAATTATTTTACTGTCTACTTTAATGGTAATGCAGATGCTCTATTTATAAATAACAAACTAATTTGAAATTACTTTTATTTACGAAATATTTTAGACTAATTTTAATTCATATCATACCAAAGTTATCCAAATTATTTAATTTTCATAACATTCAACAATAAGATCTTTTAATAAAATAAAAGCCTTCTCATAATTGACTTATTTAATAAAGATATTAGCCATAATGAATTTAGGTAGATTAAACAAATTATTTGAATCTTGTAATTTTATTAATTCCTACAGACTTTTATTGTAATTCCTAAATCAATTCATTTTTTACTTCATTTTATAATGTATTAAAGATTTTATTAATTTAAATACAATGTTATCATCTAAATTATTGAATTGATCAAGTAATATATCTAACTAACTTGTATTTTGTAAATAATTAAAAATGAGACTCAAAGGCCAATTTAAATAGAATATAATTTCATTTAAAGGAGGGAAATCAGATTTAGACTTTATTTTATTAAGGTCCTGAAATTAATTATCTAAACCTTATATTTTTTAAAGTAGTTTTGCAATTAGATTTTATAAAAATTTTGGATTATTAATACTAGTCTAATTATAGAATCTACCAATATTAGGCATTTTGAAATTGGAATCCAATACCCTTAATACTCCACTTATATGCGCTCCTTCCCAATGACTTTTTGTTAATTGAATACATTATTTGTTTTGTTGTAAACCATAATTTTTAAACTAAGATAGACCCTCACTTGGTTATTCAAATTAACAAACTAAAAGAATTCTTGAAAAAATGTCATATGTTATATAAGTAATCTAATAATTAATGGATATCTAAAATTACTTTATAAATTATGACATCACTTCCAAATATTTTGGAAAAAGTGTCTTTTTCTTAATTCATAATTAGAGATGAAATATAAGCTGAAATTTCTGCCTAAGATGTTGGACAAATCCCTAATACACAATGGAAACTTGACCATTAATCAAATCCTGATTTAAACATTCCTAATGTTTGCTTTTTACAAATTATACAAATATCAGGCATTCCTAAACCTTAAAGTTATCCTATTTTTTAATGTTTTATTTTAAAATATACCTACAGAACCTATCAAATTTTCTAAAATTCCTTCCATTGATGTGTCTCTAAACTCAAATAAACTTCTCACAGTGCTTAATTTCATATAATAAATAAATATTTAAAATGCTCTAATTTGGATTAGATTATTTTACTAAGAAAAGTCTTCCCTAAGATTTTGCTGAATAAGTTCTCAAACTAGAAATGGATATAGATCTGAATGAGTAGACATAACATGATTAATTACAACAATTAATTTCACTTTATATGGTACTTCTATTAACTTTTTTTTTAAGGTTGGTGTAGAGTATTATGAATCAATTAAAGACAAAAGGTAATTTTTTTTTTAAAAGAAACTCAATGCTCTCATACATTTTGCATCTTATAGAGAAAATGAAGAATTTCTATTATCAAAGGAAGCAATAGAAAATAAAAGAGCGAAATTTGAAAAAGAATCAAAAAGAATTGAGCTTGATTTAATTTGCAGTCAAACAGAATCTAAAGAGGTAAAATTTTATATTTTTCATTGAGGCTCAAGTCAAAGGAATTGTAGATAATCATACTTATCATGTTAAATAAATTTAAAATATGATACAAAATGAAATGGCCTCTTAAACTGATGCATTCTAAACACGTCTTGAACGTAGAAGAAAGTCAAAAATTTTACATTCATAAAGTTAGACCGAGATCGATTTATAATCATATAGTTCAACACTTTTAATAAAAAAAACAGAATATAAAGAATAAGGATGTATTGTACTAATTCTGATAGAAAATTGTAGCTTAAACTAAATAGATTATTTAAGAGGAAGAAGAAATTAGTAGAAAAAATTCAACTTTTTAATATGAGTATGAAAATTTAAATTATTAGTAAAAGTAAAAAATATTATTATTTTAATTCTTTAGATTGATGAATAGTAAGAGACATTAAAGAAGTGGATCATTAATTCCTATTTAATAAATTGAAATAAAATAAAAATTTTTAAGTTAGGGATCCCTTGAATATTAAGATGAAAAAGATGAATCAATCCATAAATAGCTTATCCATGAAAATAATTGATTCAAACTGTATAATAAAATTTAGAAAAATCATTTTAATTTAATCAAAATTTTATTAATTTATTTCATCATTTCTAAAGTTTGTAAATTCTTTTAATTAAAATTGGAAACTATTATAAAAATTTTAATTAATCATAAATATATAAACATAAATTTAATTCACCAAAATTCAAAGTAATGACTATGTTAAACCTTTCTATGACCTAAAGTATCCAGCCAACTAGTTATTTATTTTTCATTTTGTATTAAAATGCCATTACAATATTCACTTATTTATTGAGCTATTTATATATTTCTATTTGAATTTTAAATTTAAAAAACCACTAATTTAATTCTATTAAAATGCAATAGATTTCTAATATCGTAAAAATTTTAATCAATACCTTAAGATTAAAATTCTGTGAATAAACACAAATAATTTTCAAATTTAGTTTCATCAGACTTACGAAAAAGTTTTACACTTTATTTTATAACTTCATGTAACTAATTGCTTCCTCCAGGAGGTAATAAAAGTTTATCTAAAATTTAAAAATAAAGATCTTAAGTGTACATTTAATTTTATAGTTTAAAAGCTTCAAATAGAGTTTCATTAAATAAATATAAGCCAACTGAAGTTGATTTATAAACTCTTTAAAGAATATATTTACAATAAGTCTATGAAATTTAAATTTAATCGAATGCCATAGTTTTAGAATAATCAATCAAAATAATAACATTTTATTATTCCTGATTTATGGCTTCTCTTTAAATAGTAATCAATTCTTTATCTAGTTATTATTTTATAAAGATTTCTTCTAAGATCTTAAGAAGTGATAAAGATACTTTTTAATTTTGATCATCTAATTTTTTAAATAGATTAGCAGATTCTTTTGCAGCTTAATAATTTTCATTATTGAACTTCATTAAGACTATTTTCTATAATGTTAATTGAACTTATAAATAACTAATAGGAATATTTTCAAATATATTATATCCTATATTGTAACTGATTCTGTCATCTTCTAAAGCAAGATAGTAGTCATATTATCCTAATAAAAATTAATTAGTTTATTTAGCAAAGTCATACATTTTTAGTTATATGTAACAATAAAATAATTTAATTGATGCTTTAATTCTCATCAGAGTTAAATATTTACTTTTTTTCCATTTTTGTTTTTAATTAATTTCTTCTTCTAATTATTTGATATTTTGTATAGTTTCATTAAATAACTTTGAATCTGAATTGATACAAAATTTAAATAGAATAATAATATAAGCATATTTACGAAAGAATAAACATAATGTTAATTAATCTTTGTCTTTTTTATAATTTTATCTATATTCTTAACTTTTTTATTAACCGATAGATTAATAACATTGTTATTTATCTTCTATTGAATTTTTAAGTGCCATGCTTTTATGAATAGACATAGATAGACATGCTCTATTTTATTCATCCTAAGATTTGAATCTTGCTTAATCTATTATATTGGATGACTTTCCTGCAAATTTATTAATTATATAAGATTATAATCTATTTAAGATAGACTTTCCAAAATGATTTCTTTCCATTTTTTTTCTTAATTTCTCAATTTATTTTAAACTTGTTAATTCTTTGTTTCCAATCATAATAGATTCTGCTAATTGATTTAAAGCTTCAGAATATCTTTTATTTTTATAATGAATCATAGCCATATTATTACCACAAACACTTACCATCCATTTATTTTGACAGAATTTGTAAAATGATTTAATTTAGCATAAATTCTATAAATATTCTGCTCCTTTGTCATTATTATTTAAAAGCTATTATTTTTAATGAAATTGATGCATAATTACACATAATAATAAAGAATCATATAGTTCTAAAAGTTCTTTATTATGAAGTTGCTATCTTATATCTATTCTTTATTTTGAATTTTCATAATGAAATTTATAAGGCTCATTAATTATTTCTATAATTTTCTTAATTGGAACTTCAAAAGATAATCCAACTTTTACAGCTACTCTATAAAAATATAATATCAATAATATTATAAGGCAAACATAACTATTAGTAGCATAAGTAAGTCGATCATAATTTAGATCCTAAGTACCTAAATGTTAATGAAATTAATTTAAAGAAATTATCATCACATAAGTTAATTTCACACTATATTATTTATTGCATTTGTAATGAACATCACTTATAGAAAATTGAATATATTTTATAAGACGATCTTCTGTGTTTGATTTGTAACTAATCGTTTAAGGTTCTTATATTAAACATCCATATTCATCTTCTTGTCGATTAAAATCTAAAATTTATAGAGTTTCAGAATCACTAACATCTAATATTTATACTAAGTTTGTTTAATTATTTTCTTCCCATATAATATCATATGGATGAGCATCAAGTAATATAGTTCTTGATTATACCTAATTAGTTACAAAAACTGCATTTGTTAACATACTTATGACGAATTCTTTTAAACCATAATGTACTTGAATATTACAACTAACATATTTTTACAACTTATACTTCTCATTTCCAATCGTTATCCTAATCTAATTATCTTTGATATTTAAGTTTGCTTCATAAAAACTATTCCAATCTATAAATTCCTTTGTAAATTCTTGAATACTTTCTCCAATTGATAAATATTTTTAATTTTTACACAAAATTGAAAAACATTTTAATCTATGAAATTTTTATAGAGGATTTAGGAACTATTCTAAACTCTTGATTTATGATTATTCAAGCATTTTTAAAGTGTTATTTGTGAATTGATCAAATATTACATTTCTTATGATAAAAGGCATATTGAATTGCATCGATTGATTTATTTTAGTCACATAAAATAGAGCTCTTGATTCAAACTATAATAATTTAGAAATTCATACTTATAAGGTTTCATTTAGTAATTTAACTGATAGTTATTATACTGATAATTAAGTTTATGGTATCAAAGTCTAATATATTGAAACTATCCAAAATATGGATGCAGCAAATAAAGCTAAGGGAAGTGCTATCATACTCAGTATAATTTTTACTTTTAGAGTCATTAAAATTAATAATGAATATATATAATTCGAAAAATAAAATTATGATAATTAAATTATTTTACCTAATATCAATATCAATATAATTTTTCAAGAATCAAACACCATTATTTTTACACTAAATACTATATTAATAGGGATAGACTATAAATTTTATTTAAATTAAAAAAATTTCATGTTTTGTATATTAAAATAGTTTATATTAAATCCCTCAAATAAACCTTTAGGAATTATATTTTTTTTAATTTTTTTAAATAATAAATGTCATTTTATTTGAATAATTGATTTTATTATTTTTTAATCAATTAGTGACTTTATTTTTTGACTCTATTTTTAAGAAAATTAATTACAATTTAATTCAATTTAGACTTGATTTGTTATTTTATTATTGTTTTTTTTAATTTTTTTAATAACATATAATTTTTTATTAGATAATTTTTCTATAAAATAAAAGTATAAATAATTGATTGATATTATTTTTTTTAATTTATTCAAAGAATTTTTAAGTTTTATTAATCGATTTTTATAGAAGCATTAAAAATAATTAGGAAAGTATTTATCTATTTCAAGTCTGCAATTTTTAATTTAAAGAAAAATACTTTTAAATTTTTGATTGTTAACAAATTTCAGTTTAAAGGTAAAAATTGGTATCACTTTAAAAACTAACAATTTTTTTGTGGGTTATTTTATAGTTTTTTTGAATTTATAATAAAAATCAAAATGTGAAAACTAAAAATGAAATATATTATTGAAATAATGCTTATATTGTTTAATAAGAATTAGGTTTCTCTATTTTTAATTTTATTTTTGGATTTAAATAAAATAATTTCCAAATAATTTGAATATTTGATTTGAATTAAAATTAGTAAAGCTAAAATCTAAATTTTAATAGATTATTAAATTTAATTTTGATTTAAGGCGAATTTTGGTCATTAAATATGAATGTTTGTTTTTCATATAAATTTTGTTAATAAACTTGGTATCAATCTATGATAATATAAAAAAAACTATGTATATTAAGTTAATATATATTCATAAATTATTTTTTTACAAATTATAATTTTCTTCTTATTAAGATAATTAAATTTTTATATAAAAAGATAATATAAATATTGGTTTGATGATTATACTAAGATAACAAACTGCAAAAAAATGTTCTTAATAACATCTGTAATTATTGAAATCAATATAAGAAAGCTAATAAAATAATAGTCTAAATAGATAACTCAACAATTAATAAGATAATGTATTGTTTGGTTGATATTTAATGTTAGCATCTGAACTCTTTAAATAAAAAGCATAATAATATTAAGTATAAATTAAAAACATTTAAAAAAATGTATTTTTAGGATAAAAAATATTGTTTAATTGTGTAATGGTAANATTTTTTGACTCTATTTTTAAGAAAATTAATTACAATTTAATTCAATTTAGACTTGATTTGTTATTTTATTATTGTTTTTTTTAATTTTTTTAATAACATATAATTTTTTATTAGATAATTTTTCTATAAAATAAAAGTATAAATAATTGATTGATATTATTTTTTTTAATTTATTCAAAGAATTTTTAAGTTTTATTAATCGATTTTTATAGAAGCATTAAAAATAATTAGGAAAGTATTTATCTATTTCAAGTCTGCAATTTTTAATTTAAAGAAAAATACTTTTAAATTTTTGATTGTTAACAAATTTCAGTTTAAAGGTAAAAATTGGTATCACTTTAAAAACTAACAATTTTTTTGTGGGTTATTTTATAGTTTTTTTGAATTTATAATAAAAATCAAAATGTGAAAACTAAAAATGAAATATATTATTGAAATAATGCTTATATTGTTTAATAAGAATTAGGTTTCTCTATTTTTAATTTTATTTTTGGATTTAAATAAAATAATTTCCAAATAATTTGAATATTTGATTTGAATTAAAATTAGTAAAGCTAAAATCTAAATTTTAATAGATTATTAAATTTAATTTTGATTTAAGGCGAATTTTGGTCATTAAATATGAATGTTTGTTTTTCATATAAATTTTGTTAATAAACTTGGTATCAATCTATGATAATATAAAAAAAACTATGTATATTAAGTTAATATATATTCATAAATTATTTTTTTACAAATTATAATTTTCTTCTTATTAAGATAATTAAATTTTTATATAAAAAGATAATATAAATATTGGTTTGATGATTATACTAAGATAACAAACTGCAAAAAAATGTTCTTAATAACATCTGTAATTATTGAAATCAATATAAGAAAGCTAATAAAATAATAGTCTAAATAGATAACTCAACAATTAATAAGATAATGTATTGTTTGGTTGATATTTAATGTTAGCATCTGAACTCTTTAAATAAAAAGCATAATAATATTAAGTATAAATTAAAAACATTTAAAAAAATGTATTTTTAGGATAAAAAATATTGTTTAATTGTGTAATGGTAATGAAATCATTATTCTAATTGTTATTTTTGATAATAATTATAAGCTTTAAATTTGTAGGTTGTCAAAGATCTTTAAAGTTTTGATGAATCCTTATTTTGGATGAATTAAAGATATTAGTTTAAGTTTTTTTACCTCATTAAATATAAATTATAAATGGAGATTGAAAATAAAAGCAATAAATTGATCTTTTAGTGTGAAGTGATTCGTAAACATTTACTAATAGATAAACATTACTAATTATAGATATTTGAAAATAAGATAATGATTAGAGAGAATGTATAGTATATAAAATTGATATTCTCATAGTTAGAACATCCAGCTAAGTATGAAATTGACCTGAGTGTAAAAAATCAATTAGATTGGAAACATAGTAATGATCACAAAATAAAAGAGTTTGGGATAAAGTATTATAATAAAACAAAATGGTTTACTGGTCAATCTGCTCAGATGCATTAAATGAAAACCTTTATATAAACAAAGATTTTTATGTCTGGAATATCAGGATTTTACTCTTCTCATGATATAATAGGTTCAGGGGCATCTTGTAAGGTAATTCTTATAAAGGATTATATTACAAATAAGCCTTATGCTGCTAAATGCATTAGTAAAGATTATATAAAGAAGAAGAGAACTTCAGACAGATTTGATAGGTTAGTAAATGAAATTGAAATTTTAAGAACATTGAAGTCTCATTAAAACATAATTAAGCTTAATGAGATTTTTGAAGGAGAAAATAGTTATTATTTAGTGTTTGATTATTTAGATGGTGAAAACCTTCATAAATTCATTAAAAATCAATCATATTAAATACCTGAAAATAATGTTCGGACAATTTTATAAGTATATTTCTCTGATTTAATTTAGCAATTATTGTTAGGTATTAGAAAATGTCATCAACAAAATATTATTCATAGAGATATGAAATTAGAAAATGTTATGCTTTCTAAAGCTAATTCTATTGATAATATTAAAATCATTGATTTTGGTTTAGCTATATTTAATACTCCTGATTAAACATTTGCTTTATGTGGTACACCTGGGTATATTGCACCAGAAATATTAAACTATGAAGAAAATAAATTTAAAACTGAGAAATTCTCATATACACCATAAATCGATATGTTTGGTATAGGTGTTATGCTTTATAGAATGTAAAATTAATTATAAAATCCTTTAGAATGACTAAATAGCCACTTTTTACTGCTGATTAAACAAAAGAATTAATTCATAAAAACTAAAAATGTATTTATGTCAAACATACAATTTCTTTATATAGCAATATTTTAAATCAAATTTTATATGGTTTATTAGAATTCAATCCAAAAAAGAGACTCACAGCAGACTAAGCTTTAGAATTACTTTAAACATAATAGTTCAATTAAATTACTTTGAGGAATGAGTCTACCAGAAATATCCATCTTCATGATGAATTCTAAATTCCTTTTTATAATGATGTTATTTAAGCTCCTTATTTATTTCCTAATCGTAAAATTAAAAAGGACTTTTACTTTCCACATTCATATCATCTGAATGAAGATAGAGTTAATAAATATGGAAAATCTTATTTACCTTCTTTCAGCATTAAACCTAGTTTAGAATTTGGAAAACATAGTTTATTGGATAAATCTATCCAAGTTCCTAAGGATTTTATTATTGAATAATGATTCATATTGTATTTATTATATCTAATATTTTAAATATCATTTATTATTCAGCCCTAACTATTTATTATATTTATTAAAATAAAAATTTATTAATAGTAAACATCACAAATTTATAAACCATTCTCGAGTTCGAATTAAATTAAAATGACAAACAAAATAATTTCTATTCTTTGATTCTTAAGTAATTTATTACTTAAAGTAAATTTAGTATCCATAATAAATAAATATTTTCTTAATTCTTAATTTCTTGATCATATATTATATATTAAAAAAGGAAATCTAAAATTTAAAGTTGCTTAAAACCATGATTTTGTATATATATAAATATATTAAAAATTTCTATACAATTTTATTTTAACATTTTTATAGATTAATTTTGTGGTAATTTATTATTTTTTCTAAATGTATAGACCTTTATCATGAACTTAATTAAATTAAACAAATTTATAGAATTTACAAAACTTTGTTTTGATATTTCTATAATTATTCAGAAATATTTTTTACAATAAAAATAAGATGTTACAAAGTATTTTAAAGTCAAGTAATAAAATATATAATAAAAAGATATTTTTAACATAAAATATTCTTGGAAATTAATAAACAATTTATTAAAATTTAATATCATATCATGCCTAATACAATTCTAAATGATTTAACAAAAATAAAAAATACAAATATTTACTATTAATATACAATAAATGATAATTTCATCATCTCAATTTTTCAAAAATGTTGTCAATTGATCTAACCATTAAATGTACAATCTCTCCTCTTTGTCTAAAGAATAATGTTCAACAAATGCTCCAAGTTCATCATTGATTCCGAATCCTCTTAAATATTCAACCAATGTCATTTATAATCTCTAATAGAATATTTAATATTTATACTTCATCTAAGCTAATGAATTCTGGTCCTGAGTAATCTTATAAACCTCTTTCATATCTAGGGATCTTTTAATGTTCCTCTAAATTTTTGACTAGACTTACCATATTTACATTAATCTATTAAATTATAAATAAAACTTACTTCTCCTTTAGAAGTTGTGCATTCATAACATAATATCTATCCATTATTTTTTTAAAGATAGACTGTGAAATCAGCATATTCAGCTGGCTCCTATTTTTCTTCTTCATTTTCTTAATCTTTTTCTTATTTATTTGTTTCCTCCTCTTATTCGTCTTCAAATTCAGAGTTTGGTTATCTTTATTAGAATTACACAATGACTTTAATATCACCAACCTTTTTTTCTAAAGTTATTAGATGATCCCCTTCAGTATCTTTCAATTAGAAACCAGCTTTTTAAACAAATTCTAAAGCAGAGTCATCAGCAACATAATTTGTTTTTTCATATTTAAGTTCTTTTTCTACGATCTTCATTAATTTTTATCCATCTAATTTTAGTAATATTAAATATGTATACTTTTATTAATCTTTTCTATTTATGAACAGAATGGAGCACAAACAGGTGTCATATTAAGAGGCTTTAATGATCTAACAAGTCTTAAGGGAATTCTAGAAATCATCATATAAATTTTAATTGTGATAATTAATTTAATGTAAAATTTAATTTACATCTTACTAAATATTGCGAATTCAAATTTATATTTGAAATATCGAAAAACAATATTTTAATTTCTATTTTGATTCTTAAATGCTTTCTATTTATAGGTATTATAAAATAATTTTTAATCTGCTCAAAATAATTAATGTTTAATCAAATAAATATATAATTGAAAATCGTATGTAAACTTAGATAAAGTATTACATTTTTAAATTTAAATAGTTATTCGTAAATTCTTTATATAATATTCAATTCATATTATGTGATAATTAAAAAATATATTAATAATTATTTAAAAAATTCTTTTATATTGTATTTTCCTTCATTTATTTATAATTCTACTTCATTAACTAATTTTGAATAACTAATCTTCTTATTTAAATGAATATTTCTCTAAATCATTTTTGCAATCAACAATCCAAATATATACTATGCTTTAATCCTCCTAATAACTGAATTTAATTATAAAGGGTAATTTTTTGAATTCATTGATTAATATTTTCAACCTGAATAAAAATTTTTTAATTCCTTTTTGATCATTTTGGAGATTTTATATTTTAATTTGATATTTCTTTTTGATCTTTATCAAAAAATAAAAAATTTTTCAATTTTTTTGACTATTTATAAAAAAAAGATATAAAGTTTTATTTTAATTTCTATATAATGATCCAAAAATGAAATCTTTTTATATTTCAAAATAGTTTGTTCTCAAAAAACAAAAAAATTTTACAGTGTTTTAATTTTAAATCAATTGAGGATAGTATTTAGAATTTAGAAAAAAATTTATTAAGGTAACTTTTTAAATTCACCTTTGATTATTTTTAAAGAACCCTTTAATTGAAAATATACTACTAAATAGGTTGGTCTTATAAAACACTGATATTGAATAAATTTATTATGTATTTGATTCTAGTTTTTTTAGAGCATAATTAACTTGATATTGATAAGGGATTTAGATGAATTTTAATTAAATTTAGCGATTTTTGAAGAATTAGATTTTTGAATAATATTTAATTTTTTAATAGTAAACATAAATTATAAAAGAAAAAAGATAAAATTGATTTAAATAAATAGCTACTTAGAAAGATGAGATATTATTGATATTTAGAACAAATGAATAATAAATAAAATAATAAATATATTAAATAATGAAGAGATAAGAAAGATAACAATAAGGTTAAATAATTTTAATAAGGTTGATTGAATTGTAAAGTAAGATAAAAATAAAAATGGAAAGATTATATGAAAACATATGAATATATATGAATTATAAATTTTAATAAATTGTATAGATATATAAAGTATTATATAATAATTAATGGATGAATATGATGAGGAATAATTTGAGCATTCAGAGTGTTTAGAGGAAAATAATGAATTTATGAATATAGATTAGGAGCATTAGGGTATGGAAGAAGGAGAATTAGAGTAATGTGAGATATGTTCTCGTAAATTTCATACAGAAAGGATAGGAAAGCATAGATAGGTTTGTGAGAAGGCTTAATAAAAATAAATAGAAAGAGAAAAGCTTATAAAACGTAAATAATAAAAGAAAGCTGAACTTTAATAGAAGTTAGATGTAAAGGAGAAAGAAGTGAAAAATAAAACAGTTAATAATTGGAGAGAATAACATAAGTAATTTTAATAGATGATTCATGGAAGTAAGAAAGAATAGGAGGTAATAAATTGAATGAATTGATAAAGGTTTAAAATGAAGGTGGTGAAGATAGAACTGTAAAGACTCCAGAATTGGTTGAAAATTCATAGTATGTGTATTGTGAATATTGTTAACGTCGTTTTGATAGATGTATAAAATTAAAAGATATATTTAAAGATGTTGCTGAAAGACATATTCCAAAATGTAAAGAAATTAAAGCTAAACCAAAACCCCCAAAAAAACATTAATAATAAGAAATGAAAAGAACTACATAGTTAAGCACTGCATCTACTACTAATTAAAATGAAAATATTGATCAAACAAAGCAATCTTTTCATGCTTAGAGTTTGATGAAAACTGCTGAAGTTTAAAAAAGATAGTTACCAGAATTAAAGAAAGCTATCTATACAGGATTTGGTAATAAATAGAATTTTATATTAGGTTTTATGGATTGTTAAACAAGGGCAACTGCTCTATCAGATACTGAATGTCCTCATTGTTTTCGAAAATTTAATCCTAAAGCTGCACTCCGTCATGTTCCTATTTGTGAAAAATTGATCAGCAAAGAATAATTTAGTAATATTATTAATATCAGCTAAAGAACTTAAATTAAAAAATAAAGCTAATTTACCTAAACCAAAAAAAGTAGAACCTGTTTTGCCTGCCATCATCACTCAGCAACCATAAATGAAAAAGATTCTCAAGGAAACTGATATCTAATTGAAAGGTTAATCTAAATTTTGTACATAATGTGGAAATAAGATGCAATAAGGACATAAATACTGTGGAGGATGTGGCCATAAAAGAGAAATTGAATAATGAATATATTTTTATATATAATATGAAGGTCTCATTATTATGGCTAATATAATCGAGAATAAGGGTTATCCCAAAATTATTTAATTAAAAAGTAAAGGGGGCCCATCGCATTTTTATTCTGAGAACAATGTTTTCTGGATTTAAAATGATCGAATAATCCTATTTTTTTCTAATACATTAATTAGAAAATACAAATGCAATATCTATACAACTATCCTCAATTCATTGATGATTTAGGATAGATCAGTTTGGAGCTGAAAAACGAGTTAATAAAATTCTTAGGGAAATAGTCTGTATTAAATTTAGTGTTACAATAGTAGCAATTACTTTTACAGAAAATGAATGTTCTTAATAATTATCTCATCTCAAATGAAACTTAATCAACGATATAAGAATCTAAATTAGACAGTATGGTTGTAATACCTTAAGCTGAAGAAAAAATAAATGATAAAAATTTTATTCGCAAGGAATGTTTATAGAGGTATAGAGCAAAAAAGAGAATGTGGATGAATAGGACTCTTTATGAATGTCGAAAATAAATTGCAGATAGACGCTTACGTTTTAATGGTTAATTTTTGAATTGTGAGGAAGAGAAAAAAATAATAAAAATACATAAAATATTAGGGAACCATTACATAAGGATTAAAAATAATAACATAAAAATAAATGGCATAAAAAAAATAAAACATTTAGATAAAGGATAAATATTAGATAAAATTGACAAGCTAATGCCTGGAGAGATTAAAAAAAGAATACAAAATAAATAAATACTGTTTAAATTACTTTGATTTTTTACATTATTTTTATATTTTATAAAAAGTATTAAAATATATGATTTCATATAATTAATAGCTTCTAGCATACTATTTTTTATATATTTAGTATGAGTATTCGTGCCAGAATTTGTATTACATATAATTTGTTTATATCTACTAATCAATAAGTTATAAAGAATTCATAATTTACGATAGAAATATTGAGTGTTCTTTTTTTTTCATTTCAATATTTTTGAAAGTGATAACTGATTAGGTATCACTGAATTATTGTTTTCGCAAGAATTTTAATTTCTTAAGAAAATAATGAAGGTATGTATGGAATGAAATATATTTTGATAACAAAAATTAAAAGACAATAAAATTTAATGAAAGATCACAAGAAATGTATGAAAATGTAATAAATAATGTTTTCTATAAGGAAATGGTTTAAAAAATATTTACTAAAAAATTTATGATTGAATTGACATACTAAAAGTATTTGAATTTGAGTATTTATATACAATAATTAATTAACAGTTTTTGATGGACCCAAACAAGCAAATCAAATATTCACATTATCAAATAACAGATGCTGTTAATTTTGGTGGTGTTTTAGATCCAGAATAATGCAAATAGTTAGCTTAAAGAATTCTTGCTCTTTATGATGGCAACTCAGATGGAAACATTGATTCTTTTGAAGTTGGATATATGTTAAGTGATTGTTATAGAGCAATGAATAAAGGATTCAATCCAACTCCTACAGATATAGCTTCATATTCTAGAATTTTAGATAGTATTTAAAATATTAAATAATAGGAAAGGGAACAGGGAGAGTTACTTTAGAAGACATTGAATAATTGTGTCTGAAATTCTTTGGTGCCAAATCTGATAGACAACCATCATAATATTGAATTATTTAGTTAATACAATATAATCATAATATTTCATTCTGTTTGAACATATGACCATCCATTTACGTGATTCTATTCAAACTCTCTAAAGTCTTACAAATCAAAAACATTATAATCTCCTATTGCTTTTAATTTAAGATTATAATCAGGTTTTGGTAATTATAATTCTCTCTTTAATACTTACTCCCAATCAATATTTGCAAAATAAGGATGATCTTTTATTTCTTATGAATCCCCTAATCCAGATCCTAAACGTTTATTTGGATTTCTTTCCAATAACTAATATTATATATCTATCTTACTGATTTTAATAAAGTTCTACATTCCATTGTAATATATTAAGGAATTTTCAAACTTGCATTTTCTATGTTATCAAATAATGTTTCTCTATTATCTGCATAATAAGGAGGTAATCCCACTAATAGTTCATAGATTACTACTCCAAGTAAATACCAATCTACAGCTTTACCATGACCTTATCTTTTTAATATTTCTGGTGCTAAATATGCAACAGAACCACAAAATGATTTAGTTCCTACATTTGATCTCTCTATTCCTTCTTTAGATAATCCAAAATCTGTTAATAAAACATGTCCATCTTTATCTACCAAAATATTATCTGGTTTTAAATCACGAAATATTATATCTCGTTTATGAAGATCCTCTAATGCCAAAATAATTTCACAGGCATATAATCTTACTAGTTCTTCAGGAAATCTCTTTATTTTACCTAGTAACATTCCAAGATCTCCACCTGGACAATAATCTAATATCATAAATAATTTATCTTCTGTCTAAAAAGCATACCTTAATTTCACTATAAATGGATGTGATGTCACAGATAACACATTTCTTTCAGTTAATGCATATCTACAAATATTTTATTCTTTCATATATTTATATAATTACTGAAGATCATATTCTTAAGAAGTACTTTCATTGCGTATAACTTTTTATTTTTTTTCACTAAATAAACCTCTCCAAAACTTCCCTTACCTAATAAACCCAATACTTAAAATTATTATGGATTTATCTTTTCTTCTCTTTTTGATTATTTCATTGATATTGAATCTAATGTTGAAGGAGTATTGGCATTCCCTTTTTTTTCAATTTTATTATAATTTCTTATATGCTTAAGAATCCCTTATTTACTTTCTTTATTAGTTTCTAAAGATAAATTATTAATTGGAGATTATTATTATTTAAATTAATTTGCCTTAAATTTATCTGATTTGCAATAATATTCCATTTTTATATTTTATATCTATATTTCTTTTGATCTTTTTTCTATCTATATTTTAAAACTAATTACTTTTATGTTCAACTTAAAATTGAGTAAATAATCTAAGAATTTCAGAATCATTAATATAATAGTCTGGATACTTAGAATCATTATTTGGTATAAAAATCAGATTATTCAATTTTAGAATAATTTCTACAATTTCTTTTCGATTAAATTTACAAGCATAATGAAGTGATGTATTTCCATACATATCCTAATGATTTATTTATGCTCCTGCATCTATTAAAATTTTGAATATTTCTATATTTCCACTTTTTTTTAATTAAATAAATAATTTACTGATAACTAGCCAGTATTAACGATGTCATCTTTTCTAAATTTTCAATCTCTATATTAATTTCCTTATATATTAAGGCTTAAACTAATTAAATGTTATCATTTTTCACTGCTATATGTAAAGCGGTATTTTTATTTGCATCTTAAACATTTAAATTAGCTTTTAAATCTCCATTAATTGGAATCGATGAAGAGATATTTACTAATATATCAAACTAAATAAATTACAAATCTAATGAACCATTGTAGGTTCTAGTAATTAAAGACAAATATCAGCATTATTAGCTTTACATTCCTTCAAAAATTTTAAATCAATCTTTTTTTTCATTTCTTAAATAAAATTAGAACTCTAATTAACGAAGTCTATATGTTTATTGTAATTATTCAGATCATTTTTGGAAATCTTCTTTTTGTTTTAGATTATAATGTTTTCGATTCTATGAGAGGATCGCGATCTTTCTAGTGATAGTTTAGTACGATTCCGAATAGAATTAATCTATGGAGATTCTTTTGGAGAAAAAGCTTTAAAATTTGCAGATGTATTTATAATAACCCTTTCTTCAGATTTCATATTGTATTTCTATAATTAAAACAAAGTTAGCTTATATCTTTTTATCTTCTCTTAACTCATTTATAATTTGAAGGGTTATTTTTATTAATGAAAAATACAAAAATTTCATTTTATGATTACATTATTCAGTAATTTAATTTATTATGCATTAATTCATATATCATGATCAATATTAATACAATCTATAAAATCGCTATTTCTATTAATTATAATATATTAAATTAATTTCTTAAATATTGCTAATTATTTTCACTCTTATTTTTAGTTTTGATTAATTTTAGAATGATTTATAGTCAAACATTTATTAAATGAAAAAAACTTTATTTAAAGTATGATTTCGATTGAAAGTATTTAAATTGGAAGTAACTCTGATTAATCAACATTCATACAGAGAGACTAAAAAATTATGATGATTCTAAACTAATTAACATTCGAAAATATTGCATTTCCTAAAATTCTGAGTTTTTTGAATTTCTCAGATACAAGAAAGACTATTTATATAAAAAAGAATGAATCATTACTTAAGAATCTATTAAAGATTCAAGAAACTCAATAATTAAAATAAGAAGTCTAAGAAATGACAGAATAGGAAATTATCATAAAATAATTAGAACTTCTTTAATTGAATGATATTATTATAAATGATGATATCTTTAAATCTAACTCCTTCTTAAATTTTTACTATAAAATGTATGATGCTAGCAAATCTAATAATTTCAATCATAAAACAATATTAGATTAAATTTAGAATTTAATTTAAAATACACCAAAAATAAATTATATTACAGAAGATTATAGATACTACATTTACTTTAAAGCCTAAATCATAGTGATAGGAATGGCAATTAAAAACAAAATTCCATTAATATCTCTATTACTTTGTACACGTTTGTACTTGAATTAAAAATAATAATTATTTTGTCTAGAATTTTCTATCTTCAAAGAGATATTTAAAGAACTTTACTCAAAAAGGCAACTTTCAAATTTGAATTATCTTTTAAATGTAGATTAATTAATTAATTTTAATACACTTAAATTAACTTAAATGTAAAGCTACAGGGATAAAATATTTGAAGAATATGAAGATATGTTAAAGGAGAATAATTTTTCATTGTTTTCATAGAATTTGAATCTAATCTATTAATAGAAAAATTATCTAATAAATGAATTAAAAGATGTGATTGAATCATAAAAATTTAAGTAATTATATTCTGATTTAAAAAAATTCCACCTGCATATTGATTATGCTGATGAATTTTATTAGATTTTAAATAAAATTATTTAATTTTGTAATAGTGTTGAATATTCTCTAATGAAGTTTGATTCAATAGAAATTCCATAGTTTATAAAAAAATACTTTTTCAAAAATCATGAAAGAAAAGAATTAAATGCTTAATAATTAGTAGAATCTTTATTGACTATAAATAAAGTATTTAGTGAAATGATAAAATTTTAATTTCCATTTCCTCCAATAATATCTTACTTAAATTTAAAAGATCCAAATAATTTAAATATTTTAAATATTACTAAAGAGTTTGTTATAGAATGTTAAGAAAATTAGATTTTTCTTTTATTTTTATCATAAGTTCATTATAATTTTTAATAAATTAGTAAATCGAAAATGTATTCAAGAACTTTCTATAATCAACAATTATAGAAATAAGATTTTGATTAATGGGAAATAGTAATTTAAATGTTAAAAATAATAGAATAATATCAATCTTTAATAATAAATGATGTAGAAAAGAGAATAAATGAAGAAGACACAAGATCTAATATTTAATTTTATTTATCATATCCTAAAGATTAGATTATGAATTATTAAGCATAATATGAAAAGATTTCAAAGTTGTTAAGAAATCTTTTATCATTTTAAAATAAGGAATTAATAAATATAAAATACGATGATGAAAATCTTAAGAATTCACTTTAGGAGAAAGTGAAGAAAATAAAGTCATAAGTATTAGATGAATTTTATCTAAAGAGAAAACTTGGAAGACCTCCAGGAACGAAGAATATTTTGAGGAAAAAGAATATTAGGTAATCTAAGGGATTAGATTGCGGAGAGTTAAAAATTAAAGAGTATTTAAGTAATTTTCAAACATTAGAATAAAATAATGATGAGGAGGTTATAATAGTAAAAAAGAGAAAAATATATTAATCAGAAAAAATGTTAATGTAAGATATTGAAAATTTTTTGGTATGATATTTATTTAAAAATGAAATTATTTATTTTTCAATATTAATGTATGATTTCTTAAAAACTATCAATGAGTTTCTTTTTTGTAGAGTTTCTGAGTTCAATATGGCTAAGTATTTATTTTTAATAATCTACAATAGGAGTAGGATCAATTTCAGGATAAGATTCATTTAATAATTTATTAGTTTTTTGATTTAGTTTATGAATAATTCTATTAGCATCTTTATTTTCAAATAATTCTTAACTCTCTGTTTATTATTTATTTTTGAATTTCTATTTTTATTATTTTTCATTTCTCGGTAAAGATTGTATTCTTTAAACACTGTTTTAGATAGAATTAATTTTATTAGTATTAAGTTAAATAGTGTTAGGATTAAGAGAAATTGATTAAGATCTAACTTTGATAAATTAATTCATTCTTTTGATTTAAGGTTAATGTAAAATTTTATCTTAAGATATGAATGGAGCTAGTTAATTAATTTTTTAAAATAAGTTTTCATTAAATTTGGATTGTTTTTATATTGAATTACAATAAGAAGAATATAGTTTTTCTCTAATCATTTGTTAGATTTGATTTTATTTGATTTGAAACTATTATTCAGTTAT